AAAATAAAAGAAAAAGGTTAGGTGTGGTGGTGTACACCTTTAATCCCAGCACTCAAAGGCAGAGACAGGTGGATCTCTGTGAGTTTGAGGCCAGCCTGGTCTACACATCGAGTTCCAGGACAGCCAGAGCTACACAGAGAAACCCTAGCTTTAAAAAAAAAAAAAAAAAAGTTCATGGTCACCCTCAACCACACAGCAATTTTGAGGCCAGCCTGGACCACATGAGACTCTGTCTCAAAAATAACAATCATTAAAATATATAAACAGGTCATACACATAACATTTTATTATTTTTGGGTGTTATTATTCTTATTTTATGCAAATGAATTTTTGCCTGAGAGAGTGTAAATAGTTTGTATGCAGTACCTGAGGCCAGAAGAAGGCATTGGATCTATTGGAAATGGAGTTACAGGTGGTCTCACCATTTGGATGCTGTCAACTGAACCTCAGCCCTCTATAAGAGCAGCAAGTGCTCTTAAGCACTGAGCCATTTCTTTGGCCTCAGACATAACATTTTTCAAAATGTGGATCATAAGATATAGCAACATTGTGCCCAAGGAAAAAGAAAAAAACCCTTTACCTCACCCCAAAAAAGAAATCTACAACAGGGATGCAAACAGCTACCAATACCCCAATCGTTCACAGCAACCCATTGTCAACAACAAAGAATATATTAACAAAATGTGGAAAGTATGACAGAATGGTATTCACCCATCAAAAGCAATCAAAGTCTCATCCATGCTACAATATGGGTGAACATGCCAAGTGAAATAAGCTACATGAAAAGATAGGTTGTATGATGCCACCCAGAATACCTACAATAGGCAAATTGATAGTGACAGAAAAATAGTGGTAACTTAGTGATTATAGCGTTTCTGCTCGGAATGATGAGAACATTCTGGAAAAAGACAGTGGTGGGCCACCAGGCATGGTAGTCAGACCACTCAGGAAAAGGAAGAAAAGGAAGAACTGACTCCACAGAGTTGCCCTCTGACTTCCAGGCGTGTGTCTCTGACCCTACGTCACATGCATGCAATAGTAAATGAATTTACGTTATGAAAACATGCTTTCTCCCTTTTAAATTCGTATGTGATTTAATCTTCCTATAACAATATTTAGAAAGATAGTAAAGACAGAAGGCCCCACAAGGTGAAACCATACAGTCAATGCTTCACACACACACTGAAAGCTGGCTACAAACCCAACAGCTTTTTCTAGGAAACGGGAAAGTGAGGTTTCTTTTTCTCTGTATTGTCTGAATGTTTACACTAATCATGAACTTAGCCAAATAAAACAAAAGCAAAATCAGAGAATCCAAGCTTGAACAAGTACAATGCAGTTAGAGGAGCCTCAAGCCTTTCAGGGGAACCAGACTTAGCCCCACAGGGACCTCAGACATGCACTCCCCTAAGTCAGGAAAATAAACACCACCGCAACTCAAGTGAAGAATGAGATTCTTTTTTGTTGTTGTTTTTCAAGACAGGGTTTCTCTGTATTGTTTTGGAGGCTGTCCTTGAACTCACAGAGATCCGCCTGCCTCTGCCTACCGAGTGCTGGGATTAAAGGCGTGTACCACCAACACCCAGTGAAGAATGAGATTCTTAAAAAAAATTTCAATAAGCATATCTCGTATGGGTTATATATACTACACACATATAAGCTATATATTATATATACTATATATTACATATAGTATTCACTATGCCATCTCACACATATGTATCGTTGTATCTTAGTCTAATTTGTTCCCTTCCCTTACATCCACCCGGTGCTCTGGTTGGCTCTTTCCCTACACCCCCCAAACAGTCTCCCTTCCGTTTCCACATCACAAGTCCCCATTATCCTCTTTATCACCCCTCCCCTCCTTAAGATAGCTTCCTCTTCTTTTAGGGTCCCTTTTCTAATTTCATGACCCATACCCCCCATATATATGTGTGTGTATATATATATATGTATATGTATATGTCTATATATGTGTGTATATATGTATGTATATATATATAATTTTAAACCTAGAACGAGATATTTAAAGAGAAAAGACTGAGCTATTTGAGTGCTTTTCCTATCAAGCAAACAACTTATGGATAAAAGGGGGGGGGGAGTGTTACAAGTGACAAAGTTGGAGCTGCAGAGTCAGCAGTTAGGAGCACTGGCTGCTCTTCCAGAGGATGGGATTTTATTCCCAGAACCCACGGGGCAGCTCACAACCACCTGTAACTCCAGTTCCAGGGGATCTAATGCCCTCTTCTGGCCTCTAGGGCATCAGGCATCCGAGTGGTGCACAACAAACATGCAGGTAAAACAGCCAGACACATACAATAAAAATACCTTTTAAAAAGCTTTCAAATGACCAGAACACAGCTCAGTGGTAAAGAGCTTCTGTGACAAGTTCAAAGCACTGGGATTCATCCTCCGCGCTAGGGGAAAACATGTCACAAAGTTCAAACCTGCACTAAAGACAGGCAAGGCAGAAGTACTCACGTGATCAAAGAACTGCACCACTGCGAGTTTTTTGCTGCGCCTGGTGAAGACCCGCTGAACTTTGGCAATTTTGCCAAAGTGCTTCTCCAGGACGGCCCTGTCATTGAGATAGTCAGGGATGTTCTTGCACTGGATGGCGGTGGACTCTAAGAGAGACAAGCCCCCGAGACTGTCTGTGCTCTCACTTCTTTTACTCAGGCGCGCAGATGCTCCCCTGAGAGAATCTAGGGATTCAGAAAGCAGTCACATAGGTTCATCGGGTATAACACATCCAAGCAAAAGGAGCCACTGCTGTGTGAAAGCAAACTAAAATTCCATGGGTGGAAGGCTAGCCCTAGGCCTCTCTGTTAGGATCTCTACTGTCAGTGGGGACTTACACCAAGCTAACCCCAGGAAACACACAAGAGTTTGGCAGCAAAGTATCCTGGTTGTGCTAGAACTCACCTTCTTTTTCATCTCTGCTTTCTGTTTCTTCTTCTTTAGTCACAGCTGGAAGCCGGGAAGGTGCCAGGGTAGACTGGCCTCCTCCTGGGATGGCCATGTGGTCACTTTCCCCGGATTCCACAAAGCCACTTTCCTTTTTAGATTCCTTGCTGCCCAGGCGGCCTACTTCTTTATTGCTTTTGAAGACATCCTGTATGGTCCGACCAAACAAAGTGCCTCCCCGGGGTCTATTTAGGCGAACGGGTCGTTTATCTGGAGGATGGTCGCCCCGGGACAGGGGGTCCGAGTCTTCTGCTGCTTCGTGGCAGTGTCTCCTTGGGGAGCGTTCCTGGTCCTCTTTCCTTTTTAGTCCCTTCATGGGGGTAGGGAGCGGCTCCGCCAGAGAAATGGCTTCCTCACATCCTTGACGGATGCCTGTTTTGTTGCCTGAGAAGGGCTCCCCCAAAGATCCAGATGCTGGTATGGGGAAAGTAGTAAAACTACTATTTGAACTCCCAAACACTGACTTAGGTCCCCTCTTCTCTTCCTCTACATTTTGGTTAGACAAAGCAGGGGTAAGGACAGATGTCGTATTACTACTAGCTGGTTTTGAAAAGACAAAATTTGAACTGGTCACTGAACTATTTGTCACCTGAGAAAAAGAAAAAGGGGTCAGGCCTCCAGATCCACTACTGACGGGATGGGGAAATGTGAAAAATCCAGACGCAATTTGGCTCTGGGTTTTCTCTGGCTCTGACTCAGCCCCCAGTATTGGTCTGAACAGTGCATTTTCCACAGGCTTAAACTTGAATTCCGTTTTCCTAAAACCAGAGCTTGCTACTTCTCCAGTTTCTGGCCCAAAAGTAGAGCCACTTGGGAAAACCCCAATATTAGTGGGTGATTTAAAACTAAATCCTGTATTTCCTGGCACAGATGAACTTAAGGGCCCAGACGTAGCTGCAAAAGAAGGTGTGGGTTCAAGACTAGCAAACAGTCCAGCACTCGAGGTCTGAGCGACTCCAAACGTTGGCAATGAGGAAGAATGACTTACTCCAGCGGGCGCTGCAAAGTTTGATGCCTGGGAAAATCCAAGGCTCTTGCCCAGTGTGTTGCTTTGCCCAAAAAGGGAAGGCTGGCCAAACCGAAATGGTGACTTAGTCTGGTATGTTCCTGTGGTACTAGAAGATACTGCAAAAGCACTGGGCTGCTGCCCACCGAAGGGGTTCACAGGGTTCATTTTCAATTATTTGAAGGCAATAAATACGATCTGTAAACAACTAGTCCCCTTCTTTAAACTGCCAGTTGCTTGGGGAAGCTCTCCTTCATCCTCAGGATAACCTGAAAAACAAAAGTTCAGAACATCCCAGCGTAGTTTGGCACAAGTCTTAAACCACGGATACTCTAAGGACAATTTAAGTAAGCGCACAATGGGCCGACTACTCACAGAACTCACAGGTTTTTCGTGTTTTGGACACAGGGTAAGAGAGTACAAACAAGCTACTTTGTGATGGAGGTTTAAAGGTTTGTGGTTTTTTTACGGCAAGGTCTCACTTAGCCCAGGCTTGCCTTAAACTTACTATCCACGAAAGCACAGCATTGCGTTCCTTTCTCCTGCCTTAGCCTCCCTACTGCTGGGATCCCAGGTGTGCCCCACCAGCTAAAAACCCCAATAATAAGACGGAAAAGCATCACTTACGCCAGAGTCTTGCGATCTCCAAGGCCAGAGAATTACAACGTAATACTGTTAAAATGTCACTGGTTTTGATTTCCTACCATCTCATTTTTCTCCCAGGAACTCGGACTTGAGATGCCTTGCCCTACGCTGGCAGCTCTTAGGAAACAGGCCGTAGGGTCGACACAGCACTTCGGGAGAAGATGGCGAAGCCAGGCCTTTGGCAACTCGATAGGAACGCAGTGAACAGCGAAGGACGCCGCAGGGACGGTTCCGCCAGACCTCGCCCTGTCGCGGGCGCCGATGCTCATTCACAGTCAACATCCGGCCGCCACCGGGCGCACCACACTGTACCACACAGGCCACGGGGGACGGCCCTTAGATGTATGCGGCGGACATCAAATTCGTCGGACCGACTTCCGGGCCTCCGCATCCGGCTTCCGGTTTATGGGGCGTGCTGCTATTGATCTTCCGGCGGGCAACTTGCCTGCTTCCTGGCTTCCCACTCCACCTGTTTCGGTAAGTGTGCAGCGATTTCTCCTTGGGTGGCGTAGAAGTACCATGTTCGTGCTTGGATCCACCCGCCTGAGTGTCCGAGAGAACTGGGACCTACAGAGACCCCATCTTTTCACCTACGCTCACTCTTATCTAGTCCTACACCATAGCAGCCGCCCCAAGCCACTTTATTCCGCACACTGTGCCCTGTCTACCCGTATTCAGCTTCCTATGGTAAATGTAAAATCCCTTGGAATTGACGATAAATTCCACCAAATAAAGTTTTTGTTTGTTTGGTTTGTTTATTGATTGATTTTTTTCCAGACAGAGTTTCTTTGTGTTACCCTGGTTGTCCTGGAACTTGCTCTGTAGACCAGGCTGGCCTCGAACTTAGAAATCAACTTGCCTCTGCCTCCTGAGTGCTGAGATTAAAGGCTTGCACCACCACAGCCCTGGACTAAAGTTGTTTTATATGTATTTTTACATAACTTACCACTTCCTAGTACTGATGGGTCTTTTTTTTTTTAACTTTATTTTTTTAAGGCTGGTTGTTCTTCCCAAAATGAGTTTGGTGATTAAAAATCTGCAGCGGGTGGTCCCCATCAGAAGAGTGCCGCTTCGCAGGAAGATGGATATGGTCCGGGGTATTTTAGGAGTGAAGAATTTTGACCTGGGCATTATCTGTGTCGACAACAAGAGTATTCAGCACATTAATAGGATCTACAGGAAGAAAAACGTCCCCACTGACGTGCTTTCTTTCCCATTTCATGAGGTAAAAAGAATATGTTCCTCATATGCAGCCTACCTTTCTTCCAGAATAGTTCCTATGGGTTATAATACAGATATGGTTATCTTTGATTTGGGGATTTTTTTGGAAATGCATTGATGTCTGGCCATTAATCCCATCTATTTAGGATGCAGAGGCAATCACACCTTTGTGAGTTCAGGGCCAGCCTTGGTCTACTTGGTTAGTTCAAGGCCAGACAGGGCCATATAATAAACCCTTAATCTGAACCAGGCAGTGATGGCCCATGCCTTTAATCCCAGCACTTAGGAGGCAGAGGTAGGTGGGTCTCTGAATTCAAGGCAAACCTGGTCTACAGAGAGTTCCAGGACAGCCTCCTAAACAATACAGAGAAACCCTGTCTCAAAAAAAAAAAAAAAAAAAAAGTATTAATCTGGGTTCTCTGGAGTCACAGAATTTATGGAATGAATGTATATAAGGGAATTTATTAGCATGACTTACATGCTACAGTCAAACTAACCCAACAGTGACTAGCTGTAAATGGAAAGTCCAAGGATCTAGTGGTTGCCCACAAGGCTGGGTGTCTCCAATAGTCTTTTGTATATGCTGGAATCTCGAAGAAGGCGCCAATGACAACTAAGAAATGTGTGTGCTGACAAGGTGAGGCAAGCAGGCAGGCAAAGAGGAACAAGCCCTTCCTTCCATGTCCTTGCACAGGCTTCCAGCAGAAGGTTTGGCCCAGATTAAAGGTATGTCTTCCCATCTTGAGATCTGGGTCATAACTGTGTGTCTTCCAGCTTCAAGATCTGGATGACAGGTGTGTCCTCCATTTCTGGATTATACTTCAGTCCAGATATAGTCAAGTTGGCAACCAAGAACAGCCATCACAAGCCCCTATCTCAGAAATAAGCAAGTAAAAACAAAAGAAGTAAAGGGATACGACCCATGCCCATTAAGTATGACTATCCCTAAGCATCACAGTTGCTCTATTCAGGGACCAGCCTCCCTCCCTCTGTGCTATCAGGGAATTCAAATTGGGCCTCTGCAATTTTAAGCTTACCTCGGTAGTGAATACTCGGATAGAAAAATGAAAAGTAAAAACTGGTAAACATTTCCAGCAAATTATCTTGTGATAGCTACAAGTAGCTACATTATGTAAACACCTTCACCCACTGTGGGCAGCATAAATTGGAAATCCTTTTTGAAAGTAAATTGATAATAAACAGTGCTTCATAAGACTTACATTGTATATATGTCATAATCTACCGGTGTCACACCTACAGAAATAAATCCACAGAATGAAGAAGGTACAGTGTAATATATGTCTGAATGTTCACCTTATTGATAACAGTAAAAGAAAAAAATGGAGGCAGGCAAGTGGGAAAGAATGAAATTGTGTCCATATGCCAAGTTAACTATAGAATGTGACTTATTTTGGTAGGGATAAAAGAGCTACATATACTCAGGTAGAGATGCAAAGCTACATATAACTACATATACTCACTAATAAAAAACAATTTGATGAGATCAAAGCATGTGAGGGTCATCGTGTGTGATACTGTGCAGTCCACCCCCTGGGACTCCTTGATGGTACTTAGCCTCCATCATGTGGTTTTAGCATCCTGTGGTCAAGAGTCCTGTGTCCTCTGCTTGACAGGTGAGCCAAGCCCCTGTCGTGGGACTACTGTTGAAAGGCCTCCAACTTTGTTTCCTCATTTTCAGAATCTGAAAGCAGGGGACTTTCCTCAGCCATACTCGTCAGATGATTATAATTTGGGAGATGTTTTCTTAGGAGTGGAGTATATCTTCCAGCAGTGCAAAGAAAATGAAGATTACTATGACATCCTGACGGTAAGTGAGGCTGCAAAACTACATATACTCGCTAACAGAACTCAAGCCATAGAGAAAGTTGAGGAGACTCCTGTGTGCACGCTAGTGTCCACAGGTGCAGGTGTATTACTCTTAGATTAGCACTAGTGTCCACGGGTGTGTTACTCTTAGATTAGCACTAGTGTCCACAGGTGTATTACCCTTAGATTAGCACTAGTGTCCACGGGTGTGTTACTCTTAGATTAGCACTAGTGTCCACGGGTGTGTTACTCTTAGATTAGCACTAGTGTCCACGGGTGTGTTACTCTTAGATTAGCACTAGTGTCCACGGGTGTGTTACTCTTAGAAAAGCACTAGTGTCCGCAGGTGTATTACTCTTAGATTAGCACTAGTGTCCGCAGGTGTATTACTCTTAGATTAGCACTAGTGTCCACGGGTGCAGGTGTGTTACTCTTAGATTAGCACTAGTGTCCACAGGTGTATTACTCTTAGATTAGCACTAGTGTCCACAGGTGTATTACTCTTAGATTAACACTAGTGTCCACGGGTGCGGGTGTATTACTCTTAGATTAGCACTAGTGTCCACGGGTGTGTTACTCTTAGATTAGCACTAGTGTCCACGGGTGTATTACTCTTAGATTAGCACTAGTGTCCACGGGTGCAGGTGTATTACTCTTAGATTAGCACTAGTGTTCACAGGTGTATTACTCTTAGATTAACACTAGTGTCCACGGGTGCTGGTGTATTACTCTTAGATTAGCCATTGTCAGCCCTGCTCCCCCTTCCCTTTCCTTGTATTTACCCTCTCTTTTCTGCTTAACTTTTTCTGTTTTTAAAGATGTAGGCTTAGGATAGAGGCATGGCTCAGTGGTTAATATGACGCACTGTTCTTCCGGAGGATCTGAGTTCTAGTCCCAGCACCCATGGGGTGTTTCATAGCTGCCTGTAACTCCAGCACCAAGGAATCCAATCTCTTCTTCTGGCCTCCCAGGTCATTTGTACTAACTTGTACATGCACAGACACATATGAACAATTATAAAATAATAAATAAATAAGTGAAAAGATGTACAGTCACTACATTGCCCAGGCTCATCTTGACCTTTTTGGTTCAGTCAATACTTCCCCTCAGCCTTAAAGATCTGAAATTACAATCATGGGCCACCCTTCCCTCCTGCTTAATTCTAATTGGATTTCCGATTATGCCCTACCAGAGACAGGCAACTCTCTTTACCTGTGCCCAGTTGCAGTATTGCTCCACATAATTAAGTGACCTGTGGGAAATGTTCCATTTTATTTTATCTTAATTCTTCTTTAAGATTTACTTGTCATGTATATAGTGTTGCCGGCAGGCCAGCATGTAAGCTACCATGTGGTTTCTGGGAAATGAACTCAGGACCTCTGGAAGAACAACCAGTGTGCTTAACCTCTGAGCCACCTCTCCAGCCTGAAATGTTGCATTTTAGACAGGAGTGGACTGAGGTTGGAATGGAGGCCAATGGTGAGCACTTGCCTAGGCAGGAGTGAACCGAGGTGTTTTAACTTCTGCACAATGAAGCAAATGCATGTCCTGCCCCAGTGTTCTGGCATAGGACAACTCAGACCCACAGGGGTAGTCCATGACCCTGAAGGGCAGCTTTCTGGTAGATCATCCCATGAGTTGACTTCTCATTTACTCCAACAGGTGACAGCCACCCATGGACTCTGTCACCTTCTGGGCTTCACCCACAACTCCGAGGCTGAGTGGCAAAAGGTAGGAAAAATACCTGTGCACCTGTGCAAGGGGCTGTGTGCTTCCCACAGATGTAACCCCAACCCCTGGGTTACTTGCCGTGTACCCCATGGCAAGTGGCAGGAACTATGGCCTCCAATATCCGGCCTAAAAAGATGAGGTAGGAGCCAGGCAGTAGTGGTGTACACCTTTAATCCCAGCACTCGGGGAGAGGGCCAGAGGCAGACAGATCTCTGAGTTCAAGGCCAGCCTGGTCTAGAAAGTGGTTCCAGGACAGCCAGGGCTACAAAGACAAATCTTGTCTTGAAAAGCAGAAAAAAAAAAAAAAAAAGACTCCTCATGATACTTGTATAGTTCACTGCTGAAAGGCACCTGGACAGACAGATTAAAAGTTAAATTCCCTGAAGTGTAGCTGTTTTTGTTTTTTGTTTTTTTTCAAGATTTATCATCTATACAGTGTTCTGCCTGTGTGTATGCCTACAGGTCAGAAGAAGGCACCAGATTTCATTACAGATGGCTGTGAGCCACCATGTGGTTCCTGGGAATTGAACTCAGGACCTCTGGAAGAACAGCCAGTGCTCTTAACCTCTGAGCCATCTCTCCGGCCCCCATTAGCTATTATTGGGCCCCCATTAGCTATTATTGATGGGGGTGGTCAAGAGATACTTAATGTTTAGAACCCAACGTAAACAAAAAGCAAAAAACCCCAAAACCGGCCATTTGGCAACAAGTAATGTGAAACAGTGGTTCTTGTTTTCTAAAGACCGATGGGTACCACATTTATAAAGCCCACTATGGTGTCTAATGGGCTTAGGTTCTGTCTGTAAGGAAAGTCTATTGCTCAGAACAAACTTTTTTTTTTTAATGTTTTCTGTTTATGTGTATGAGTTTATGTGCACCTTATGTGTGCAGGTACCTGCAGGGGCCAGAAGAGGGAGCTGATATCCTGGAACTGGAGTTACAGTGGTTGTGAGTTACCTGATGTGGATGCTGGGAGCCAAACTCAGGGAATCTATAAGAGCAGTAAGTGCTCTTAACTGCTAAGCTCTCTCTCCAGCTCCCATGAATGAACTTTTTTTTTCTTCAATTAAAAGTAGATTCCCAGCCCTTTCTATGCCCACTTTCTGGCTGCTCCACACTTTCCTGGTCCCCTTGGGTATCCAGGCTTCCCCCCCATTATTTGAAGACCCACTCTCTGATGTCCTTACTCCTTTGTACCTCCTGTCCTCCCATAGCTCCTTCAGTATCTGCTCAGGTACTGCCCTTAGACTTGTGCAGAGCTGAGTTTGTGCAGGAGGTGAAGTCTGGGAGGAGTCTGACTGGGGTCAAGGGTCCCAGGAGTGCCCTCTTGTCAGCTTGTGTGCTGCTGTGTTTCAGATGTACAACCAGGAGAAGCTGGTCCTGGAGGAACTAAATCGCTACACCGGATCTAGGCTCCACCCCCTGAGCAGGGACCTCTACTAATGCCTCGATGCCCCGAGATAGAGACGTTGATGGACAGAGTCCTGTCCCTCCAGAGCGGATCTCTGTTGGTGATGCTGTCCTGGATGGCATCAGCCCACACTAAAGCTTAATTCCGTGAGTGGAAATTGACTTCAGAAAGTGCCAAAGAGGTGTCTGGCTGGCTCTTGCTCTGCTTAGAAGGCTGTCTTGATTACTGTAAACAGTAGTTCTAGGCCATTCCTAAGAGAAGAAACATGTAAGCCGGGCATTGGTGGCACACGCCTTTAATCCCAGCACTCGGGAGGCAGAGGCAGGTGCATCTCTGTGAGTTCGAGGCCAGCCTGGTCTACAAAGCGAGTTCCAGGACAGCCTCCAAGACAATACAGAAAAACCCTGTCTCGAAAAACCAAAAAAAAAAGAGAGAGAGAGAGAGAGAGAGAGAGAGAGAGAGAGAGAGAGAGAGAGAGAGAGAGAGTGGGTTTCTAACTGTAGAGTTTGGATGGACTGCCCTGTCTCCCTGAAGTGGAACCCACCTCAGAACACTGAAGTCTATTCTTCCTAGGAGGCCGGGCACCTGCAGAGAAGCAGACTCAAAGGGCAAGGTTCCCACCTCAGCCATCAGGGACTCCGTGACCGGAACTTTGCTTGCTCTGCTCCTAAGAGCTGCCTTGTGCTCTCGCTTTTCTTAAGCCGTTGGCTATGGACACCGTAAGAAGCCCACTGACGGAGCCGGGCGTTGGTGGCGCACGCCTTTAATCCCAGCACTCGGGAGGCAGAGGCAGGCGGATCTCTGTGAGTTCGAGGCCAGCCTGGTCTACAAAGCGAGTTCCAGGACAGCCTCCAAAGCCACAGAGAAACCCTGTCTCGAAAAACCAAAAAATAAAAAAAATAAAAAAATAAGAATCCCACTGACGTACAAATGCTGTCGCCTGGAGGCCATTTCCAATCCCTTATGTCGTTGTTGTTTTAAATTAAACTTTGCTTATTAGATGGATGCATATATGTATGGATGAACAACCTCCACAACATGCATGTGTAGGTTAGAAGACAACTGGGGGAGATGGCTCTCTTCTCCTTCTGTGATGTGAGTCCGAGAGGTTGAAGTCAGGTTGTCAGGCTTGACAGAAAGGTTTACCTTCTGAGTCATCCCCCTGACATCTTGTTGGCCCTTGTGGCCCTGCTACTGGGGTTCTTGCTATTGGCTGTTAGAGGCATGATAATTCTGCCCAAGCCCTGGAGCATGGAATTCTGATCAACTTGAAGTTCAACTCTACTGGACACGCTGAATGCCTATGCAAGTCCGGATCACTCATCTTCCCAGAATGCAGCCAATAACCTCGTGCCTACATAGAGTTTTCTGCCGTGTCTACACTCACATACCTATGCCAGCCCATTTCCTCCTTCCTGGTCATCTAATTGGCTCCTCATCTTTGGATAGTAACTGCTTCTGTGTTGCTTGGTTTTCTATTTTCCTTTTTCTTCTCTGTTTGGTATTTCTGGTTTGGTTTGGTGAGGGGGTTTTTGTTTGTTTGTTTGTTTGTTTTGTTTTTTTGTCACATCACTGTCTTAACAGTATGGAAGCCAGGTCAGTCACAGGGAAGGTACACACAGGGATAACTGGCAGCTCTGAATCATCTTGCCTCTGACCTGTAGGATTCCAAGGATTCAAAAACAGGGACCAGCTTTTTTGTGAGGAACATAGCAAATGAAAAAAAGGAACCTCAAGCAAATGAAAGCTTTGTATAATCCTTGAAAATAGCATCTGTGGAGGCAGGTGGAATGTAGCACTCCAGAAATCCCAACTCCTAGAGAGGCTGAGGCAGGAGAATACAAGTTTGAGGCCAACTTGAGCAACTCAGTGAAATGTTGTCTCAAAGTGGTAAAAGCACCATGGATGTTAACTTAATGGAAGAGTACTTTGCTAGTGTGCTCAACACCCTGGGTACAATCCAGTATCACAAAATCATACATCTTTAAAAACAAAACATTGAGAGCCGGGCGTTGGTGGCGCACGCCTTTAATCCCAGCACTTGGGAGGCAGAGGCAAGCGGATCTCTGTGAGTTAGAGGCCAGCCTAGTCTACAAAGTGAGTTCCAGGACAGCTTCCAAAGCCACAGAGAAACCCTGTCTCGAAAAACCAAAAAAACAAAAAACAAAAAAAACATTGAGCCAGGTGTGGTGGCACTCAGGAGGCAGAGGAGGGTGGATCCTTGTGAGGGTAGACTAGCCTAATCTACAGAGTGAGTTCCAGAACAGCCAGAGCTACATAATAGACCTTGTCTCAAAAAAACAAAAGCCGTTAAAACAAGGAAACCAGGCATGGTTATAAAGCTAGCCATAGCTTTAGTCTCAGCACTCAGAAGTCAGAGGCAGGTGGAGCTCATTGAATTTGAGTTCAAGGTCATCCTGGTCTACGTAGTATGTGGCCAGCCAGGCCTACATAGTAAGACTGTCTCAACATGCCCGAAACCTGAGCAGCAGGCAAGCTAAAACAGAACTGTAAGTTTGTTGTCAAAAAACGAAGCAACAACAAAACCAAAACCCAAAAGAAAATCAATTTTACCAAAACAGCAAAAAAGACATCAGAAAACCAAGGAAGCATGCACACATATATGAAAAGAAAACTGACAGGCCCGGGGCACAGGAAAACAACCATCCACTCTCCACGGGCCAGGCGTGGGGTGTAGGCACAACCCAATGCAGTAGTGGAGGCCCGAGGGACAACCACAGAAGTCCGTCCTTGTCCCCCATCCACCCACCATGTCCTGAGGATAAAGCTAAGTTTCAGACTTCACAGCAAGCACCTTTACTTGCTGAGAAATCTTGTTGGCCCTCTATATTGTAAAAGAAATCACAGCGAGGCAGTGGTGGCACACACCTTTAATTTCAGTGCTTGGGAGGGACAGGCAGGCAGATCTCTTAAGTTTGAGGTCAGCCTGATCTACAGAGTGAGTTCCAGAACAGCCAGAGCTGCTACACAGAGGAACCCTGTCTCGAAAAACTGAAAAGAAAATAAAGAAATCACATCATACATTCTTCAGCTTGCTTCCTTCACATTAGGATGAAGTGATCATTCTAGGCCTGACAATCAGGTCTTCCTCAGTTACTATATTTCACTTTCTCTTGCTTTGTGTATGGGCATGTATAGCACATCAAGGGCGTAACACAGGTCCTCACACATGTCCAACAAACTGTCTACCACCAAGCTATATCTCCAGCCTCAATTTGACTCTTATTCCAGCCTTCCATAGGAATGTTAAAATGTGTATGTGGCTGTAATGATTAAGTCTGATAATTGTTTTTCTTTCAAGTCTTTCATAATAAAATGCTGGTGTTTCACCTGGGTGAGGCATCAGTTTCCTAGCTTTCCCAGATGGCCCTGGACAGTAATCAAGGCTGAAGACCATGATACTCCTTGAGCTAGGTCAATGGCCTGACACACCTGGAAAGGCAGCACTGTTTCTAGTGCGGCCCTAGAGGAAGACCAAGGGTGTCAAAAGGGGGATGCCTCAGGACCTGGGCTGAGGTGAAGAACAGCTTTCCCAGGGGGCGGCATGGCTCCACGTGACCTGGCAACAGGGGCTGAGACCTGCAACTGATGTTTTTTTTTCTGGCTTCTTCAAATCAGCCACAGTGCGTTGGCCTAATGACAGGGTGCATGTGCTCTTTGGCATGCATTGAGGAGAGGTGACCAGGTCCATCTTTCCACTTACCTGCTGCAAGACACCAGCTCTAGACTTCTGTGCTAAGGGTAGCTGGGATGGGAAGTAGTTGGCTCAGTCAGGTGGCTCACAGTGGGCAAGAAGCTGGCCACCTGTGGCAGGGCAGTAGCTGCAACCACTGGAGGCCACACAGAATATCCCGAAGGGGCGCCAGATGTGGAGGCGGCCTGCAGCTGGGTGGGGGGTGCGTAGTGGTGATGGTGGTGCACTGGGGGTGGCTTCTGTTTCTCAGCTCGCAAGACTCCATGGTGTGGCCATCGTTGGTCCTGGCAGAGTGCATAGCCAGGTCAGGACGGCAGCATCCTTTCCTTATGTCTGGGCCCAGCTTGGGGGAAAGGGCAGCAGAACGTGATGGGAATACAACCTGGGCTTAAGTTCTCCGTGCCCCAGCTACATCACCTGTTCCTCATGCAGAAGGACATACCCACAAGCCAGGGTTTTTTTTTAAACCCTTGCACAGGTACCCGGGAGCACCACCCCATCCCCAGCCAGTGGCTAAATCTCAGCATCCAAACCTACCTGGAGGGTAGCAGCATGTGGCCCCGTGGGCCCAGGAGGCAGGGCTTTGAGCATCATGTTCTGCATGAGGATCTGGTGCATCTGTGCATTCTGCATCAGCATCATCTCCACCATGTCTGAAAGGAGATCAGGTCTTACTCATGTTGGCTGTCACCAGGGTAAGGTGCCCGGCTTATCCTTTGGCCTCCACTAGTGCAGGGTGGTGTGTGTGTACGCCCCCACCCCCATGGCTAAATAAATACAATTGAAAATAAAACACGTGGCTGGAGAGATGACTCAGTGGCTGTTCTTTCAGAGGACCTGGGATTGATTCCATGGACTGCTAACAACCATCTGTAATTCCAGTTCCAGGGGACCCGATGCCCTCTTCTGGCCTCTGAGAGCAACACATGAGCATGGTACACACTGATACATGCAGGCAAAATACTTGTACACAAAATAAAAATCCTTTTTCAAAATGACTTAGCAAGTGTCTGTTCTCAACACCCCAAAATGACAGTCTGGGCTCAGGTGAGGTTGGACTCCGACCCGGAATGCTAAACAGTCAGCATTCTTCAGCAACCTTGTGAAGTGGTTAAGGAATGCCCAGAGAAGCCATTTCTCATCTGCTTCTACAGCCCCCGTCTCTGGACAGGGCATCTAGTTCTCTGATAATTCAAACAATCCTCCAACAGATTGGAGCCTCACAGAGACAGAACACAAACAACTCATAAGTCTCAGGAAGTCTTTGAAACCTACCAGATACACAAAGCCCCGCCTTCCACAATTATATAAGCAGTAAGGACTGCTGAGGGATTCCGACCAGCCAAGCTGCCTGGAAAAGACTCTTTGACCTACTGACTGGGGCAGAGCTCTGAGATTCCAGCTTTCACAAGTCACTACCTATCCTGGGGTGGACTTTTAGTCATCCAGCTACCTTTTAGTTGCCCTTGTTTCTGTACGTAACCCTGATAGACTCATTGGCTCACGAGGCTGGACTTTAGTGGTACTGTTATTTTTGTCTGTTACTGGTTCTCTATCTGGGGTAAATAGATGTTTATGTTGAATCTCACCAGGAAAAGTGTCACCTAACACCTACTTACAAAAATACTTTCCCTTTCAGGGTGTAGTTTCACAAACCTAAAGTAATAGCAATCTAGAACACATACACACCTTCCTTGATGCTTCCAGATCTTTGAGTGGGAAAGGCCTGGGGAGGAGAAATCTGTGCAATCAGTGGCTGCTGGGGGAGCTGCTGAATGATGGTGGCAGGAGGCTGGGGGACCTAAGAAAGGCCAGTTGGTTAGCTATCTGAATGTACAGTCTTCACAAGTATCCTCCATCCATCCATGTGCAGTTAACTATCCATCCATCTATCCACCCAGTCATTTGTCCATCCACACATCCCATCCATCCGTCTGTCCTCCTGCCTATCCACCTACCCATCCATCCACCCATTCACCCATCCCTCCGTCATCATCCATCTGAAAAGAGATTTAAATGATTAACACTAAGTTAAATAAACAATTGAATAGAAAATTTCTTGCATCTGGTTATCATTAGGACTTAGTTTTGTTTTCTTTTTGAGATGAGGTCTCCCTGTGTAGCTCTGACTGGCATAGAACTCACTATGTAGCCAAACTAGCCTTGAGCTTGTGGTGGTCCTTCTGCCTCTGACCCCAGAGTATGGGATGTAAGTATATACTACCGCATCCAGCATGTACAGATATTTTTAATGTTTCTCCTATCTCCTACCTTCAGGAAGGTAGTTACTGTGGGGTTAATTTTGCTTTAAAAATAGATTTAATAATTGATGTGTTCAGTCTTTTAACTTGTATGCAGGAGTAGAGTGGAATTTCCTGGTGGAGGGAGTCTGAGGTGTTCACAAGTCTCTTCCAGGGGCTTGTCTGTTGTAGCGCCATTACCAACTTTGCTGCTTACTACAGCTCTCCCATATGGAGCAGGGCATAAATAGACCTTGTGCACAGATAGCCTCTGGTTTCTTTTGAGTGAAGTAAATGTGCAGCGATTTCAAGCAAACACCAGAGACTTGTTTAATCCCTTATGAGTCTCAAGGGAACTTGCCACTTCTTTTTATTCTCAGAGTCAGTGGCCTAGACCACACTCAGGAGCTTTCTCCCCCAGAGATGTAGTGAGGGAGGTCTCATGGGCCACATGGGCTCAGTTGTTAAAAATGAGAACAGCCACAGACAGATGTCAACGTGAGTTCTTATCAGTACTATTTCATGAAAATCAAAGTGCGTCTTCCTGTGTTACAAGGTATTTTTCCTACATTTCTCTGCCAACACATAAGAGCATGAAACCAGCCAGGTTGTGGTGCATGGTTTTAATCTCAGCACTCAGGAGACAGGGGCTGGAGGCATGGTCTATGTAGTAGGGCCAGCCAGGGATAGATAGTGAGACTGACCCTGTCTTAACAGCAAACACAATGGTCCTGACAGCAGGTAGAAACGCAGGCTGGACCATCTGGAAACTGGGTGCATCCAGCTCTTCACACAGGGGGCGCTGCGGATCCATTCCCTCTGCTAAGTGCTGCTGCCAGTTCTCCTGCCCATAGGGCAGCTGTCTCCAGGTCACCACCATGGTCGGAACATGGTTTTCTCTTGTGCCTATTCTCCCCATGCCTGCATTCCCTCATACTGAATCCCAAGCAAAGCCTCACCTGGACCTCCTAACTCCTCTGTTTAATAACACTCTTTCTGAGCCATTGAGATGCTTAGCAGATAAAGGTATTCACCAAGGGGCTTAGCAACTTGGCTATCATCCCCAGAACCCATGTGACAGAGGAAGGGCAGAACCTATTTCACAGTATTGCTCTCTGACATCCACATATGCACTGTGGTACATGTGTCCCATATGTGTATCACACGCGCACACACACACTAATAATACGTACAATTGTAAATATATATGTATATATTATTTACTCAAGAAGTCGGTTGGTTGCTTGTGACTCAGAATGCTGTGTGTAGGCCACGCCACGTAAAGCTCTCCGAATGGTATGCTCTGTTTTTTGTCACTCTGTCCTTAAGCCAGGGTCTTAAACATCCCTGGTCACTGTGAAGGATTAAAGGGTTGTGTGTCTCTGAATTTAGGGCCCACTGGTGCTAAACTCCCCTAATCCTTCCAATGCAGCCGCTAGGTTGGTCTTATAGGCTGAGTCCGTCTTGAGAGGTGGCCATCCCGAAGCCAGCTCTCCCTCTATTTCCCCAGATGACTCATGGTGCCATGGGCAGCAAATGAAGCTGCTGTTGGCTTTTAGCAGACTGAACCTCTCCAGAGCACTGGCACCCTGCTGGGACCTCCTGGAAAAGGGATGACAAGAGTCCTTGGCCTCCCTTCCTGGAGTCGGAAGAGAGAAACATCTCTGGACCCCCTGGTTGGATGGACGACTGGAAACACAGTGCACTTCTGCATTGCTATGAAGTCTCAGTTCTGACTCTCCTTCCCCACCAGAAGTTGCTGTTACCCAAGAGTCCTACCGGGTGCTGGATGATCCTTGGTGGCTCCTGGGGTGGGGGCAAAGATGGGGAGGCAGCAGGGAAGACATCCATCGGAGGCACCTTCGGGTTCAGGGCAGGCGCCAGAGTTCTTTCATGTGTCCTGCTCCAGGCATGGGTTGGGGAGGGCTCATCCATCAGCCGCTGTTCCTAAAAGGTTGACAGCCATCAGCAGAGAGCCCTGACCCAACCTACAAACCTCACTGGGTGAACAGGCTGTGAATATTAGTCTCTTGAATGCTCACAGTTCAGTTACCCACCCCCAATTTGCAAGCATTAGCTAATTGACCCCAGGAGTACAGACAAGCGTTGTTGGAGTCTCCTAGCCAATGTATTAATTAGTCTATGGAGAGTTAGGACCGGGTTTGACAGAGGGTACAGGCCTACCCAGAGTCTCTGCAGAAGGTCCTTCCTTCTCCTCAAAGCACTCTGCAGGGCAGGGTCTGGCTTTTCCTGCTGCCCTGAGTGGAGAAGGCACACGTCACTGAGGAGTGTATCCTGGCGGGTGGCTCTGGCACCCTGCACCCTAGGATCCAGAGTAGCCTGGAGCCTCCTGAGCTTGTGTCTCATAAACATTCATCCCAGAGAAGGAAGGACCAGGGCTGGGGCAGGCAGGAGGGCCTATGGTAGATAGGGGAGAGCTTGGTTAGTCATCCCAGTGGATTGTGTTGGTGCTGAAAGGCACTGAAAGTCAATAAACATATCTCTCTTAGTGCTCCAGGACTCCAGGACTGCAGGAGGCCTCCACAGGCCCAATCATGCCTCCATAGCTCTGAATCCAAGTGTCTGGAAAAGACAGGCATGCTCACCAACTGCAAGGAGAGAATCTTACTCCAGAGAAAGCTCTGGAAGCAGTCTGCTTGCCCTGGCATCCTATTGGAGCTGGGATTTTGATCTCTGGAAGCTTTACCTGGGATGCCCTCTGGCACGTTTGTGACCATTGGGTTGTGTGCAGATTCCTGGAGCATGTGGCCTGGTTTGCCATTTTCCATCTAGATTTGAGGCTCCCATGTTTGGTCAGCTGCCCTCAGTGTTCCCAGAGTTACCCACAGCCATGAATACTCCAAGTTCTAAAGACTGAGGCATGTTCCTGTGGCCCCAGATCTTCATTCAGTTGTCCATAAACCTATATTCTGGTCCCAGGTACTGAGAAGGATAAGATTGAGCCCTGCCCATCCCTGGAATCAGAGCAATACAAGTCTGCGTTGGTTGGGACAATTTCTGCACTGAGCAATCTGAGGTATGTCATCTTACCTCTCTGTGGCTACATTTCCTCATCTACATGATGTATTTCCCCTAAGGGAGTCGGCTGGCTAAGGGTACATCATGTGAGCATGCATGTGTGCATGCCAGTGTGTGTGCGTGTGCATGAGTGTGTGCGTGCGCGCATGCCTGTATTGTTTACAGGTGAAAACAAAAGCCGGGGCCTGCTCTGCCTGCCCACCTTCTGGTCTGTTCTCCCTCCCACCTGTGTGTGCCCAAGCATCTTAAAGCTCTCACCGGCTCTGTCCATGCTTTCTCGTTCCTGTTCCAGCATCTGTGAGGAGGAAACTGTGATGGCGGCTTGACTCCAGGTGGGTGAGTGGAGTCTGCACTGCCCACGTGCCTGTGTACCTGGTATTCCAAAAGCTCTGAGAGTGGTCAGTACCCAAAAGAAGTACTTTTCAAATCTCTTAAGGATTATTCTGGTCATGTTCTCAAACATAATGAATGCTGTCTACTTATAAACCCAAAGGGGAGACCCTGAGGGGCCCCGAGGTGATGAGCTGATGAGACACAAGTAGGACATCCTGATGCACTGGTGGACCCCATGGGTTTCCCTGCTGGGATACAAAGGGGACACCCTGATGGGAATCAAGAGGGATGCTCTGGTGGCCCTTAAGGGGGCACTTTTCTTTAAAATATTTTATTTATTTATTGTGTATACAGCCTTCTGCCTGCATGCCAGCAGAGGGCACCAGATCTCGTTCAAGGTGGTTGTGAGCCACCATGTGGTTGCCAGGAATTGAACTCAGGACCTCTGGAAGAACAGTCAGTGCTCTTAACTGCTGAGCCATCTCTCCAGCCACCAAGGGGGCACTTTTAATGGGTCCCAAGACCCTGAGCCCTGAGAGGGTTGTTCCAGGCAGATTTCTGAGTAGCGACCCTTGCAGAGACTACTCTCAGTTGGTACCCCGGGCCACCAGGGCCCTGAACTAGGTAGGGGTTTCAGGGTTGTTAATAGGAAGTAAGTAGAAGAGGAACAATGTAGGAAAAACATCTGGAGAAGTTGACCATGGGCAGCATGAGTTCCTATGGGCCCCATGGGCAAGAGCAAGCATGTTGGCCATGGATCACTCAGAATTTCATAGATGGTTGAAAAGGCAGAGAAGACTGGGCATGACCAGGGTTTTCCCTGGGCATGTCGGACTCTTTCTCCACAGTAAGGAGTATCCCTTTAAACAAGAGCCTGGAGTACAGGGGCTTTATAGGGCTGTACCCTAGAATAGATCAACAGAGGCTGACCACAACAGTGGGTAGGCTCTGCCTTACCTGTTCCAGGAGTCGCAACGTCAGCCGGGTCATCTGATCTGTCATTGAGGAGTCCGACATCCTAACAACTGTATAAAAAGCCTGAAGAGAAGTAAGAGGCTGAGGTCCCACTCTGCCTTGGCCCTTGGTTACAAGCAGCAGAGAGCCCCCTCAGGGGTCATGTTGCCTCAGGACAAGAGAAGAGGAAATAGGAGATTGACTGGTCCCTCCCTGGTTTCCAGTGCCAGGCCCTGCCCTGGAGTTGTGACAGTTGCTAGCCTGTGGAAGGGAGGTCCTGGGTTGCCAGGATGCCTCTGAGAGTCCTTCCTGGGCTCTGTGTCCAGTAAATGGGTTGCCTGTAAACACTGATCAGCAGGTGTGGCCAGGCACAGATCAGTGGGGAGGTGAGAGGTCAGAGGGGCAGACTTCAGATTCTTCCAGACACCACTTACCCCGGGAAATAGTGTAGAAGAATGAGTGGCGGACTCCCTGTCTCCTCCAGAGCCACACCCACTGCTGTGGACACCCTGTTACTCTGCCAGCTGCCAGGAGGAGTTCCTGCTTCCAGAGCAAGACTTCCCCGAGTCTGGCTTCGTAATGATGAGCTATGACTTCTTGTTTGCTTCTTTCTGCAGCGTAGAACCAGTTAGTTTCCAGCACTTTCCAAAGTCAAGAGGCAGGCTGTACATACCAGCAAGTGCACTTCTAGTACACAGCCCTGTAAAACTGCCTTTGTGGCTGGAGAGATGGTTCAGAGGTTAAGAGCACTGGCTGCTCTTCCAGAGGTCCTGAGTTCAATTCCCAGCAACCACATGGTGGTTGACAACCATCTGTAATAAGATCTGGTGACCTCTTCTGGCCTTCAGGCATACGTGTAGACAGAACACTGTATGCATAACAAATAAATAAATCTTTTTTTTTTTTTTTTGGTTTTTCGAGACAGGGTTTCTCTGTGGCTTTGGAGGTTGTCCTGGAACTCACTTTGTAGACCAGGCTGGCCTCGAACTCACAGAGATCTGCCTGCCTCTGCCTCCCGAGTGCTGGGATTAAAGGCGTGCGCCACCAACGCCCGGCAAATAAATCTTTTTTTAAAAACTGCCTTTGTGATGTTCTTGTCCTTACATGGAACCTTCGAAGCAAAAAATGCAGTGTGGCCAGACACGTAGGAGGACTGTGGGAAAGGAGCTTCCTGAGGGCTTCAGGAAATTTTTTGTGGCAGAGACTTTGACCAGAGAGGGATAAAGGACACCTCCTAAGGGGACACCCGGCCAGAGGGCGCACTGTCCTAGAGGGTGCAGACAAGAATACAGAAAAGGAGGTCACACATGGGGGCAGAGGTTCTAAACCAAATGGGATGTAAGTCAGTGCCTCCCCTTGAAACAGGAGATGCAGCTGGGCCACAGCAGGGTCTAACTAAGCCCTGTGAACCTAAGAGACAACTGGGGTGGGGCCAGCACCCCTGGGACCCGCTAACTCTGGAAATTCCATCAGGTTGAAGGAGAGTCAAAGGGACATACACAGAGAAGGAAGGCAAAAGCAGGCTCCCTGAGACGGCAGCTTCTTTTCCCAGAAGACATTGCTAAGAGGAACAGCAAGGCATGGCTGTGAGTATCATAAACAAGAACTATGAGGGAAAGGGGAACTATCCTTAGTTGGGACATCTGGGATGTTTTCCCTCTGTTTGGCTTGGCTTGTGGCTTTCCGGGATTTAGTGCCTTTCTTATGACATGGTGCTGAAGGCACAACCTATCAACACCACTTACCTCTGCGGCGCTGGCCTTAGAAGCAGCTAACCCATTTCTCTATTGCAAAATGCCTGTCCTTTTTCTGTACTGGCCTCTGTGGTAGAAAGTTGCTAGGCACAGTAAATGTTTACAGGGTAAGGAGCCATGTCCAATGCCTGTGAGAGCATCCGTGTAACTCACTTCAATAGCTTTTAATACTAAAAATAAATTGAAATAAGATCCGAGTGCGACGCTGGTAGAGCTTCCTTCATGTTTCTATATAAATGACTTTTTGCGGGTGTTGGCTCAGGTGAACGGGGCACACACTCCCCTACTGCCTGTTGTAAATGGATAAAAATAAAACTAAGACTCAAGATTCAGTTATGACTCAGGGCTTTAGTTGTTCTTGGGAAATCTGATCTTGCTAGCTTTGTGACACCCCTTCTTCTAAGGAGCCTACTCTCTCATTTGCACAAAACACCTAGTTCTGAATCTGGGAGTCAAGAGGATTCCATTTGCCAAAGAAGACTGGAATTTGGCCCAGGGAGGAGTAAGGGAGGAGTACTTCTTTGTGGCTTTGTTTCCAAAGCCTCCTGAAATTGGTTTTTTTTTTAGGGGGGGGGTGTTCAAGACAGGGTTTCTCTGTGGCTTTGGAGGCTATCCAGGAACTCACAGAGATTCGCCTGCCTCTGCCTCTCTGCCTCTCTGCCCCTCTGCCCCTCTGCCCCTCTGCCCCTCTGCCCCTCTGCCCCTCTGCCCCTCTGCCTCTGCCTCTGCCTCTGCCTCCCTAGTGCTGGGATTAAAGGCATGCACCACCACCACTGGGCCTTCCTGAAGTTTTGTTTATGTTGTAGTCACTTAGGTGCATGGATTCCACTAAGGCTGCCAAGTCTTGGTAAAGTGTCACTCCATGAGTTAAGGGAAGAACTTGTTTCTGCTTTTGTCTGAAATTCAAACCTCCACAACAAGCCATGTTCAGCTGGAGGCGTGGGGTAGGTAAACTTAGCAGAAAGTACCCAAAACCCACTGATCTAACCCAAGAAGGCACTCAATGCATTGATAGTGGGCTTTATCTGAAGAAATGGGAGGAAAAAGCTCAGACCTGTCCTCCTGTACCCCATCTTTCTTTCCAGGTCCTCTCCTAACTATAGACATAGAGGGGGCTGTGTTATCCTACTAGCTTCACCAGGTAGGGCTGCAGCATGGTTGAGTTTTGTGGATATTCACCTTTTTCCTTATGGCGGAACCATCCAGAGGTACTGAAATAGCTTAAGAAAGGTCAGGTTGGGCTGGGTAGTGGTGGCAAATGTCTTTAATCCCAGAACTCTGGAGGTAGAAGCAGGCAGATATCTGTGAGTTCAAGGCCAGCCCTACAGAGCTAATTTCAGGACAGCTAGGGCTGTTATACAGAAACCCTGTGGGGGGGGGAGAAGAAAGGTCAGGTTACCCAGACTCCACACTTCCTGCCCTAGGAACTACACTTGACAATGAACTTCTCATTCCTCTTCATAAAAGAACACCAAAAGGGTCCCCCTGCATGCTGAGAAAGGGTTCTGGTATGTAAAAGCCATCATGTGATGTTCAATGTCAAAGGTCACTGGTGAAGACAACCCACTCCCTTAGCCGCACTGGGTGTGATGTGATTACAGGCTTTTGGATTTAAAACCCATACCCTCCTTTGTGTGGAGCCCGAGTCTTCCCAGACAACAGCCTGCTCTTGGTCAGCTGGCTGGAGGACTCAGGGTACTCTCAACTGACTTCATAAAGTGTGGTGATCTGTACCTTTCTCTAGTGGACTATTTCAGAACAACTGCTCAGTAGTTCCTGTTTCCTGTTTGTTACTCCCACCCATCCTGTTCACAGCCTCTAACTGTGGGTGTGCCTCGTGAGGAATGGTTTGGTTTTTTTGTTTTGTTTTGTTTTTCGAGACAGGGTTTCTCTGTGGCTTTGGAGGCTGTCCTGGAACTAGCTCTTGTAGACCAGGTTGGCCTCGAACTCACAGAGATCCCCCTGCCTCTGCCTCCCAAGTGCTGGGATTGAAGGGGTGCACCACCACCGCCCGGCGTGAGGAATGGTTTTAATGGAACGAAAAGCTTGACTACAGAAAAAGGAAAGTGCATCACTTACAGGGCTCCTCAGTCTCCTTCCTTGCTATGTGAAGGTCAGGAATGAAGCCTCTTCCTGTCTTCCCAGCACAGTGGGCTTGGACCGTTCGCCTTCATTCTGAGTACTCTTCTTTCAGTGACCCTCCATCTGCCCTAACTAGGTGTGAGGTTCACAGTGAGAAGACCTTGGGTCAATGTTAACTGACAAGAGGGCGTTGGAGTCCCCGAAACTAGAGTTACACAGTTGTGACCTGCTGTATGGGTGCTGGGAACTCAATCCAGGCTCCCTCCAAGGAGCATAAGGGGAATTTAGACTGATACAGAGGGCAGGGGGCAGGCCCCTTTAAGAGGGGCTTTTTCAGTGATGACTGTAAGAGGGGGTACGTTGAAACCACTGAACTAGGCCACTCGTTGGTGGAAAGTGTTTGGTTAGAACCCCCAGCTTACCCTGCATGGTCCAGAAAGCTCCATTCCTGTCTCTCTCCACACCTCACCCTCTCAGAGAATCACCAACAAAGGCACCAAAAAAGCCCAGTTCCATATTCTTGGTGGCTACTGCAGCTTCCTCCCCCAATGCCACCAGCTGCCCAAATCCCTGCCCAAGTGGTGAGCTTTTGACATTACATGGGCACAAACCCAGCTTGTGACAGATACCTTCTCACTAAATAGACTGCTTCATTTTCATTACTCAGGGAGTCTCCAGGAATCTCATGAAGTGTTTCTCACACTGATGGAAACGCTGGTAGGGAGGGATGTTCCCTCTGGGCAGACCTGCTGGGTTTTGCCTTTGTTTGTTTGTTTTGTTTTTCTTCGAAACAGGGTTTCTCTGTATTGCTTTGGAGCTTGTCCTGGAACTCGCTCTGTAGACCAGGTTGGCTTTGAACTCAGAGATCCACCTGCTTCTGCCTTCTGAGTGCTGAGATTAAAGGCGTGTGCCACCAACGCCCTACTGTGCACAGCCCTGGCCGTCTTGGAACTCAGAGATCTATGTGCTTCTGCCTCCCCAGTGCTGGGATTAAATCGCCCTGCTGGACAATAGTGAGAAGGCAAAAATGTCAGGCATGCAGATTTGGTATAAAATAGTAGTGTTTAGCAGGGTGTTGGTGGCACACGCCTTTAATCCCAGCACTTGGGAGGTAGAGGCAGGCAGATCTCTGTTAGTTCAAGGCCAGCCTGGTGTACAGAGTGAGTGCCAGGATATGTATGCTCCAAAGCTACACAGAGAAGCTCTATCTCAAAAAACCAAAAAAAAAAAAAAAAAAAAAAAAAAAAGAAAAAAGAAAAAAGAAAAGAAAAAGAAGTGTTTATAGCCCTAAACACATTTCCTGCTGAATCTTTTAGGAAGGTATGATCTTTCAGGTGTTAACCCTCTCCAAATTCTCCATCCCTATTGAAGAAGGATGCACGCAAAGTCTTATCTAACATATACCCAGAAGCAGCCTGTAACTTTTCAACCAAAGATAAAAAGTGCTCGGGCAAGCAGGCACCAGCTGTTGGCTAGGGAAGACGGGGGGGGGGGGGCTAAACCTTCCTGATTATCCATGCTTCATTGATGAGTTCCAAACGCGCTTGTCGTTTAAAGCGGACCATAGTTGGCTCAGGTTCTTACAGAAACACCAGGGAGACTGTTTGCAGGTAGAGGCGGTGGAGTCCCAGTCAGGAGCCTGAACACAGAGACTCTGTGCATAGAAGGGTATGCATGGACACAGAACGGCCCTCTCAGTGGCAACCCTGGGCACACTGGGGACACCAGTTTTAGGTGTCATTCAGTGAATAACCACGGTTGTACTCTGCTCTTTGGGTCTGGGTTGAAGACAGGGGTCAGTATTTAGGAGGGGGCAGAAACGGTTAAGGCAGGGCCAGCGAGGTAGGTATGACTGCACCAGTGGACAAATAATTCACAGTACTCTCCCTAGAAGGACCAAAGTGGGGGGCAGCGTCCTGCCAAATGCTGAGGAACTGAGGGGCTTAAGGCGACAGCGGATCCGAAGGACGACTTTTGCAAGTGGAAGGAGCGAACCCGAGGCTTGCACGGCGGCTCGCGTGCGAGTCCTCCTCCTGTCGGGAGGGGGCGCCAGGCAGCGCGCCGCCGGGAACCGGTTTGCACGAACCTTCCCGCCGGACAGTCGACGAACAGCGGCGAGCCCCGGGAATCCTGCACCCTGCTTATTGGTGTTGGTGAAGAGGGTGGGAGCGACAAGGCACCAATTGAGGGTAGGAAAGATGGCGCTCCGCCCTTGCAGCGTCACCGGGGCGCGCGTGCGCAAGTCCGCACACGGCTCCGGATTGGCGGTGCAGCGGGGCGGTGCTGACAGTTGCGTGTATGGGGGTGGGGAGGCGAGTGGGTGAAGGGAGGGAGTGTAAATAGAGGGAAGGAGGTCTCGCGGCTGTCCTGCCACCTCCGAGCGACTCTCGAGGAGCCCCAGTTGGAGATGGATGAAGACGAGCAGGAGGAGCGGCGCAGGAAAGTGGAGGCTGGGAGAGCCAAGGTAGCGTCCTTCTCTCCGCTTTGTTGTGGAGAGAAACCCTAAGGAGGTTCTGGTGCTCACACTGCCGCCTGACAACAAGCGGCGGCGGCGGCGGCGGAGCGAGCGCTCGCCCTTCCCGCCGTTTCTGCTGAACTCACTTCCTAGCCGCCGCCATCTTGAATCCACCGCCCTCGGTCTCGCCCCGCCCTATTGCAGCCGCAGCCAATCAGCGCCTGAGACGCACGATGCCTCGTAGGCGGGCCGAGCGCCAGGGGCGGGTTCTGGTCACCTAGCATTCCTGGTTGTTGTGCTTCCTGTGCCGGGGAACGAACTGGCCAAGGCTTTTAAGAAACTGTCTTCCCGGGAACCCAGAGCTTCTGCTCACGTCTGGTGCCCTGGCCCTGGGTTTGGTTGTTCACTCTCTGGCCGGGCCCTCCAGCTCTGTCATACTTGTGAAATCTGCTCCAGATTTCGATTTTGGTTGATACTCTACCCTGGGGACATTTGTGGCTGTTAAGATAGTTTTTTTGTTTTGTTTTGTTTTTTGGAAAGTGATAGGACCTAGAGGAAGAGAAGGTGCGAACATTTTGGAAGTGGATCCTTGGTCACCTACCATGGCACCGGAGCATGGTTCCTCACTGTGTCAGCCTAGGACTCGGTACAACCACCGTGAAACGGCTGTGTTGATTTTTTTTTTCTGTTTGCCCAGTTACCTAGTAGGAGCAATCCTTCATTTGAATCACCCCCGCCCCCGCCTCGTGCAGACTAGCACACAAAACACATATTCAGTGGAAATGACAGCAGTGTCAGTTAGCAGATGGCAGCCAGAAGACACAGTGGTCTTTTCCCCCGTTAGGCAGTATATGCGAAGAGGGACGAGAAGATTTTCCCCTCTTTTTATAAGCCAGACACGCGAGAAAAGAGAGAGCACAGCATTCAGCGCTTCCATTTGGGAACTGATGTCTGCACTTGGGTGGTTTGTGAACACCAGTAGATGCACTTACTTGCAGGAGACGGAGGCCTATGAGAAGGACCGAGGCCACTGCTGAGTGACCGTAGCCAGAGACCAGGTCTTCGTTGCTGAGCAGAGCTTTGTAACAGATAGCGGCCTTTCATGGAGGAAGGCAGTCGAAGAGAACAGGGTTGGTACCACAGGCTATGTCCGTTCTTCAAATTTCTTTTCGGTCAAATATATGGCCTTGCTTATTTTCTCTGCCAATGAACTTGTGTTGCCGTTTTTTCGTTGGCAGGCACACGTTAGCTTGGATGGCCATGGTCGTGACTTGAGGGACTAGGTGTTCCCCTGTGATAGGCTCGTGCTCCAGCGCTTGCTCTTTGAATGGGGTCCGAGTGCGTGAATGCAGTCGAAAATCTCGTATTTGTGGGACTGAAAGCGGCTCAGCCTCTGACTGGCAGGCAACATTCCGCGATGGTCCCTAGTGCTTTGCTGAGCTGTGTCATGAAAAATAGAACATCTGATTCCGTGAAGGAGGATGCTGGATGACCTGGCTTGATTAAGTTTTTGCTATTTCTGTACCTTGTCTCAGAATCTATGGCAAGGAAGTTTTGGCTGGGCAATGTATCCCTTCGATTAGGGAAGGATGGGGGCAAGAAGAGAATGATCTAGCTTTATATAATAGTTTTAAGGCTGACATATGCCTTAATTAAGCTCTCAGTTGTTAAGTAGAGGCATTTTAAATTTTCTGTAAACCGCCAAGTATTAGGGCAGCTCTTCTTTTAACCAGCAATATTTTTTTCTTTTGTCTGCATCTAGGCATAATTAATAGTCATTAGTAGACTCGCTATAATTTTAATGCCAAGGTCATAGATGTCAATGAAGGCAGTGTTTGGTGGGAAAGTGGTCTCTTGGCCTTGCGCGGCTGAGTGGACCAAGCCCGCTCTTACCTCATGCTCCCCACAAGTGTATTGACTCTGTGGTTCTGTTACTTCTTTCTCATTTACCTCTGTTTCTACTACTTCTCTAAATTTTTTCGCAGCTTGCTAGCTTCCGACAGAGAAAAACAAAAAGTGACTGTCCGAATTCGAAGAAAAAGACGGCGAAGAGGAAGGGTTCGGCTGTCAATGCGCCTGTCCAGGAGGAGGATTCGGTAGCCACTCCAAACAGTGAGCTTCCCCAAGGAGAGGCTGGTTTTGAAAGCACGTCATGCAGCAGCACCCTGGAGGGGAGCACAGGGGAGTTTGCAGCTCAGGTAGGTTTATTTACTCATGTTAACATGTTGCCTACTTTCTAGTTATTGCTGTAGTAATTTACTAAATGTGGCCTTCTGTTTTTGCCTTTCAAATTTGGGGGAAGAGGTATTTTAGTTCATAAAAAGGTGAGCAAACAGGTTTTACGTAAATAAATGACTCATCTTTAAAGTTTTTTATTTGTTTATTATTGTGTGTGTATGGGCGCTCATGCTGTGGTATGCGTGAGGATGGCTTTACGGAGTAGGCTCTCTCTTTCCACCTTTACATGAGTTTTGGGAATTGAACGTAGGTTGCTTGGCTTGGACGGCACTGACTTTACCCGGCAGTGGCTTAATGCGTCAGTCCAGTGCCTCATCTTTTTTTTTTTTTTTTGGTTTTTTGAGACAGGGTTTCTCTGTATTGCTTTGGAGACTGTCCTGGACCTAGCTCTTGTAGACCAGGCTGGCCTCAAACTCACAGAGATCCACCTGCCTCTGCCTCCCAAGTGCTGGGATTAAAGGCGTGCGCCACCACCGCCCGGCCTTTAATATGATTTTGACGAGTTTTGGGCAGTGGTTTGAAGACAAACATCAGTTTGGTGCTTTGCTAAGGGCCTTTACAGGTGAGAGCAGTCTGCTTGCATGTGGTGTGGCCTGGTTCTGTGTGAGCTCTGTCTGTGTGACATTCCTTTACCTACTTCTGGATGCAGCATGCGGTGTCTCTCCACTTTGCTAACTTGCTGAAGGTTGGATTAGGGGAAAGGGAGGGTGTGTGGCCAGAGGAGCTGGCCTCTGTCTGCTTGGGTCTATGAGTTGTGGGGAGCATGCCCCCTGACTCCCTTACCTCCCTGGACCTCCAGACTGCTCCTAGGAACTCCCATGTAGATTGTAGCGCTGTAATATTTCATTGTAGTGAAATCAGCTTTCCACGTGAGCAGATTCGATCAAATGTAATCTTAATTAAGGGAAATATTTCCCTTAAATGTTTGGGAAAAACTGCATTTATGAATATGCACACATTTGTTTTTCCAAACAACACAACAAAGCTGTATACACGGCGTTGATACTGTTAGGGGTCACAAGGAGCCGAGAGAGGCACCTGGAAATAGTTTGTCTTTTGGAGGATAGAGGTAGGTCACGTGAAAATCCTATACTATTCTGCCCGTCCCTGAAGAGTCCAGAGACACTGTGCGCTATTCTGTTGATGTGCTAACCCGTCACAGGCTGTTTCCATACTCTGTCTAACGCTGCCGTGACTGTCTGTGTCCTCCTTCTGTTCCCACAGGACACAGTTGTTCAGTTCTCTGGTGTATTACTCATTTCTTAGATACTGTTTCTTGTGTAATTTCTCTAGACTGCGTTCTTTGCTTTGCTTCTCTAGGAACGACAAGACTGTGACCTGGATGAGCCTGGCCTGCAGCCGCAGCCACAGCAGCAGCTGCAGCCACAGCAGCAGCCGCAGCCACAGCAGCAGCCGCAGCCACAGCAGCAGCCGCAGCCACAGCCACCCCAGGTGATCTGCTCGGCCTGGCTGTGGCTCTCAGCCTGCACAGGGTCATAGCCTGTGTTCTGCCATTCTTAACAGGGCATAGTGGGTCCTGGTTGCTGGGGATGGTTGCAAGTGGGAGAGACAGGTGGGGGCTGTGGCTAGCTGTTATTTTCACATTGATTTCCGAGTCCATCCCCCAAGCAAATGGAGGGTCATGTGTGGATACCTGGGCTGGGAGTGTGGCACATCTGCCGTGTGAGAGAGGTGCACTGTGTTTGGTGTCAGTCATAGTGTTTTAACCTGGAGACACACGCCAGCATGGAAATGGGATGGTACCCTTGTGTTACATGCTCCTCCCTCCTCCTCCTCCTCCTCCTCTTTTCCTTCTTTTTTTCTTCCTTCTCCTTCCTTCCTTCCTTCCTTCCTTTTTCAATTTCTGCTTGGTGTTGCCCTTACCACCCTGGTTCCTGACCCGGATCTCATCAGGCCTGGTTCCTCTCTGTCCGCAGACAGGACACAGCCTTGAGCTGGAAGCGCTGCGCCTGAGCCTGAACAACATGCATACGGTACAGCTGGAGCTGACACAGGCCAACCTGCAGAAGGAAAAGGAGACGGCGTTGACGGAGCTGCGGGAAATGCTCAATGGCCGGCGGGCCCAGGAGCTGGCGCTGCTGCAGAGCAGGCAGCAATGTGAGCTGGAGCTGATGCGGGAGCAGCATGCCCGGGAGAAGGAGGAGGTGGCACTCCGCTGTGGGCAGGAAGCAGGTACCGAGCAGACGCGGGATGCGGACCACATGGCCCCACTCTCTCCGTTTTTGTGCTCATAGCCTAGCCCTTAACAGCTGAGTCGTCTTTGCAGATCCCCCCCACCCCAAACACACATACATGCACGCACACATATCACACGCACACACACACATGCACACACATCACACACATGTGTGCACGCACACACACCACACACACACACACACACACCCCTAGCCTTTAACAGATGAGTCATCTTTCCAGACTATCCCCTCCCCGCCCCCCAACACACGCACTTGAGGCACCCTGCTGATTTTCCAAATCACTTTAAGTTCATGCTCCCGTGTTTTATCCCTCAGGAAGGAGATGAGGCATCCGTGGTTCCTCTGTGTTGGTCAGTCCTTGATAGTGTTCAGACCCAGCCCCTTTCAAGCACAAGGAAACTCACCTGGGTCTGTGTTGCTGGCTGGGCAGTGCTTGGGTTTGGCATGGCTGTTCATCTTAGATATGATGATGTTGCAGGTCTGCATGCTGGGTCAAATACACTCTCAGTCTGCTGCCTGCTGCCCATAGGCCAGCCTGTGTGGACTGTTTCCTTTTAGTTAATTGTGTTTTGTGTGTATGGGTTTTTGCCTGAGTGTATGCCTGGTGCTCGTGGAGGTCAGAAGAGGTCCTTGTTCATCCAGAACTGGAGTTCCAGATGGTTCGGAGCTACCATGTGTGCCCTGGGAGTTGAACTTAGCTCCCCTGGAAGAGCAGCCAATGGTCTTAACTGTTGAGCTATCTCTTCAGTCCCACTTTTTTTTTTCAAATAAATATCAGCTTTATTGAGAAATAACTCCCGTGTCACATAGCCTGTGTGCTTAAGCAGTACAGTTTGCAGCCTTTGGTGTGTCTACGAAGTTCTGGAGGCCTCTCCATTGCAGGGGTTGAGAGCATCCCTTACTCAGAAAGAGGGCGTTTGCTGCCTACTGGGTGAGCTTACTTTTCTGCTTGCTTCTCTGGCTTCCTTGTGACAAGTAGAAACATCGTCTCTAGCCATGGCTTTGCTGGAGAAATGTGCTCCCTTGCCTCTCTCTGCCCTCGGTGTGAAAGACCGGTTTTCTTGTCCGGGTGCCTTCTGTGTTTCTTTAGGCACTTTGAAAGGAAACAAATGCATGTTTGTGTTTTCTTCTCTTTTTCAGTCTGAGAGCCTTTTAGCCTTTTGTGCTTTTCTTCGCAGTTGCAGAGACCCTTCTCTGTGGCTCCTGGTTAGGCCTGCCGTCCCTAGGGAAGGAAGGCAGAGGACTCAGTGGCGCTCTGGGGTGTAGCACCTTGCTCTCGAAGGATGGATCCCAGCCTTTAGTCACCCTTAGACTTGTCTACTGCCACCTTGTCCTGCCCCATGCCTCCTGCCACCACTCTGCTTCTTCAGGCCTACCCTTCCCTGACCTCTACTTCCGGTTCTCTCTGGGAGGCTTATCAGCTCCCGAAGCACCGCTGGAGCCGACCTGCATGGGCTTGAATTGGGAGCTGCTGGATCTCAGCGCAGTTTCTCATGTCTTAATACCTAGTCCCTTACCTGAACCCTGCACAGTGGGCACATGAACTGAAACACCTTGCAGTTCTCTTGTCCCGAGGCTCGCATGGGTTTGGGGGTGTCGGCAGGATTCCAGTAGCTGATCTCCCGCTGTACTCAACCTTAGGAGAACTTGGGTGACTGAGAATTTCAACATTCTTCATTTTGATGTGAATACATTTTTTATTCAAACTAACCATCGCCTGGACATCTTGTTCACTGTACATTGGCAACTCTCTCGAGTGGATAGTGGGTACTAGAGCCCCATGTCTGCTGGGCAATGAGGTCATGGAGAAAGTCGAGACTGGGGTCTGAGCAACTTGTTACATTTGTCTTGCAGCTGAGCTGAAGGAGAAGTTACGTTCAGAAATGGAGAAAAACGTCCAGATGATAGAGGTGTGTAGTTGACCGGAAATACAACCTGTGTGCGCACTATTTACTTCCACAGTCCACTTACCCGCCCCTCGCTTTATGCAGATCAGATCAGTCCAGGGGAATTGGAATGTGCCGGTGCAAAGTGAATTCTTTGTTTACAGTGTTTCTTAGCAGACTGATTTTGCTGTTTTGCTGACTCTTGAAATGTGAAGCTTCCCAGCCACCCTTTTACATAGTGTTGTGGATCCCGTCCCCATCTTTGTGGACTTGTGTCTGGAGGGGAGTGGTGACTGTAGCCAGAGGTGCAATTGTGGCCGATGCACCAAGGTGCTAGCCAAGTTGCCACTGGTCCCTTGTAGGAAGGTGGTTTCAAGAGCCTTTGAGAGTCCTCTTATGAGATACCTAACATTCAGAGATTGGTTGTACCACAACCTACTGTTCCTTTTACATTAGACTCTGAAGCAAGATTGGGAATCTGAGAGAGAGTTATGTCTGGAAAATCTCCGCAAGGAATTGTCTGCGAAGCACCGGTCGGAAATGGAGGGTTTGCAAAACCAGTTTCAGAGAGAATTAGCGGAACAGAGGGCTGAGCTGGAGAAGATTTTTCAAGCCAAACATGAGGCTGAAGGTGAGCCCCTGATTAAAGCGGGCACGTCTGGAGGGGCAGAGAGTCTGCCGCGATGCTAGTGCGAACACCACTGCGATTAGACTTGCCTTTCTCACCTTTGCGTTGCAGGGCAAGCTGCCGAGGACATTAGGTCATGAGTGGCCAGGAGGTGTTGTGGCTGCTAGCCAACTGCCCTGCCTCTGTTTCATAGGTCCCCCTTACACATGCAATTACTAAATTATCACGGGAGCAGTAGTATGGTGGCCGCTCACTTTTGATGCTCCAGGTGTTGTGTAACATAGGGTTTTTTTTGTTTTGTTTTGTTTTTCGAGACAGGGTTTCTCTGTGCAGCTTTGGAGGCTGTCCTGGAACTCGCTCTGTAGATCAGGATGGCCTCGAGCTCACAGAGATCCACCTGCCTCTGCCTCCCAAGTGCTGGGACTTAAGGCGTGCGCCACCAATGCCAGGCAGCATAGGGATTCTTGTGAGCTGAGATGTCTGTGCCTGAGCCCCTCCCTCCATGGGAAGAGCATGCTACTCCCCACAGGGGTCCTGATGGAGCCTGCTCGGCTTGGCCTCGGCTTGTGCCATCGATTTGTCCCCTGTCCAGACGTTCCCAGGATGGAACGCAGTGGGCACAATTGTGGGTCTGAGGTGAAATGCCACTCAGCTCTGCTGCGGAAGGGAGCACCGTCTTGTCACACGCCAGGTGACCTCTGCGCTGCTTTCTAGTTTCCCTGAAGGAGACCCAGCACCAGGCAGCTGTCAAGAAGTTACAGGAAGACCTGCAGTCGGAGCACTGCCAGTATTTACAAGATTTAGAGATGAAATTCAGAGAAAAGGAAAAAGAGAAAGAGTTGGAGGTAGGCAAAAACGTAACTTCCTTTTGGTTGGTTGTTTGTATGCGGGGATGGGGTGTGTGTGTTTGGGCATTTGTAGGTGCAGACATGAGTGCGTGTGGCTAGTCACGTGTACACAGAGGCTGATGTCAGGCGTCTCTCCTCTGTTGTACTCCGCCTTATTTTCTGAGATAGGATCTCTCACTGAACCTTGAGCTCACGGATTGGCTAGACTGGCTGTCTTCCTGTCTCTGTTACCCAGCAGCAAGAAAGATGATTTGTTGACACGAGTTATACTTGGCCATAAGTGGGAACAGAATTCGTTCAGAATGCCACAGGCTAGGGCAGAGGGCCAGAGGGACTGTTTGGTTGTAATGAAGACAGTCAGTCTCTCAGGTGGTCTCTGTGAGCAGATGGTGTTCAGGTCCATTGAGGCTTAGACTGACAGTAACATAAGTCAGCGCAATCTTACTGTAACCCAGAGCCTGCAGAGGCCTTGTCTTTCCATGTTTGACCATAGGGCTATGGCCCAAGAGGAGATGTACATGAGGGTTGTCCTTTGGCCCAGCCTTCCTGACCAGGTATTAAGGCCTGGGCTGGGGCCTCCCCACTAATTATTAGAAGTAGATATCTTTGCTTAGAGACAAAAACTGACCTGGGCAGGAACAGGGACACATGTCCTTGAAAGGAAGGCAAAAACCCAACCTCTGTGCAGACAACATTCATTTTTAAAAAATAATCTTACAAGTTTTAATTAAAACATATCTTCATGTTCACCCTTCCCCGTTTTCCCTGTAACTCCTCCCATGTCCTCCTAGCCCCCGCTTTACCCCCTCTCAAATTTATGGTCTCTTTTTCTTTGATATTACTGTTATATACACACATGTATATTACACACACGCATGCACACACACACACACACAAATATATAAATATAACCTCCAGATTCCATTTAATGTTTCTTGTATTTCAGGGCTGACAACTTGATACTGAGTAACTAATTAAGGGCTTCATTATTCGCGAGCTCTCGGTAGTCACTAGTTGCCTATAGTTCTTGTCCAGTAGTGTGGCTCTTTGAGGTCCCCCCCTTCCATGTTATCAGGGTTGTCCCTGTTATTGAGACATTACAAGTGAAGCTTTCCTGCCATTTCTAGGAGACAGTTTCACAACAGATGTCCTGGTCTTCTGACTCTTACAATTTTTCTGCCCCCTCTTCTACAGCGTTCTCTGAGCCTCGGATGTAGGAGTTGTGATGTAGATGTCTCTGTTGGTGCTGGGTCATGTGTATTTTGACCAGTTGTGGTTTTCTGTGATGGTCTTACTCCGTGTGTTTTTCATGCTTCCTTGTGAGACCCCAAGGCGACTTTTTCAGAGTACAGAGCCCTACTTGCCGCCTGTTCATCTCCTTTGGTTCTCATGTCAACTTTTCTTCTTCTTCACAGTTAGAGAATCTTCAAGCATCCTATGAAGACCTGAAGGCTCAGTCCCAAGAAGAAATTAGACGCCTATGGTCCCAGCTTGAGTCTGTGAAAACCAATACAGAGGGACTGAATGGTGAGGAATTTTGTGGGTTGTTTAGGTCCTTGGAAGTTAAGCTGTGCAGACTTTCATTTAATTCTTTTTTTCATTCATTCATTCATTCATTCATTCATTCATTCATTCATTCTTGAGGTGGTGTATTAGAACCTAGGGCCTTGCGTATTAGCAAGGACTGTACCACGAATCAAATCCAACCCCTGTGACTTTCCATTGTTGAATCATAGAGTTTACTAGTGGGGGTGGAGGGAGGGAGAAGGGGAAGAGAGAAGGGAGGAAGAACACAAACTTGTGAGCTTGCTTATACATCTTGAAGATGATCCATGTTTTGTATACACATGGAGTTTTTTTTTTTTTTTTTTTTTTTTGGTTTTTCGAGACAGGGTTTCTCTGTGGCTTTGGAGGCTGTCCTGGAACTCGCTCTGTAGACCAGGCTGGTCTCGAACTCACAGAGATCCGCCTGCCTCTGCCTCCCGAATGCTGGGATTAAAGGCGTGCGCCACCAACACCCGGCCCACATGGAGATTTTGACAGTGGGATGTGTTTGCTGTTCTTGCAGAGGACACATACTTGGTTCCTGCACCTTCATGGCAGTTCACAACCATCTGTAACTCCTGTTCTAGGGGATCTGCTGTCCTTTCTGTCCTTTGTGGGCACTGTATACACTGTATAGTGTGTGTGTGTGTGTGTGTGTGTGTAGACAAACACTCGTATACATAAGATAAAAATAAATCCTTAGCTTGGGAAACAGGGGAAAGGGTGGGAGGGAAAGGGGAGTGGGGAAAAAGTTGTCTAGCTCAATAAAAAAAAAAAATGGAAAAAAAATCCTTAAAAGGGAAAGGAAATTTGTATATAGTGAAAGGTTTCACATTGTGTTTGTCCCTCAGCGCACTTGACTGTGCCCCAATGGTACAAGTTCTTGTGGTGTAAAGTGTCCTTCATGTGTCAGTCTTACCTGGCAGTGTTACTGGGTGATACAGCAGGGTGATCCAGTGAGCTTTCCCAGGGCAGCTGCTGTCGGGTTCCTGTGGCTCTAGCTTGTGAGGTAAAAACTGAGTCTTCAGGGCCCAGCAACTGTGGCTGCTTTTGCTGGAGGCAACTCCATCTCATCCTTGCATCGAGTTGAGTGCCCTTGCAGACCCCCGGTCTCAGTTCTCTCCTTTTGTGTCAGGAGTGTCTCTGTGTAGCCAGGTGGGCATGGCCACTCGGAGAGCGGGCAGTCACCTGTGCTCAGGGACAGAGATGGCTAGGTCCAGTTCAGGCCACCAGCATCACAGAAACCTAGTCTTAACTTGCATTCTTTTCTTAGTGTTCATCTGTTCATCTGCAAACAGAGCCTTTAAGACTGCAATCTCCTTTGAGGATCAGTGTTGTTTGGATCAAGGAACAGTTCTGAGAAAGGACCAGAAACACTACCCTTTGTCATGGGATGGCAAGAGATGCCTGGTCTCCACCTTCTAGCCTTGAGCTCTGTTCATGGCCAGATATTGTAGCTATTATGTCATTCCTTTAGGGTCCTCTGTTACTGGAGTTTAGAGAAGATGTGAACTGATAGGCCTAGCATGTTCTTCCATGGGACTTCATCCTTGGGGACCTTCGATACTAAACCTTTGGGGTTGTAACTAGTCGGTCTACACTGTTTGTTAGTGGTTGCCATAGACAATTTTGTAGAAGACTTTCTTTTGGGACACCAACCAGCTCCCAAATCGTGACACAGAGACTTATTATTGGTTCTGAATGTCCAGCCTTATTTTATTGTTTCTTAGTAGCTCTTACAACTTAATTTAACCCATTTCTCTTCATCTATGTTTAGCCTCGGGCTTTTTACCTTCCTTTCTTTTTGTACATCCTGCTCCGTGTCTGCTGACGGCAGCTGCCTGACTGGCCCTGGGCATCTCCCTCCCTTTCTCGCCTGTTCTCTTCTCCCACTTCTCCCAAGCCTAGGCTCCTCCTGCTTTCTTTCTCTGTCCTCCAGCCCTGCCCTCTCCTGCTTAGCTATTGGCAGTTCAGCTTTTTGTTAGCCCAGTTAGGTCTTAGGCAGGCAAGGCGAAACAGCAGCACATCTTTACCCACTTGAACAAATGCAACGTAAACAAATGTAACACACCTTTACATAGCTAAGGTAATATCCACACACCAGCTGGTAGCATTTGTTTGTGTTTCGGTGCAGACAATCACTTTGGTAGCCTCAAAATGTGTGCTCAAAGAAAGTTTGGGGTACTGTGTCTGTGCTCTCTGCCCAGGAACTCTCACAGCTTACATCCAAGTGTCAGCAGCTGTGCCTTGCTCCAAACCTGTTTCCTGAGTCACTGAGATTGTGACAGATACAGTTCTTAGTCGCTAGGACCACGTTTCCTGCCGCAGGCAGCTGCCCGCATTCCCAGTTGCTTGGCTTTTTAAGGGGTTCCTGGAATGCTGAGTGAGCAGCGAGGCAGGAGGCTCTTAGCTCTGCACAGCCCTGAGGGGTCTGCTCACAGGCCTCGCTGTTTCCTGCTTTGTGTGTTTCCCTCTGGGGTGACTATGTACTTCCTCCTGCTGAAGGGTCATGGGAGCCGCTTGTGGCCCAGGACTCTCACCGGGAGGAGCTGGAGCATCTGCGGTCAGACTTTGCGAAGCAGCAGCAGCAAGAGCGAGCCCAGCATGAATTGGAGCTGGAGCACCTGAGGGTCTATTTTGAGAAGAAGCTGAGGGATGCTGAGAAGACATACCAAGAAGACCTGACCTTGTTCCAGCAACGGCTGCAGGAGGCCAGGGAGGATTCTCTGGAGTCTGGAGAGATCAGGTAAAGGGAAACATTGTTCCTGTTCGGTGGATTTATGAAGTGTGCGTGCATGCGTACGTGATGGGTGGGGAGTTTGAGCTAAGTTTGCACTTCTGTTTGTGATCTCATACTAATGGAGGACAGTAGAGCTGGGTTTTTTTTTGTTGTTGTTGCCTTGGTTGGCCTCTGTTTTCCTAGTCCTGGAGTTAAAGGTGTGTACCCCCACATCAAGCGCAGCAGAGCCAGCGTGTGGCCCTGTGTTATAGTACTGGCTAAGCATCATCTGGTCCTTAACCTGGATACTTTACCTCTGTGTGGCTGGGCCCAGGGACAGAGTGGGCCAGAAAAGGATGCACTAGAGCTTTTATTTTGTCTGAAAATTTTTTAATGTTTATTTTATGTGAATGAATGTTTTGTCTGCATGTATGTCTATGTATCACATGCCCAAGGAAGTCAGAGGAAGGCATTGGCTCTCTGGAACTGGAGCTGGGGCTGGCTGTGAGCCACCCTGTGGTTGCTGAGAACTGAACTCAGGTTCTTTGCAAGAGCAATCAGTGCTTCTAACTTCTGAGCCAGCTCTCTGGCCCTCAAAGCTTTTATTGTTATTTCATTTATTTTCATTGTTTTTGTTTTTGAGAGAGGGTCAATGTGTAGCCCTGACTGTCCTGGAGTTCCCTGTGTAGACCAGGCTGAATTGCACTCACAGAGATCTGCCTGCCTCTGCCTCCACCTCCTGAGTGCTGGAGTTCAAGGTATGTAGCACCACGCCCAGCACACTGACACTTTTATGCATGTCTTCTCTCTTTAGTTCGGCCTGTATATTTCCAGAGGAGACACCCGGCCGAGGAAGAAAGGAGCAATTTGATCCACTTGATCTTCGGCTGGAACAGCCGGAGGTAACAGGCTGTGTGTTTTTAATCTGAGAGACGGTTGAGTCATTCAGCTTTACATTAGAAACTGGCTGTCTTTTGCCTCATAAAACCTGCCCTCTGTCTTTGTGGACTCCTCGCACAGAGGGGAACTTGATTTTCTGTCTTCAGAGCACCACTCTGATCTCACGTGTGCATCCTGGCTTGTCTAAGGAGTGAGCACCCAGTCTGCGGCCCTCACACCCTGCCTTCCCTCGTTCTGCTTGCTTGCAGTCTTGCTCATTTCCCAGCAGTCATCGAGGCTCCTTCTGCCATCCTGCTTACCTGTCACCCTTGGCTTTGACGTTCTGACAGCTGTGAAGCTGAGTTGTTGGAGTTTTGTAAACATTTATTTATTCAGTGTGTGTGTGTGTGTGTGTGTGTGTGTGTGTGTGTGTGTGTGTGTGTGTGTGTGTGTGTGTCCTGATCGCGTAGATCATCATCTCTTCATCTTTGGGCTTTCTTGCCTTCATCTCCCGAGAGTTAGGATCACAGGTGCGCACCATGCCGTGCTGGGGATCAAACGCAGGGCTTAGGCGTGTTAGACCAGTGCTCCATATGAACTGAGTTACACCTCCAGGCCCTTGATCTCGTCTCCTTAGAAAGGTATAGTCAGCGTGGGTTATGGCCTTCTCTGATGTCCCTATTTTACTTTAGTCACCCCTTGAGGCATTCTATCTTAAACTGTCCTGTCCTGAGTTCCTCGAGATAGGACTATGTGTAGTATATGAACTTGGGAGACACAGATCAACCTATGACAGGCTTTTTCCAGCCCTTGAAATCTTTTTTGCCCATGATGTCTATGAATAACTGGTTTCTCCCTGCTCTGGTAAATGTGACAGAGCTCCCCTGTGTTCCATCTTATTATACCCCATTGGTGTGACTGCATCCTGCGGCTCATGTTAATTCTCTGGGCTTTGAGAACCTCACATTCCAAGTGTACTTTTTTTCATGCCAGGTGGAAGGTGAGGCCTCTGAATCTCAGGCTCTCCTCTCATGGGTATTGATTGTGTCTGGTTGGACTATTCATCAGCCTCTATGTTTTCTGTCACCTGTATCTCTTGCGAGCTTCGTAATTGAATTTCCGAACAAAGTCCAAAGTTCTTATGTTTTCTCGTTCATCTTATAGCTGGATTCTGTGTTCTGGGTAGGGTTTTGTTTTGTTTGTTTTTCCCCTTTGCCATTCTGACCTTATGTGTGGATGCCTGTGGAGGTCAGAGATGTGTTTGTGAGAGTCAGGTCTCTTTTTCACCGTGTGGGTTCAGTACGTGGTGGTTAGCACCTTTACTGCTTAGGGATGTCTGCATCCTGCATTGTTTCTACTCTGTCTGCTGGGTCTCTGTCTGGTGTTAACGGCAGTGTTCCCTGTGTAGGTTGTGATATGTGACCCCTTGCCTTCATGTGTACTGTGAATTCCCATGTATCTGAGTAAGCTCTTTGTACTAGCTCAGAGATGCACTAAGGGGACTCTTAGTGGGGGCTTCTGCTACTTTTGTTATCTGAGGAAAGGGGCAGGAGGAAGCTACCGCCCACCCAACACACACACACACACACACACACACACACACACACACACACACACACACACACACACTGCTTCTGTGTCTGGGAACCTTGTGCAAGGAAAGAGTGTGCTATCCACTTGGTGGAATCTGCCCTGAGCCTGCCTTTCCCAGTCTGAGACCTTCCTGTCCACCACAAGCATCCATCCTGCCCCTGATTCTTCCTTCTGCTTTCCTGACAGTCCCAACTATAGGTCTCCTGCTTTCCCGACAGTCCGACTGTAGGGTCTCCATATGCTTTCCCGACAGTCCTGACTGTAGGGTCTCCATCTGCTTTCCCGACAGTCCCGACTGTAGGTCTCCATCTGCTTTCCTGACAGTCCCGACTGTAGGTCTCCATCTGCTTTCCTGACAGTCCTGACTGTAGGGTCTCCATCTGCTTTCCTGACAGTCCCGACTGTAGGTCTCCATCTGCTTTCCTGACAGTCCCGACTGTAGGTCTCCATCTGCTTTCCTGACAGTCCCGACTGTAGGGTCTCCATCTTTCCCGACAGTCCCGACTGTAGGGTCTCCATCTGCCCGCAGCAGGTTGACATTGGTTCACTGCTCCTCTCTGCCTCTGCTTTTCATAAGTTTATAAATAACATTTTCTTCTTAAAATTATGTTTCAGGAAGGTGTAGAGATAGAAGTGATGGGTTCCATGTCTAATTAATGAAAAATGTATGTGGGTGTATGTAACGTGTTGACAGGCTGCAATCCTGCAGTTTCCTGACTGGTCCCACCCTAGCTGGGTAGTGAGCTGATCACCAGAGTGTGGGTGCCCCCGTCTGAGTGTCTGTCTCTTGTGTGTGCGTCTCTTTGGCTATTCACGAGGTTGAGTATGTTTTCGCTTGCTTATAAGCTAGTCTCTGACGGTATCTGTCTCTTTGCTCATTTTCCTGCTGTTGTCTTTTCTTCTCCTTCTGGTACGAGTAATTCCCAGCTCTGTTCACCTTTGTGTTCTGATGGGGGTGCCTTTCATGCTTCTATTACGAGTAATTCCCAGCTCTGTTCACCTTTGTGTTCTGATGGGGGTACCTTTCATGCTTTTTTTATTGGAATTGACCATCTCTCTCTGGGGCGTGACTCCAATCCCATTGCCTATCCGGTTGTTTACCCTTAGTGAGATAGCACTGCTCCACATGAACCGATTGTCACAGGGCCAAACCTGTCTTATCAGTTTCATGACACTGATTTCTCTAACAATGAAAACATAAGTCTTGCTTTCAACGGTAATTCTGGTTCAATAGAAGTTCAGGGCGATGAGATCTTTTTTGTTTGTTTTCAGTTTTGAGGAAAACGGGCTCAGTGGCTACATTCTCAGTATATGCTGATCCATCCATTCTGTCATGACGGAGGAGTGCTCTGAACCTGCCTGTTCTTAGGGCTGGGGACTTGGCAGCAACTAGAGATCCACTTGGGTTGCCTCTTCCTTTTTGTAGGGACTGTATCCTTGCCCCACATCTGAGCAGGTCCAGAATCGGACTGTGAGAGGCATGTTCAGAGGCAGAGAGGATGCCATACAAGTTGGAATCAGGAAGTGTGGAGGCCTATCCTACCTCCATGTGGCTCATGGTATGTCTGAAACAGAAGTAGCAGTTATGGCCCCCAGGGGCAGTCAGCAGAGGTCTCAGGCCAGAGCAGCTTCTCCTGAGAGGCACGGGGGTCGGCTGCAGGAAGGGTACTCATTTGAGACTGAGGCTGACACAGGAATAGGACCTGATGGCTAAGATTATACGGAAATGCCTGAGGGACAAAGGGACTGAAGTGGTAAGCTGAACTTTTGGACAGGCAGGCTAATCCTTGGAGGTGAGCAAGAGAGAGTAGGTTTTAGGAGAGCCCTGATCAGACTGTGGAATGACTGCTAGACTGTCCCTCCATGCTGCCTGGAACTGAGTTGGGCCCGTGGTCTGAAGGATAGGCATTGGTACAGTCATTGTTGGGTAACAGTTCAGAGAAGTACAGCGTTTAGGAGAGGCCCCAGCTTAAGATAGGAGACTGGATGCAGGAGAGCTACTGAGGGCGGGGAGGCAATTGAACTTTAAGGGTAGAAGGAGAGATGCCAGCAATGGGCAGGAGAGTGGACACCAGTAAAGGGAGCCCATTAATACTGTAGACACCTAACTGATGGAGCACCCACGGGTAGGACGCCTTCTACTTGCTGCCATGGCCTCTTGTACATGCTGCCCTCAGGCTATAGCCACTGCTTCTGTGGGTTCTCGAATCTGGTCTGGAGAGTGGTGGATGGGGAGAGGCACTTTGGCGTGTCTGAACCAGGATCAGTTGTGTGGTCTGGTGAATCTAGCCAGGGTTATGTTTTCTTTTGAGCACAGCAGGAGGTGCCTCACAGTAGTAACAGAACAGGGTGATCAGGGTCACTGACTCTCCTGTCCTGTGTGTTCCTTTAGGAGAACTCAGCAAGTTTACAAGCAGGGCTGGAAGAAGACCCCAGGCACGAAACAGGTGTGTTGAGTTCTTCCCTCGACTTCCAACTCCAGGAGGACGAGTCACACAGCTCCCACCTGAGGCCTGAGGAAGAAGAACAGGAGAGCCTCCCGCTTGTCCTCTCAGACCAGCACAGCCAAGGTGTGTCCCATCTGCCCCTCCAGGCCTTAGTGGAGGATGCCTGCTGTTGGCTGGCTCTGTGTAAAGAGATGGTTTTCTCCAAACCAGGCTTGGGTCTGATGGAACTACACTCTGGGCATAGGCATTGCCATCTCGCTTTCAAGGAGAGACTTGCAGGAGGCAGCCCTGGGGGTGACTGCTCGCCTAGGGGAGCTGATATTAGAGTCTGCTCTGCTTCTTTGGGCCAGGGAGCCTGAGGGAAGGAGCTCATGTGGGGTGGCCTGGAATAGGATAGAAAGACTGGCTGTCTTAGAAGTGTGGTTCCACAGGTCTGAATAGTGGTCACTCCCAGGGATTGTAGAGGTGGGCAGCAGAGGCCAGCTGGTGTGAAACATGGTGACAGTGTTTCCATTGTTGTTCAGCCCTCTGGGTACAGTGGTCACCCTCCAGGGGAGGTGAGGAAGCCAGGTTGAAGGCCCCGACTCAGGCCGTGGTGCAATCAGTGTTCACACTCCTGTCCTGCGACATGAAAGCCTGCGTAGCCCTGTAGCTCCATTTAGCATTGGACAGGGCAGGGTGAGAGTGTGCAGTCCCACTTGAGAGCCAGAGGCCAGCAGGCACCTGTCCCTTATTGCCCTTGTCCTTGTTGTCCCGGGGCCTCCACAGCTGCCTCTGACATGTTCTGTCATTTGTGCTGCTGGTGTCCATGTAGTCCCTATAGCATGACTTGTTCTTGCTCTAAATCCGGGGCTCGTGCCTTTGTTTCCATCTTCCATAGAGGAAGATCCAGGTTGATTTAGAGGAGGCCGTGTGCCCCCCACCTTGTACACTCACTTCCTAGGTGACTCAGCTCAGGCTCAAGGCCAGTGCTGAAACCCTGAATTACCTGTGCCTGTCCCTGTGTTTCTGGTGCTGGGCACAGGGCTCATTCTGCGTGACCAGCAGCAGGTTGCACATCATACCTCACCTTAAGGAATACCTTGGACTGCGTAGATGTATGCTGTGTAGCCCCCAGGGAATGCTACAACTCAGGGATGCGCCTGCAAAGGGGATACTGAAGACCTGGCCCCTCTCCTGTCCCGAGTCAGCACCAGGGTGCTCCAAGCTGAGGTGTCGTGTTAGCTGAATGGTTTGGAAGGGCGCCGCCATTCTGTGGTGCTGCCTGTGGATGCCACGGTCGATGATGGTCTCCCCTCTCCCTTGTTCCTCAAGAGCTTGCCCCAGAATACCTGCAGTGCGCACAGGACATGGCTGTGGAGGCCGATGCCCGGGTGGCTGCCAGAATCCTGACTCTGGAAGCTGAACACAAGGTTAAACTTTCACTTCTTCAGACGGAGCTCAAGGAAGCAGTTGAACTCTTGAAAACAGAGAACAGGAGTTTACAGGAGAAACTGCAGTACGAGACCCACCTGAGAGAGGAGCTGGAGAGTGTGAGTAGTGGCCCTCAGCAAGGCTCTGTATTCTCTCGGAAGGCTTGTGGTCTGTGTGCTCAAGGAGGTCCTGAGGACGTCCTGAACTGTGTATGTATGGCATTGCTGTAGGAGTGTGTGCACCAGATTCTCGTGGAAAGAAGTGCAAGTGGGTTTGCCAGAAAGCTTCACTAAGGTCTGGTACCCAAGGCCAGAGCCAGGTTGGCTCCTTAAGGAAATGGTCAGTCATCCTCAGGGGCTCCCGGGAAAGGCACTGGCAGTCTTCTGATCTTATGCCACTGTCTTCAAAGTGTGTTCGGATTCTTCATATCCTTCCTGGTGTTTGGTCAGCTGCCGTGGACAGTTCAGATACTGAGCCTCTCCCTAGGTATTTGTGAGCTTGAGAAAGTCACTGCCGTACCATTATGGGCATGGACAGAATGGAGATGTCAGCCTCTTCAAAGTTACAAAAGGGGCTTCATTATGCAGCCAGTGCAGCTCAGGGAGTGTGAGCTGGTATTTCTTTGTCTTTTGCTGCGTGTGTGTTAACTAGGCTGTGTTCTCTTCATCATACTTTCATCCATGTCTGAAAACATGTCTTTCATGCCTTCTGTCCTTGGGTGTTCTTCTTTGTGAATGGCTTTGTGGATTTTCATTCTCCATCGGAAAAAGAACTTTAGAGGAATCTCTTTTTGCCTACAAGATTGATTACCAAGTTGCCTTTAAAATTAAGGAACTGGTAAGGACTTGGAGAAGATAGAACTAATAGAACTTTGTGGAAAGCTGTGTGAACCAGCTCGCCCAAGTCAGCAACTGCTCATGTGCTGGTAGTTCATAGTCTGTGGCCTGTGGTCTTTCCAGACATTGGACTCAAGACAGAGTTTCCTAGACAATAAACGTTGGTTTCCCAGACCACATTTTTATCAGAAGAATCAGTTCAAGGAAGGAATGTGGCAAGGTGTGGTGGCACATACCTTTAGTACTGGCACTCAGGAGGCAGAGGCAGGCAGATCTATGAGGCCAAAGCCAGCCTGGTCTACAGAGCTAATTCCAGGACAGCCTCTAAAACAATACAGAGAAACCCTGTCTTGAAAAATCAAACCAAAAGAAACAAACAACAAAAATAAGAAGAAGAGAATGTGGATTCTCTCATAATCATTTTGTTAAATTTTTGCTTTAAACATTTTGAAGTTATGCTAATACATTTACCTGTTTGTGGTTATATCTTCCTGGAAGATTTACCTTTTTATTATTAATGAAATATCTTCTGGTACTCTTTGCCTTAAAATCAATTTATTAAAATCTTTTATTAGTATAGTCATACCAACCTTGATGTTCATTAAAAAAGAAGTTCTTGACATAACAGTCTTGCTCAATTATGGAATGCTAGGATTACAGGCATGTGCCACTATGTTTAGCATTGTGTGCTTTTTCTTTTCTTTTTTTTGGGGGGGGGCGGGTTGAGACAGGGTTTCTCTGTGGCTTTGGAGGCTGTCCTGGAACTCGCTCTGTAGACCAGGCATGGTCTCGAACTCACAGAGATCCGCCTGCCTCTGCCTCCCGAGTGCTGGAATTAAAGGCATGCTCTACCAACACCCGGCTTCCTGTGCTTTTTCTTAGCTTTTTGTTTTTATAGATTTTTTCATTTAGGCTAATGAATATAAAGTGTCTTCCATGGAGATTACACTGTTAAATATTAACTTATTTTGATAATCTCTGCTTTTCCATTACAGGGCTGAGCCCGTGAACACTTAATGCAGTCACTGGTGTGGTCAGGGTTAGGTCGCCTTCTCATGGTTACCTTTCGCTGAGTTCCTGTGCTCCTTTTCTCTAACCTTTTATGCCACACTTTCCTAGGTGCTGAAATCCATGTCTGCTGTTACCTCAGCAATAGAATGTTGTAAGATTTGCCTTGAGAAGTCAGGGGAGCCGAGTATGATAGTGTGTACCTTTAACCCCAGCATCCCAGTACTCCAGAGGCCGAGGGAGGCCTGTGATCAGGAGTTCAAAGCCATCATTGACTGTGTAGTAAGTTCGAGGTCAGCCTGGCTTACATTATGAGACCCTCTCTCAAAGTAGAAATAAAAAGAGAAGAACAACACCCAAAAATAAGTGAAGAGAACAGAAAGTGCCTGTGGGAGATAATAGTCTTGGGCGTTCTTCGCAGTCCTGGTGCCCTTCATTCCCTCCTGAGGATCTGGGCCCGTGTGTATATCATTTCTCCTGATTTTAAGAATTTCCTCTAGCATTTCCTATTGTTTGGGTCTTTTGTACAAGTTTTCTTTTATTTAAAGCCCCTCCTCCATCTGTTGGTGACAAGTTTTGTTGCTTTGGTCAGGGTTTAAAATATTGGTTTAGACCCTAATCTGATAATTTTATGGGACTGTCCCAAACTGATTGTCTTATCTCTTCAGCACGGGTTCCAGTTTTGTTTGCTTGTTTTATATCCCGTAGTTTTATGTCACATCTGGTATTGTAGGGGATATCTTATGAGATTGGATTCTATAGGGCTTTGCCATTTTGTTTTGATGAACTTAGAGTCCACAGCCATCTCTGTTTGGGAAGTGAGCGTTTTGTTAAGTTTCTATAGCTGTAGCCTGCCTGCCTTCAGAGCCCGTTCTACGTCTGCATTAAATTGGGGTCAGTCTGAGTTTGGGCCATGTCTGCTGTTCTACTCAGGAAGAGTTGGTCTGATTAGATTTGTTTACTCTTCACCAGAAGAAAGGAAGGTAGACTTTAGTTGATGGAGAATTGTGGTCACTCTCTGTCCCTTTTTTTTTTTTTTTTTTTTTTTTTTTTGGTTTTTTGAGGCAGGGTTTCTCTATTGTTTTGGAGGTTGTCCTAGTACTTTTTTAACATTGATTTGCTTCTTATTGATACTTTCTTCCTTCTGGAATTTAAGGTATCTGCCTATCCTTAGCCTTTTCATTTCTCTTCCCATTCAAGCAACCTTTAGAATTATTTCATTTATTATAGATCAGGTGACTTAAGCTTAGGTGCTGCTAAGATGTGAGGATCCCCCTTGCAAGAGACCTATAGGTCCACCTTTGCTCCAGGTGATGCGAAGCGCTGCCTGTGTGCTTGTACGCATGACTCCAGGTGCTGGGTTTCGTGGAGAAAAGCAGTTTTACCTTGGTTTATTTTAGGACATTTCCATTCCCATCAACATAGGATATATTCCTACTGCTGTATTTTGAAATACGTTTTAGAAACCTCCATGTTCATGGGTTACCCATCCGACAGTCTTTCCATTTAATTTCCTTCCTCTTATATAAAATCATGTCATCTTATAGGTCAAACATAGTCTAGTTGAAGACCATCAGGTAAAACTAAGTAAAGCCGAGGAGAAGATTCAGCTAATGAAAGAAGAGTTCCACAAAAAGGAAGCTGAGTGGGAGCGTTCCCAGGAGGATCTCAGGAGAGACGCTGAAGGGAGACTAACCTCCATGTTTCTTGAGCTAAGAGAAAAGGCCGAGAGTGAGAAACAGTCCATAATAAGCAGGTTTGAGCTCCGGGAGTCTGGCATGAGGCACCTGCAGGAGCAGCAGGCGGCCCAGATCTTGGACCTGGAGAGATCTCTGATGGAGCAGCAGGGCCGCCTGAGGCAGCTGGAACAAGAGCTCACTAGAGATGAAGTTCTGCCCTGCAGCCGCTGCGGCCAGGAGCCCCTTGCGGCCCAGGATGAGGAGCACATCACGCTGCTCCGTGAGAAGGAAGACTGTGCCCTGCAGCTGATGATGGCCCAGAATAGGTGGGTGATGTTGTGGAATGGCGGCTTTGGTGTGGAGCCCCCTTCCCAAAGTGCTGGCGGAGGCTAAGAGGGACCTCGCAGGATCTAGAGTGGAGCTTGGTTGGGTAGAAACCCTGGAAGGAGGTGGAACAAGGTGTGGTATAACCCATTTGTACCGCTCACCCAGAGGGGGAGGCTGGTGCTCCATAGTCGGTGGGCTGGGGGATGGACAGCATGGTCAATCCTCTGCGGAGCTTGAGCGCCCCGCAGGAGCATGAGTGTGCGTGCATCTTGTATGTCTTCATCCTTGCTTGTTTCTGAGAAGAGGTCTCCTCCTTTTGTTACCCAAGCTTGTCTTAAAGGTACACTGCAGTGCTCTAGCCTCAGCCTCCTAAGTGCTGTAATTATAGATAAATCTCACCATATCTGGCTTTTATTTTGAGACACAGCCTTCTTGTATAGGCTTAGTTGACCTCATACCCTCTGTGTAGCCCTGGCTGGTTTCTAACTCCTAATCCTTCCACCTTAGTCTTCTGCATGCTGTGAGTACAGGTATATGCACTGTGCCCATTATGCTTTTGTTCTTTGTTTGCATGCTTTAAAGTTTCTGCGAGATAGCTTTTTAAAATAATAACTGAATTTAATGTTTTCACGTATTTAAATTCTTAGAAAATATTTTCTGTGTATGGATGGTGTTCTGCCTGTATGTATGCCTGTGCACTACATGTGTGCCTGTTACCTCTGGAGGCCAGAAGAGGGCATTAGATCCTCCAGAACTGGAGTTACAGACCTTTTTGAGCTTCCATGTGTGTGCAGGGAATTGAACCTGTGTCCTGAAAGAGCAGCCAGTGCCCTTAACTCCTCAGCCATCTCTCCATTCTCTCAATGACAGAATCTTCTTTTTTTCTTTTTTTTTTTTTGAGATAGAGTTTCTCTGTCATCCTGGCTGTCCTGAACTCACTGTTTAGACCAGGTGGTCTCAAATGCATTGAGCTCTGCCTGCCTCTGCCTCCCAAGTTCGAGGATTAAAGGTATTGCCACCATACCTGGCATTCAGTAGCAGAGTCTTAGGCCTCGCTTATGGGGTCTTATGTGGATGTGGCCTTCATTGAGTCGAGTGTTTTGTGGGTCTTTTAACCCTAATCATATTGTTTTAAAAGTAGCCATTTCCTTCTAAATCACATACTCCTTGAAGTTACGAATTTAGAACATTGACAGGCTATTCACCTCCTTTGGTGCCAGGTCTTTTGCAGCCGTAAGTCCTCAGGCTGTAGTGGCTAATGTTTACTTACCATGGGACTGTCGAATCTGCTGGTGGATTGGTCTCACTTCATTCTCCACCCTTCCCGGCTTCTTGGCATCAGGGATGCTAAGGAGTTCTCTGGGTTTGAGTTCAGACACAAACCCATGATTATCTGGGCCAGATCTGCAGCTCCCCAGGATCTGTCTCACAGAAATCCCACAGCAAAGCACTCTGTGGAAGACCCGTGGCTGAGCTGCACATAGAGTCACAACCCTTGGGACTGGAAGATGCTGGGTGGGGAAGGGAGCTTTTTGCAAAAGCATTGAAACCCTGAACTTGATTCCCTAGCACTCATGTAAAAACTGAGCCTGGCTGCACATGCCTGTAACTCCGTTGCTTGGGAGTGAATACTGATAATCCCAGAGGCTCCCTGGTCACCCATCTTAGCTGAAACAGTGAGCTGATTCAGGTTCAGTGGGATACTCTGGTTCAAGGGAATTAGACAGAGATCACTAAAAAAAGATATCTAATGCCCTCGTCTGGCCTCTGCATGTGTGTATGTGGTACATATGTGTGTGTGCGCGCACACACACACACACACACACACACACACACACACACACACACACACACACACACACAGACATACACTCTCTTGCAAGTCACAGCTCTTGTGTAGGTAAACTTAACAAGCTTACCATGAAATACAGCCTGTTCCTGCTGGGTACCTTGGCACTATCTGGTTGGTCACTGTTCCACAGGTGGGATTGGCTCCTCTAGACCCTCTTACACAATACTGTTCCAAATGCTGTCACAAGTAGCCTGTTGAGTCTGCTGTTTGAGGTCCTTCCTGCATGGATGTGTGTGCAGTTTGCTGTGTCTTCCCGTAGTCTTAAGAACTGGTGACACCATGGCTCCTGGCCATGCAGGTAGTTACTCAGGCTTCATTCCCATGTCCCATAAGTTTATCCTAGGGCAGATTCAAATCCAGTACCCAGGCATCTCTCTCTGTGGGAAGTGTGTGTCTTGTGGCTCAGAGGGGGTTAACGTACCGTGTGGTCGTGTGTCCTATTGCCTGTGTTCTCCTTGAGTGTTGCCTCAGGTTTTTGGAAGAGCGGAAAGAGCTTATGGAGAAGTTCGCCAAGGAACAGGATGCTTTCCTTCGGGATGCCCAGGAGAAGCACGCCCACGAGCTCCAGCTACTGCAGCAGGGACACCAGCAGCAGCTTCAGGCCCTGAGGATAGAGCTTGAGACCCAGCACCACTCTGAGCTCGCCGAGCAGCTCGCCTCCCTGGAGAGCAAGCAGCAGGCACTTGTTGAGTCTCACGTGGCTGAACTGCAGGTAAAACACAATGCTGAGATTAGCACTTTGCAGATGAAACATTTGGCAGATTTGCATGCGGTGGAATCCTTTTACTTGACCGACATTGAGACTATTCGGGATGAGCACAGAAAGGCTTTGGAGCTTTTGCGAGCAGAGCTCGAGGAGCAGCTACAGAAAAAGGACTCTTCTCACAATGAGATTTTGACTCATGAGCTGGAAAAACTAAAACTGAAACACGCCGAGGAGCTTCAGTCTGCAAAAGACAGCTCGAGAATCAAAATGCCTGCCAAATACACAGAGGAAGCGAAGGGCCTGGCCACTGACTTGCAAGGGACACAACAGGTGAGATGCTGGGGCCCCTTCCTTGACTCAGGGCAGGTGACTCTGTGGCTCACATATTGGCCACTTGTCATGTGTGTCTAGGAGTTTGTGGACATGCATCTCCGTGCCTTGTTTAACACTCGGAATGTGTCTGTGAATCATGTACCTATGTCTCTTGTGCCTGCGCCTGCCTCCCTGTGTGTATGGCACATGCATGTCTGGGTATGTGCATCTGTGTGTCACAGTCGGTTGATAGCAGTGATGATTTGTGGTCTCACTGTAGATGACAGTCACTTAGGGTTGTTGGGGGCTCAAGTCACATTTGCATTTTAGTTTGGAGTCCACAGAAGAAGGATCTGATTTCAGTGTTGTACATGCAAAGCCTTGGTTTCCCTTTTTTTTTATTGTTACTTCCTGAAATTCAATGGTTTTGTTTTGGTTTGGTTTTTGGAATGACGAGCAAGGATGCGATGGTTCTTTTGGCTGGCACTTGAAGTTTTTTATATGAAGAGGGAATTCCTGGCAAACTCACAGTTGGCTCATGACTGTCTGCAGGACACAGGAGTCAGTGACCATGAATAAGCCACACCCACTGACTTACAGCCCTTCCAGGGTGCTCTCTGCTTCCTTTGCCTTCCTGGGTGGTGGATGCTGTCTTGTCTCCCTGAAGTGGACTAGACTGTTGTGTGGTGTTGATGGAGCAGCTGGGAATGTCTGCCGTGGGTGATACATCCATCCCAGTGCCTACATTGACCTAGAGACTGGGGCCCTTCTCTTATTTCTCTGGACTGATTTGGAGAACTAACTGTTTAAGATGGCTGGGAGGATTCCAACTCAGTCCTGTGCTCTGGAACTGCAACTTTGGTTTTAGCAGACTGGTGTTCTCCCTTGCCACAAGCCAGTACAAGTCTGTGGACTGGACCCTATCCCAGTCCGGATCTGAACCCGTGGGCCGTCTTGATTCATTCGGTTTAAAGAAAATTTATGTTTGGGGCTGGAGAGATGGTCCAACACTTGATGCTCTTCCAGAGGATCCAAGTTTGGTTCCCAGCACACGTGTTAGGCAGCTCAGAGCTGTCTGTAACTCCAGCTGCAGTGGATTCAGCACCTCTGGCCTCTGTTGACGCATGCTCTCATACACGCCCACCCACATGCAGACACACCCCCATACGTAATTAAAAGTGATAGCAATACATCTTAAAATTAAAACCTGAGATAACATTTTAAAACAAGTAATGATTTTAAACCATGGCTGGACTTTATTGGTGGCAGAATGTAATTATAGGAAGCATTTGGGATGTTTACCTCTTCCTGCACATATTATACTCCTTGGGATGGGGAGGCCTGGGCTATGCTATGGCTTGACCCCTGTGGAAACTCTCTCACAGGAAGAACTGGCTGTGACTGTTCACAATCAAAGGCACCTGCTAGGGAAAGATGGAAATGCTGCTTTAGGTAGCGTGGGTGCCAAGGTCCTGCTGCACCCAACCGTGCCTCAGGAGCTGGGAGACCCACACACCGCTGAAATGCAGAAGCCACAAGCAGAGCTGGTCAAACCTCAAGAGCTGCCGGCATCTCAGGAACAGGCTGCACTGGTAAGCATTCCCTTGTATCGCCCCAAAGGGCGACACCTCGGGCGATGCTGCACCGACTAGGGCCAGGAGTTGATGGCCGTGGTGGAGCCACACTGGTCATGGATGAGCGGGTCCCTGCTTGAACTCAGCTCAGTTCAGTGGGGAGTAATGTTTAGCTTTGGTGTTGATTTGTGTTTATGTTTGTTCGCATTCATGTGGATGCACATTGTGTGAGGTTGAATGTCAAATGCCTTTCTTTCTTTCTTTCATTTTTTTTTTTTCTTCGAGACAGGGTTTCTCTGTGGCTTTGGAGGCTGTCCTGGAACTAGCTGTTGTAGACCAGGCTGGTCTCGAACTCACAGAGATCCACCTGCCGCTGCCTCACCACCACCACCGCCCAGCATCAAATGTGTTTCTTGATCACTCCCTCTTCCTTATTGAAGTTGAGTCTCTTGCTTGAATCCAGAAATCACTGTTTCAGCTAGTCTAGAAGATCCTGTCTTTGCCCTCTGCATACTGGGATTATAGGCAAGCCCACTTGCCTTTATGTGGTACTGGGGATTTGAACTCTTGTCCTCACAGCTAGGGCAAGCGCTTTACCCGTCTTAACAGCAGTGTTTAATTGCCTCTCACAAAGACAGGGCACAAGTAGGCCTTATTTGAACTGTTGATTCCATGTGGAGAGTAGAGGATGTGATGGAGCAAGCTGTGCACGGCTGGCTGTCACCCAGTATGGGTGAGGACTCCTCCTCAGCATGCGTTCTGTGTGGCTTGTCGTATCGCATGGCGATTTTGAGATGGAGTCTAACAAAGCAGTAGGAACCCTTCATGGACTTAGGAAGCTGACAAGGAGGGGCCTGGTTGAAGTCCCTGTGATCTATGTGGGCTCCTTCTCTGTGAAACAAAAAACAAAAACATTCCTCACTATGTTCTCCCAGTATGTGATACACTAAGAAGGCCCTGACCGGGTCAACTCCAATCCTACCTGCTGGGCCTGTGCACACAGGTCCATGTATAAACACACATGTGTATACAGTGCATACATTCTATGTTCACATATACATAGAACACAGTGTCTACACATATTCTGCACCTGTAGGCTAGAACCCGCCCCCAGAACCACCTGAGGACTGAGGCTCACTTGCCTGGGCGTTCTTAGATTTGAAAGGCTATTGTTTCAGGATCTTCTGGGCTTGGAAAGAGAAAAGTCTGCATTGCCTGCAAAGTAATTGGGTGTTTCTGTGAAGTGTGTCGGTTTATTGAGATGGTTTCTTTTTATAAATACTCTCCTTTGGGATGCTTTTTAAAAACAATGGTATGGGCTAGGGAGATGGGTCAGTGGTTAAGGCCCTGGCTGCTCTTTCAAAGGCCCTGAGTTCGACTCCTAGCACGAATGTGGCAATTCACAGTGGTCTGTAACTCCAGTCCCAGAGGGATTCAACACCCTCTGTTGGCTTCCATAGGCACCAGGCAAACAAGCAATGCACAGACCTATATGCAGGCAAGTTCCTATTACATAGAAAATAAAATTTATTTAAAAATAAAAACCTTAAGACTGCTGAGTGGGAGAAATGGGCTTCCCCACAGAAGACACACCAGTTGGGTTGCTTTCTAGTTTTCCATACTTGTCTTGGGTGGTGATGCTGGTGAGTACTAGAGGCATTCATGGTAGAACTGTCGAGTGTTTGGGGCATCTGTGGCAGTTCTGTTGCATGCTTGGCAGTATCTGCAGTGATACTGTTAGGGCTTGAGGTCTCTGCTAATTTTTAGTTATGGTGTAGGTTTGCTCCTGTCTCCTTGCCTGGGGATGTGCATAACTGATGCCTCTTCAAATAAAAGAGCAGTTGGCCGTGATGAGGTGGGGTGCTACTTTGCTTTTTTTTTTTTTTTTTTTTTGAGACAGGGTTTCTCTGTATTGTTTTGGAGGCTGTCCTGGAACTCACTCTGTAGACCAGGCTGGCCTCGAACTCACAGAGATCCGCCTGCCTCTGCCTCCTGAGTGCTGGGATTAAAGGGGTGCACCACCAATGCCCGGTGCTACTTTGCTAATTTATGTTAACTTAAAAACTACTATGCTTTGCTGGGTGGTGGCGGCACACGCCTTTGACCCTTGTACTTACTCGGAAGGCAGAGGCAGGCAGATCTCCAAGTTCAAGGCCTGCCTGGTCTCCAGAGCTGGTTCCAGGATAGCTGGGGCTGGTTAAAAACATTACTCCATTTTAATTGATGTGTGTGTGTGTGTGCAGTAGTGTGGGTGTGGTAGTCAGAGCACAAAGCCCAGGAGCCTGTACTGTGTTCCCACCCTGTGGGTTTCAAGGATGGACTGACTCAGTTGTTGGGCTTCATGCTAAGTGCTTTGGCCCACCGAGACGATTTGTGAGTCCTGTGCTACCTTTTTTTTGGGGGGTGGATTTCGGCATACACAATATTGGACAGTTCAGTAACAATTCAATAGCTGCATGCTGGCGTTGCTGTGTCCGCGTCCCCAATGTAGCTTCTCCATGTCGTACTGACTGGATAAGGCAACATGAATTCCTCCATCTCATCCCGTTTCCTGGCTTGAACTTCTGCCTCTTTCCAGCTTTGGTCTACACAGGGTCTTGTGTGCATGCACTGAGTCTTGAGTTTTCATTCCCTTGAGGGTGATTGGCTTTTTTTACCCTTTGCCCTGCGTTCATGTGGGCAGGTCCATAAGCATAACCAGTCTTGTCATGTGGTCAGACTTGCCTTAGCTGTGAGACAATTCCTCCGGTGTCTTCTCCGGCTGTGACAGACACTTCAGAGAACCTCTCAGAGTGCTCCCCAGGATGCCCAGGGCCAGTGTCCCAAAATAGCAGGGACATGCTGTTCTTGCTGTCCTCCATGCTCTGTTGAGCCACAAATATCTTGCACCTGTCTGGAGAGCAAAGTCTCTTCTCGGCGTCCTCATTGACTAGAATTCTTGTTAGTCAGGTGGTTGCTACCCAGTTCACCGCCTTTGGGAGTTTGCCTGTGAAAAATATTCTCTGAAAATGTAAGCTTGATTTCTTCCTTCTTTCTTTCCTTCCTTCCTTCCTTTTTTTGCTTTTTGAGACAGGGGTTCTGTGTAGCCCTGGCTGTCCTGGAACTCGCTCTGTAGATCAGGCTGGCCTCGAACTCACAGAGATCCACCCGCCTCCGCCTCGTGAGTGCTGGAATTAAAGGCATGTGCCACCAATGGCCAGTTAGATTTCTTTTTGATAGAACTGTGCATCCCATGAAGAAGTCTCCCTGGCTGTGGTCCAGAAGCAGCTGCAGAGTGACCAGTGGTGACTGTATAGGGTGTTTCATGTTTTCTTGTACAAAACCCAAACCTGTTCATAGGCTTACCTTTGCAAGTGGTAGGAGAACTGTAGTCGGTTTTATGTAGCTTGAATGTCTGTACTTCGAATTAGCAGTGTTCCTCTTTATTCTCAGTGGTGTTCTTTGTGCACTGACTTTCCCTTTTGTTCTTTCCAAGACATGTTTATTCTAGTTACTAATACGCAATACTTTTCTATGTCTTTGTGGGTGTTTAGAGAAACCTGACTTTTTAAAACGTTTCTTGAAAGTTTCATTTGTGTGCGCACGTGCATGCCGCGTGTGTATGGTGCCTGTGGAAGCCAGAAGAGGGCGTTGGATCCTCAGGAACTGGAGTTATGAGTGGTTGTTAGCTGACTGATGGGTGCTGGAAACCAAACTCAGGTCTTGTGGAAGTTCAGTAAGTGCTGAGTCATCCCTCCTGCCCCTAAAACGCCATTTTTTATTTTGACTGTACCAGCAAATACGGTTTTGTTTTTTATGGCTGGAAGTAAAAATGGTTGTAAAGAGGCCAAGGCAGCTAGAGGTGGGGAGAAGTTGCAGGGGTGGAGCATTTGATAAAGTTACCTGCTCAGATTAGCTTTGCAACTGTGGTGAAACCCTGTGAGAGTCCAGCCACAGACCTGTGAGGCTGCCCCATCTGATCCTGGACATGAGATCCTCCCTGTTTGCCCCGCTGCAGGCTTCCCTAGGACAGACAGTGTGTTCTGCAGGGCGGCTCTGCTGCCTCGTGGGAGGTTGGACTGTGCTAACTCCCGTTGGAATACGTGTATCCTATGTACAAGAAGGTATTTCGTGTGTCTCTAGAAGACTGCAGTGAGCCATCCTCTAGCCAAGTAGTTCTTGCAGCTCAGCTTCAAGACCAGAGTCAGCCTGTGTAGATCTGGGCTCAGTGAGGCCCTGTGCTCCATTATTGACCTTTCCTAATGGGATCCTATGTGAGCCACTCTCTGTTCATGGTCAGTGACACGACCTCCAGCTGAATACAGGGGACACAGTCTGCTGGCTCTTCTATTTTATTGCAGAAGAGATCTAAAAATGACTTGAAAAGCATGTTTTTCTCTTTGAAGATTTCTTTTTATTTACATATATGTGTAAATACCACCTGCTCAATCTATCACACACACACACCTTTATCTGCTAAGCTATCTCTCCATTTTTTAATTGACTGGCTTTATAATCTGTTAAAGTATAAATGCCTATTCATACAATTGATCTTGCAAAATCGAGCACATCACATCTCTGTTCTGATAGCTGTCACCCACGGCAGGGTCAGTGAGCTGGTATGTGTACGCCAGGTAGTGTGTTGTGCGTGACAGCATATTCTCATTGCTGTATCTCTTGCTCTTTGTGTGTATACTGCGACCAAAGGGAGTTCTGTGATTTTCAAACCCCCATGGCTACTAAATGCTAGAGCCACACTCCATCCTATTGGAGTGTTTGACGGGATTGGGGCAGTGGCCTGTCGGCAGCAACGGGTCAAAGGGACATAGTCCCAACCACAGAGACCTTACTTGTGCTGGGAGGTAGACTCACTTAATGGTGACTGCATAGGAAGATGGGTGGCCAACAGGGCAATCAAAGCCTAGGGTGAGGCTTTGGAAACAGTCAGATCCAAACCTGTGGGGCTATATGAGGGAGCAACAGCCTCTCAAAGTATCTGGAAAGGCATAGTGTACATATTGCTGAAGAAAAAAAAAATACCATTTTGTCAAAAGTAATGAAATAGAAAAGCCCACATAGCCCATATGGCACTAAGATCTGTGCACACACACACAACACGCAAACACACAAATTCAGTAAAAAAGAGCTGCTTTGTGTGTAAGAGGCTGAGGCAGGAGGATCTCAAGTTGTCAGGCTTGGCAGCAAGTGCCTTTACCCACTGAGCCATTTTGCTGGCTTAACCACCTCTGTTGTACATTGAGAATCAGGTATGTGCAATGTCGTTGACTCATTTTCATGTGCTTCATTTTGTGATGGTACCAAAGTAGGGCCGGTGACTTTGTCCATTTTCCTACTCTAATCGTTAAGTCACTGTGGTTTTTCTTTTGTGTCTCCTGTCACAAGGGTGTGAGGCTTCTCAAGATGCCTGCACATACCCAGCATGACTGGGAGATTGTAGACTCACTCTACTGGAAGTGCCTGTGCTCGGCCACACTTCACACCCTACTTGTCTGTTCAACCCTACCTGTCCTGCTGGTTTTGAGGCTATGAAATGATGTCATGTTCCTTAATTTGCATCTCCTTGTTTGCTGATAAGTTGAGCATCTCTTCATATGTTTGTTTGTAGTCAGTTTATGGTTTTCAAATGTGAAATACCTGCTTGTATCTTTTGGTATTTTTTTCTATTTTTGATTTTTTTTATTCTGAAATATTTTTGTGAATTTTGGTTTTGTTTTGTTTTTCAAGACAGGGGTGCTCTGTGTATAGCCCTGTCTGCCCTGATACTGACTCTGTAGACTCAACAGAGATCCGCTTGCTTCTGCCTCCCAAGTGCTGGGATTAAAGGCTTGTGCCACCACTGCCAGGTACTTTTTGGGATTGTTTCAGATTTCTGATTGTTTTGTTTTGAACTAGGATCTGATTTTGTTGTCCAAATTGGCTTTGAATTTGTGATCCTCTAATTGTGTTCCTCTGTCTCTGAGTGCTGAGATTACAGGCATGTGATACCATGCTGGACTTTCTGGGAGAGTGGGGGCCGTGCTGTGGCTTATGTGTGCTAAGTGAGCCATACGCCATCTTGTTAGGTTGTGGTTGCTGAATCGTCTTACTGCGTTTTTCTCCCCTCACGCTTAGACTTTGGTGCTTGCCTGACAGAACTTCCCCTATTTTATACAGACATTCTCCCTCCATGTGGGAGGGCATGAGGTATGGGGAGCTGCTTCCCAGGCAGCCAGGGTCTGGGTTCTCACGAGTGGTAGCTGCTGGCCTCTCCCATCTCCCTCCCCTTGGGAGCCTCTGGAGTCCTGGGGCTCCACTCTCAATCTCGTTTGTGTTAGGGCTCTCCCAGAATGCCCTGATAGTTGTGATTGAGTTGACTTTGATACATTGATTTCTTTGTGGGATGGAGGCCCCAAGACGTTTTTTCCATATGATGTGCATAAATGCCAGGATGGCAAATTTTTAAAATGATTTTTACTTCAGGTTGAGGCACAAAAATGCTTGGGACTAGTAACATTTTTTTCTTTTCTTTTTTTCTTTTTTTTTTTTTTTAGTATACAGTATCTTCAGGGTGGGATCCAAGTCTAAACACAAAGTTCATTTATGTTTCTCAGAGCTTGAAGGCAATTTTATGTAATATTTTTAGTGCTCTTACATTTTGACTGCAGCTCCCTCACAAGGTCAGGTGTAGAGTTTTCTACTCTGGCATCTGCACACAGGGATCAGAGTTTTCGGCACTTTGGGTTTTGAATTTCACGTTAGGTGTGCTCCACCTAACTGCTATTTCCAATCCCAGAAATTACTCAATATTGAGTCAGAGCATGGTTCTTCCATATGGTTAGATTTAATTTATTTAGTAATATTATGAAGTCAGTGGGACTTTAGTGAGTCCTTCAAATGGTTTCCTCTGCTTGCAGAGCCTGTTCGTTCCTTTAATCCTTCTCAGTTGTTTATCTCTTGGTTTTTTGGGGGGACAGGATCATGTCACATGGTCCAGATTGATCTGGAACTCTTATAGCCTCCTCAGTGCTCAGCCTTTCTTTTTTACAATCCAGCTTTACTAAGATATTGGCTTCTACTTCCTGTCTTGGCTAATGTTGCTAGAGGGCCCATAGCCCCCACAACCCAAATATGAGTGGGCAGAATGGGATTAGTAGACAGACAAAGCTCTGTGACTGTGTCAGACTAGCCACCTCCAGGACCACTTGTAGGGTCAGACAAGGATTTGCCAGGAATCTCTTGCACACCAGCTGTTGGAGAGCTAGACATTCTCCCTGAAACTGTCTGGGACATCGTTTCACATGCTGGTAGCATTTGGTGCGTGCGCGTGCGCGCGCGTGTGTGCAGAGACACTAAAAGTGTTAAATACCCTCTTCTATCACTACCTATTCTTTCGAGGCAGTATATGTAGCTGGAGTTTATTTCTAGCCTGGTCCCGCATCCGATTAGCCCCAAATAAACAAATAAAAAAACTTATATTAACTTACAAACAGTTGGCTGATGGCTTAGGCTTCTTATTGATTAGCTCTGCCTTAATTATTAACCCATTTCTATTAATCTATATATTTCCACAAGGCTGTGGCTTACCCTTAACTGGGTATGTTACTCCTTCGGCACCATGGCGTCTCTTCTTGAGGCTTCTCCCCGCCTCCTCTCGGCATCCTTGTTCTTGCCTGGTAGCCCCTCATATACTTCCTGCCTGGCAACTCACCAATCAGTGTCTTATTCATCCACCAGTAAGAGAAACATATATACAGAAGGACATCCTCCATCAAGTATAATTACTTGGACTGGGACCCATGTATTCTCAGGTATACTGGAAGCCACCAAGTCCCTATGATCCTCCTGCCTCTGACCCTCCTGGAGCTGGGTTTATGATAGGTTGTTCTATGGGTGCCAGAATCTGAATTCCAGTCCTCACGATTGCCCAGACGCTCTTAACTACAGAGCCTTTTCTTTAGCGTAGCCTGTTTAACTTCTGTACGTTGTATGTTGTTACGTCACGTGGGCTGTCGGCCGACTGTGACCTGCTGTAGCAATAGTGCCACGGGCAGGTGAGCCCCAGCTCAGTGCTGTGCAGCGTACAGCTTCTTGTCTTTATCCTTGTCTTTTGTCCTGACCTAGAGTATGCCACAGGCTGATGTCTGCCCTGACACAGATGTGGATACTCGTTGAGGGGTAGAGAGATGCTTCTGTTTGACCAGAGGGCAATATCGGCAATGTTCTACCTGATGTCTCCACAGGCATGGGTGGCAATTGTGGTCTCCTTTGTACTTTTCTCTTTCACTTGAGGGTGTCCACGTTCTTGTCAGCAGACCCATGGACTCTTGGAAAGTCTCTGTCCCTCACAGTTGGCCCAGGCCAAAGACCCTTGGATTAAGGGTGCTCTGGGAGGTACCTTTTCCATGTAAGCTAAACTACATTAGATTACTGGGATCTGGCTACTGCTTAGGACAGCGTGACAAGCCTGTGTAACCAGCAACGGGAAAGCTGGTCTACCTGCTGCTGTCCCGAACTGCTGAGGTGCCTAGTCTCTGTTTTGTGTGTTTGTTATTGTTTTTGAAACAGCATCTTTTTACATAGCCCTGGCGCTCCTAGAACTTAATTATGTAGACTAAGCTTGCCTCAGACTCAGAGATACTACTGCCCCGTCTCCTGAGTGCTGGGATCGAAGGTGTGTGCTACGACACCTAGCTTGCCTCCGGTTTGTGAAGAGAAACATGTAAGAAGGATTTTCGTCTGCATGGTGACTAATTTCACTGTGAATGACTAGGTACAGGAGTTTTATTTTGAATTATTATTTGTGAGGTAGATTCTATAAAACTGACTTTTTTTTTTTTTTTTTTTTTTGGTTTTCGAGACAAGGTTTCTCTGGCTTTGGAGACTGTCCTGGAACTAGCTGTTGTAGATCCACCTGCCTTTGCCTCCTGGGTGCTGGGATTAAAGGCGTGCACCACCACTGCCCGGCTTAAGTAGGAACTCTTTATAGATAATTCTTTGGTATTAATAAATGATGAAGGAAACACCAGTACCTCCTTCACCCAGTGTTCATCATTTGTCATTTTCTGTTAGATGTAATGCAGAACTGGGATGACATTTTCTGCAGTTATCTGCTTTAACTGAGTAAGCACTTTTTCTCAACAGCTGAAAGGCCAGGTCTTCTCGCTGAGTCGGGAGGTGGAAGAGTGCCGAGCTGAGCTGGAGAGGCTGCAGCAGAGGAGGGAGCGGGAGAACCAGGAGGGCGCCACTCTCATCTGCATGCTCAGGGCTGATGCAGACCTGGCTCGGAGCGAAGGGTCAGTGCTTGCCTGTCAGTCAACGTGGCTGCTCAGCTAGCCACATGGCCGCTCCTGTCTCCCAGCCCACTGTGCTGGCTGTGGGGTTTCTGGACATACCACCATCTGGGGGGTTTCTGACGTACCACCATCTGGGGGGTTTCTGGACATACCACCATCTGGGGCGTTTCTGACGTACCACCATCTGGGGGTTTCTGGACATACCACCATCTGGGGGTTTCTGATGTACCACCACCTGGGGGGTTTCTGATGTACCACCATCTGGGGGTTTCTGATGTACCACCATCTGGGGGTTTCTGGACGTACCACCATCTGGGGGTTTCTGGACGTACCACCATCTGGGGTTGACAGACACTAGCCACAGTCTCCAGTCTCAAAGACTGAGCATTAGCTACTTGCACACCCGACACTTTGCCAGCTGTTCATATATCACCAAACAGTAGCAAAACCCATTGTTTTATTAAAGTCCTATTGTGTCCCCTGTAATCACCCTACCCCAGGTAGTTAACTACTTGATACCTTGTAGGCCTTTCCTGTGGTAGCTTAGTGTCAGGGTCAGAGAACAGCAACCTTTGGGACGGTATCTTAGGACTTGGGACTCTACGTGGCATTTGTAGATAGGTGGTTAGCATTCTGCGAAGGGCATGGAAGATTCTCAGGGCTAAGAACAGCTCCGGTGACAGTTGTTCTCTATCATAGGAAGGTACTCCAAGATGCTCTGAGGAGACTGCTTGATTTGTTTGGAGAAACACTGAAGACAGCTGTCACCCTAAAGAGCCGAATCAGTGAGCGTGCGGGTCTCCTCCTGGACCATGTGGATGCTACGGATACAAGCGATGCCCGGTTAGCAGGTACATGCCCAAGATGGGTTGCCTGTTAGGGCCGTGTGTACTGGGAAGGGGTCCTAGAATGTCCCCGGGAGCTGTGTTCACTGTCAGTCCCCATACAGTGGGAGGGCAAGGGTCAGGCCTAGGTAAGGTTCTCAGGGTTGGTTGCTGTTTTGCTAAGGAGTTGGGTCATCACCCTAACCCCTCCAAATTCTTCAACCGGATGGTGAGCTTGCTGAGTAAAGAGGTGAATATCTGTTTGTCTGTCTTGTAGCTGCAGCCCTTGGCGATATGTGGTCTGATGAGGGTCTACTTGAGATAGACAGAACTTTGCCTGAAGGGGCAGAAACGTCTTCAGTGTGTGAAATTAGCAGTCATGTGTGTGAAAGCTTTTTTATGAGCCCTGACAACACACTGGAATGTGAGCAGCCAATTAGGAAAGTCTACCAGAGCCTCAGCAGGGCTGTTGATGGCCTCCTGGAGATGGCCCTGGACTCCTCCAAACAGGTGAGGCCCAAGCCCGTAACGGGCCAGTAGAGAGGCGGTAGTGGTGTGCTGACAGAGCCGTGGCCACCGCTGCTGCCGTGTGGCTGATTCCGCAGCCCACAAAGAACCTCTTCGTGGTCCAGGTAGGTCTGAATCCATGGGTGCCGTAGACGGAATGTTCCCTCTTAGCTGTTGGAAACTAGGGTTTCTGGTTCTTGCTTCTTCCTCACCCATCAAATCTTAAGCCCAGTTGTTTAGTGGGACCCACTGTCCTCTCTCAGGAACCAACATGTCTGGAATCTCACTTCTAATCGGGTGCTTTGGCTGGCCTCCATGTGCATCTGTAAGGAAGCCCCCATTCTGAGAGTGTCTAATGGTCCACAGGATCAGACTTTGCAATAGGGTATCCTAGCAAGTACCACAGGGGGCTGAGGAACCCACTGTTTGGGATCTCTGTGAGTTCAGGGAAAGCCAGGGCTACACAGAGAAACTGTGTCTCGAAAAACAAAAACAAAAAGACAAGACCTGCCTTTTGGAGGATGCGTCTTTGGGGAAGGATTTGGGAGACTTAGAGGGTCTGTCACAGAGCCCTGTGGGAGGTACAGGAGCCCTCGGAAGCTGATGCCAGGTCAGCGGCAGCAGGCTGGGGTAGGATTGCGGTTCAGATAGGCCTCTGCAGAACCACGTCTGACCTTGGCTGCAGGAAGGTACAGGAGCCGGAGGAAGCAGCCTGTTGGAGGATGGGAAGACAGATATATTAGAAGTGGCCTCTGGACCATTGTCAAGAAAGACCTTAGAGGCCAGTGGACAACTTGAGCCCCAAGAAAGGCCAGAGTTGTGCTATTAATGAGGGGCTGAGCGAGGCCGGGCCTGGACGCTCTGTTGTCTGCTGGGGGCATGGGGTGTAGGTGTTCTGTGTTTAGAGTCCCACTGAGTCCTGTAGATGATGACCTTGGAAGTTCTAGACAAGACATGAATGCTGGAAGGAGGGGTGTCACAGACAGCTAACAAGGCGCTGTGACTGCTCTGCTGCCGTGGCACTGTCACCTCAGCTCTGCTGGTGATGACCCTGGGATCACGGTGTGCTACAATTCTACTGATGCTAACTTCCCCACCCACCCACTCTGTTCCTCTCTCCTTCCTTCTCTTCTCCCTCCCGTTCATACCCTCTGTATTTTTCATATGTAGCTGTGATTGTCAAATATATCTCCACAGCTGGAGGAAGCACGCCAGCTCCATTGCTGTGTGGAGAAAGAGTTCCGTCATAGGAACGAGGAGATGGCACAGTCTGTGCAGAAGCAACAGGAGCTGCTGGAACACCTGAGGCAGGAGAGTGCCGCCAAGGATGGGCTGGCGCTGGAGCTGCACACAGCAGAGGGTGAGTGGCATGCTGTGTGACTGGAGTGAGGTGTCCTGTTTCAGACATGCAGGAAGCATGGGAGGCAAACTGTCTAAGCCACCTTGTCAGGGCGAGGCACCAGTGTGTCCCGCAGTAAGTTTTATTTGGTAAGTGTCACTGGCTCAGGGAACCCATGTGGTTGATGGGTCTGTTTGTGGGCTATAGAGGGCCCTGGAATGCCTGCTGTCACTTGGCACTGGGCTTTCCTATTCTGTGGATGAGTGTCTGTCAGCTCTGCCCATGGCTGCCTATCACAAAGCATTCGGTGTCTCTGCACAGGCGAACGGGCTCCTTGGTGCTCAGGGCTCACTGGTGTGCAGTTCTTTTTTTTTTTTTTTTTTTTTTTAACAAGACAGGGTTTCTCTGTATTGTTTTGGAGGCTGTCAGTCCAGCCTGGCCTCGAACTCACAGAGATCCGCCTGTCTCTGCCTCCCGAGTGCTGGGATTAAAGGCGTGCGCCACCACCGCCCACTGGCGTGCAGTTCTTTTCAAGGCTCTGGCCCTGTCTGAAGAACCAGCCCCCTTCACTGAGGGTTATTGACCCTGTGCCTCCACCAGGAGTGACCCAACCACATCAGCATTTTGTAAAGGGCCGCCGGAAGGGTCTCATCCTTCCCCGTGGGTTGGCATGTCTCTGCACTTGGCCTGTCTTCTAGGTCTCCTGGAAGGACTCAAGGTGGAGAAAGCAGATCTGCAGGAGGCTCTGGGCAAAAAGGAGGAGTCGGAGCAGCAGCTGATCCTGGAGCTAGAGAGCCTGCGGAAGCAGCTGCAACAAGCAGCCCAGGAGCTGGCCACTCTGAGGGAAGAAAACTCTGTCCTGTCGAGCCAGAAGGAAACTCTCACTAATGAAGCAAAGGAACGAGAAGCTGGTAAGAGATGGCGATTGGTGGAAGGCTGAGTAGGATGGGGGACAGCAGCTGATCGAAGCGTGCCTGTAAACTTGGTCTTTCTAGGGTGGAAATGCAAGGAGGCGTGTCTGTGGGTTCCATGGTTGTGTGGGGTATTTCATGGGACATGCAGGCCACAGGAAGGACAACTGGACAGGATGCAGCGTCCAGGTGCTCTGTGGTGGTCCTGAGGTAGAAGGTCTTAAAGGCTGACATTGCTTATGAACTGTGCCTCTGGGGGAAGGAATAGCCTTAGGGCAGCAGGTTAATATATCAAGGAAATCCTGAAATCGTACTGAAGATAAGTGTCTGTTATTGGTCCTGTGTGCTAGTTGGCTTGGAGCCGCTGTAGCAGAGTTGTCGAGATAAACAACTTGAGGGAGGAGAGGTTTCTTTTGGCTCATGGTCTCAGAGGTTTCAGACATGACTACTTGGCCAACTTGGTTTTAGGCCTATGGAGAGGCAGCATGTCATTGTGGAAATGTATAACAGAGGAAAGCTATTCATTTTGCCGCAGTCAAGGAGAAAAGAGAGGTCTCTCTCTTTTTTTTTTTTTTTGGTTTTTGTTTGTTGGTTTTTTTTTTTTTTTGTTTTGTTTTGTTTTTGTTTTTTGACACAGGGTTTCTCTGTGTAGCTTTGGAGCCTGTCTTGGAACTCAGACTAGCCTCAAACTCAAAGACTCAGAGATCCACCTGCCTCTGCTACCAAGTGCTGGGATTAAAGGCTTGCGCCACCACCACCTGGCACAGAGAGAGCTCTCATTTTTATAATAAAGCTCTCACCCCCAAACCTTTAAGCTGTGACTCTACCAAAGGATTCATCCCCCGGTGAGTTCAGAACCTCATGATATAGCCCCTCTCAGAGGCCCTGACTCAGAACACAACCGTATTTGGGACCATGGTTTTCAACATAGGAGCTTTTGAGGAAGCAGCCAAGATTCAAACCATAATAGACTTTCAAAATCAGGGCTCTACTTTCTGGAGGCTCAGGGTCTTACTGTGTTGGCTAGTCCTTCAGCCAGTCTCCAGCCTTAGTGTCCTGAGTACTGAGATTATAGCATGTCACCATGTCCCGGCAGTTCTTATATATTTTAGCTGTAAGTGTTTAAACGAAACTGGATCAAATGAGAAGCATACACTGCTGCATTCCCAGGTTGTTTTCGACTAGTCAGAAACACTTGCACTTGTTTGCCCTGCCCTCTGTGTTTTCTTTTCCTGTATGTTTTTCCTCCATGCCTTTACTCTCATTTTCCTCCTGTGGGACATAGCTGGGCAGGCATGACCCTCGGTCCCATTCTCCTTGACGCTTGAGGCCATAAGCATCACCGTGTCCTGCTTCACAGGTTTTCGGTAACCCCTCTGGTGCTTCTCTCTGTCCCCATCATGTGTGTAAGATGAGTTCTCTGCTCCCAGCCCATTCCGTTAAATATCTCACTGTCTGTTAGGGCCCCTTTTCTATTCTGGAACAATTTTCAAGGCTGGCCCTTTCTTGTGTGTGACCTGTGCCTGAATCCCGTCCCTGGACACCTCGTATTTTTTAACATGATCTAGCAGATAAAGAATCTCAGAGCCCGTTTACTATTTTGCGGCCTACTGATGTAACTCGTGTGCCTATTCCGAGCTTCTTTGGAAATCTTTTGGGGCTGTCACTGCCCTTCCCCTACTTTTTTTTTTTTTTTTTGTCTTCATCAATCACCACGATGTGCCCTGATGTTCCAGGCAGCACTGTGGCTGGGCCCCTGTGGCTGGGTGGTGCCTGTGGGTTCCAGGCAGAGACCCGGGATGAGGTTGGCCCCGTATAAGGGCATGGCTTTGGCCTTCAGGCTTCAGGGAATCTCTTCTCTGTTGGGCTTTAACTCTGCCAACTCTTGTAACCTCTCTGTGGTCTTCCCAGCTGGAGTTCACTTGGAATTGTTTACACGGCCTTAGTTTTCACTCCTGTCTCTTTACCCTTCCGCCCTGGGGCTGTTCTGAATTGTTCATATCCAGTCGTCCCCCCCCTTACCCTGAGCCAACACCCCGGCTGTGGTTTCCTTGGCCTGGGATTCCTGGAATGACCTCAAGCTACTTGGTGTCCTGTGAATATGGAACAACTTCCCAGGAACCTTGAGGGTTCGGTTCTGCCTCACTTTTCTTGGGTATTTCTTTATTTCCTTAGGTGTGTGTTGCGGCTACTTTTGAGGTAGTGTCATCTTTACTGTCTGTTATCTTTTAAAATGAACTCCTGAACCCCCTGGGTACTGGGCTCTATGTCCACTTGAGGGCACCGGGTGTGCAGAGCCTCGACGCTGCCTTGCATGCTGCTGGCTTTTGCTCCATCTGGGTTCTCGGTTATCTGGGCTCTCGTTCCTGGCTCTTTCCTTCCCTGTGATGGTTTGTTTCCTGTTGTAGGTACTCCCATCTCTGCAACACACAAGGACACAGGTTTGTAAAGAGTGTGAACGCTGCATGATGTACTGTATGTTTGCATCAGATTTTTCCAATTACTAAGAGGGGAAAATGCTTCAGAGATTTTTGTGGCAAATTATTGAATGATATTATAGTCTTTTATAATCATTCATTTAAAAACGGCAGCTTTGTCCCATTTTAATGTTCCAGTGATATTTACTCTTTTCTCTAATGCCTTCTGCAATTTTAAGTCCTCTTTGTGCTGTTTTTGCAAGAATTGATGCTTCGTGACTGTTACGGTGTTTGTTGGGTCAGGTCCCTGTGCAGGGCTCCTGGCAGGTGACCCGGGGAGGGTCTGGGCCTGCCTGTGGCTTTATGCCTTGTCTGACTTCCCATCAGGTCCTCATCTGCACAGCCCCTATAAGCCATGCTCCCCTTCCTCCCTCCCACCGAGGTGAAATGGAAGGTGGTGTCATCCGATCTTAAAGGGGCCTGTGTTTCTTCATGATGAGACAGTGCCAACCGGCCAAGCTTAGATCCCCTTCCTTAATTAAAGCTTGTAAATGACATTGTTATAACTGCATGTTTAAGGACAGTTTACTCTAACTGCTGGCTTCCTAGCATGGAGATTTGTTGAGAATGTCACATTCATGGGACTGGTTTGTCAGAAAAGATTGACAGTTTTGAGTGCTGGAGAAATGAAAGTAAGAATTTATGAAATTCATAAATTCTTTTCTCCCGTTTGATAATCCACTCGGGATTTATCACTAGTTCTGTGGGTGGTTTTCTAGAGCCACTGTTTCCCCTCCCCCATGAGGCTGTCAGTAGGTTGGAGGCTTTACCTAATGCTGAATTCATGTTGGAGAGCGCACATGCACACAAAAGTTTCAGAATATTGTGACATGTCACTGATTTATCAGGATACACACTTTTTTTTTCTGGGAGTGGTTGAGACAGGGCCTCTCTATGTAGCCCTGGTTGTTCTAGAATTCTATGTAGACCAGGCTGGCCTTGAACTTACAGGGCTTACAGACCTGTGTCTGCCTCCCGAGTGCTGAGATTAAAGGTATGCGCCACCACCCCTGACTTCAGGACACACTCATGTTAGGCTTCTAAATTTTAGCCAGTTTTCTCTTAAAAGGTGTGCTCTTTTTTTTTTTTTTTTTTTCCAGGAGTAATTTGTATTTTCAGGGACCATCTTACAGAGCTGTGGGTATGTGAGGGCCAGGGCCTTAAAGTCTGACAGGAGGACAGGCTGGCCCAGCTCCTTTGTCACACTCTGCAGAGGAGAGAGTCCGGGCTTTCTTCAGGGGGTCTCAGGGTGGCTGGGTGTGGTGACTGCTCTTTCCCAAGCTGTCCCTGCCATTCCAGTTCCGGTTCCTCTGAGCAGGCTGTGAAGGTCGGTCGCAGACAGCCACCATAGGTGTTTCCTGAGCCCTGCTCGGGGCAGTCCATGCTCTGAGGTAAGACTCCCTGTCTGTTTTCTTGGCACCTGCAGCGCTGCAGAAGGAAGTGGAGTCTCTGTCCAGAGACCAGTGGGAGGCCAGGAAGCAGTCTGAGAAGGACCGTGCCACCCTGCTCTCTCAGATGCGAGTCTTGGAGTCCGAGTTGGAGGACCAGCTTGTGCAGCACCGCGGCTGTGGCCAGCTGACTGAGGAAGTGGCCACCCTGAAGCAGGAGCTGGCTGCCCTAGACAAGCATTTACGTAGCCAGCGTCAGTTCATGGATGTAAGAAGTGTTTTGTTTTGTTTTTTAAATATCACAAACAACACGGATAGCTTTGATACCATCGCGCTGTGGGCTGGTGTGTTACGCTCATCTGAATGGCGTTGTCGCCTTGACTGTGGTGGGTACTTGCATATTGGCCTGCATTTTGTGAAGATGATTCTGAGTGCATATTCCGGCATCTTCTTGACCCATACTTCTTCCTGAGGTCTTGGGAGAAATTTCTGGCAGTCTAGCTGTCTTCTTGCATCCTAGGAGGTGTCTGTGGTCTCTTTCTCAGAGAGCAAAGCTGCCCATGCATACTGTGGCTTTCTGCTAACAGTTTCAAAATGCTATGACTTTGTCAGAGATCTCCTGTGCAGTTTCTCATTAGATGACTTACCTCCATTTTGTAAAATTGACCATGGCAAAGGGGATGTGGCGGAGTCAGCGAACACATTAGAAGTGTGGTCAGAGTCTCATTCCCCAAAGTACGGTCCTCACATGTGGCTTCCTGTTCCAGGAGCAGGCTGCTGAGCGTGAGCACGAGCGAGAAGAGTTCCAGCAGGAGATCCAGAGGCTGGAGGAGCAGCTCCGCCAGGCAGCCCGGCCACGGCCTCCTGGGCCCCGTGACAGCCAGGTAGGTCAGCCTGTTGTGTCCGGTGTCTGTGGGTGACCGGTCACTGCAACATTTTAAAGCCTTGTTTTCCTTTACATTTTGCCTTCCGTGGATGTGGAAACAACAGTGCGCACAGCTAGATGAGGAGGTAGGATGACGGCGTCTCCTTTGCTTCTGTCAGCCGATGGCTTGCAGCTTCCTAGCACAGCTTTGCCACACCCTGCATGGTGGTTTGGGGCCGTATGCACCGCCTGCCCTGTTGCTTACTCTGTGTGCTTTTGCTTCGGGCTGTGGAGGTCTGCAACCCCTTGACTGGGGTAGCTGTAGCTGATTTGCTTATGCACTTTTAAAAAGTAAACTTATTTTAAGGAAAGAATGGGTCTCCATGAAGCTGTGAGGAGTGAGACCCAGATCTCTGCTTCCCAGCCTTGGACTGAAGGGATGCAGGGAGACGGCGCAGCCTTCAGTACCATGTGCCTCCTGGCACCTCCTGGTACCTTCCTGATACCTTCCCACAGAATTATATGTTAAATGTAAGACAAGAGCTGCAGTGCTTGGTCCAGAATAGAGGCTGACGTATAATACACAGTTCCCTTTAGGAATGAGGGTTATTAGAGTGAGCAGGCTTCAAGGCCATGATTGGGTCTCCAGGTGGGATAGCGGGCATTCGACAGAATATGTGGAGACAGTATATGGAGATCAAGCATGGACAGCACTGGAGGAGAAGCTGTCCTTTAAAGCACAGCAAGGACCTTCAGTAAGAGTGAGCATGAGGGGCTGGAAACATGGCTCAGCGGTCAAGAGCACTGGCTGCGTCTCCAGGGGGCACAGGTTCTATTCCTGTGTCCATATGATGGCTCACAGCTGACTGGTCATTACAGCTCCAGGATCTGATGTCCTCTTCTGGTCTCTGTGGGCATTGCATGCATGCGTGTGGTGCACAGACATACATGTACAGGCAAAGCGTCCATACACATAAAATAAATGTAAAGTTTCCCTCCCTCCCTCCCTCCCTCCCTCCCTCCCTCCCTCCCTCCCTCCCTTATTTTCTATTTTTCAACTTTTTCTTTTTTTCATTGATTTTTATTTTTATGTGCATTGATGTTTTGCCTGCACGTGTGTCTATGTGAGGGCATTGGACCCCTGGAACTGGAGTTACAGACAGTTGTGAGCTGCCATGTGGATGCTGGGAATTGAGCAGTCAGAGATGAGCCACCCCCTCTTTTTTTCTGACAGTGCAAATATGGAGTTGGAAAGATGCCTCGGTGGTTAAGAGCTCTTGTACTTGGTGGTCCATAAACATCTGGAACTCCAGTTCCAGAGGATCCAACACCCTGGCACTGTCACGCCTGTGGTGTACTTACATACATGTGGACAAAGCATGCATATACACATTAGAAAAACTTAACAAAAGTTGTGGGGGAGGCTCTCCGAGAGGGACGAGTGGGCAGAAGAGCCACTTCCTTGCGCAGCCTCCTGAAGCGTTCCGGAGCCTCTTGAACAAAGGGAACACTTAGTTCTTTACTGCTGTATAGGGGTGACACACGTTTTACCTCACATGACGTAGTTCAGCATGGCGTGTATGACAAGTGTAAAAGAATGGGTATGATAAACAGAGCTACCGGAGCACGGCACTGACTACTTTTTGACTTCCAGAGAGAGCTGGAGGGAGATGTGGCCTGATGCAGGCTGTGGGATGTAGCTGGAAGGTTTGGGCCCTGACCTAGCTTTATATAACTGAAATTATGTGTGCCTCTTAAGACTGGCTTTTCACTCTTCTTCTCTTAGTTCCTTTCAAGTTGTTGCACTCTTTTTTATTTCAGCTGCCAAAGCAGTATTTTTTTAAAAGATGTATTTATTTTTTGGTATATGGTGCTCTATCTGTATATACATGTGCATTCCAGAAGAAGACATCAGATCCCACTATAGATAGCTATGAACCACCATGTGGTTTCTGGGAATTGAACTCAGAACCTCAAGAAGAGCTGTCAATGCTCTAACCACTGAGCCGTCTGTCCAGCCTCTGCAGTATTCCATTTTTTTCTGTCAAAATAAGTTTTGTTTTACTGATGCATTTGGGCTTATATTCTGTTCTGTGTGTGTTCCTTTTTTTTGTCCTCCTTAAACAACTGTACTAATCTGCCTGTAGGTTGCACAGTACACTGAGATTTGGAGCAATAGAGCACTCCTTAGTTGGTTTATTCTATGCTGTCTTATTTGAAAGTTTTTTTTTTTAAACTGTCTGTTACATTCCTCCTATGTTTGCTTTTGTGTTTAGGTGGAATTATTACAAGAAAAATTGAGAGAGAAATTAGATGGATTCAATGAATTGGTCATAAAGAAAGATTTTGCAGATCAACAATTGTTAATTCAAGAAGAAGAAATTAGACGTCTTGAAGAGAAAAATGTCAACATACAAAGACAAATGGCCCAGCTCCAGGAAGAACTGGAAAAACAGAAAAAAAACTTGGAAGAATTAAAAGTAAAGTTCTGTGCATCCTAGTTGGGGCAGAGCACTAAGCTGGGGTGGTGGACCACAGATGGGTCATGCAGCTGTGTGGGTGAGGTCATAGGGGATAGAGGTGTAGGGTCTTATCGGGCATGTGGCATGAGACTAAAGACAGGACTTGTATTTTGGAGACCCTGTAGTAGGTTCTGGACAAATGCTCCTGGTGGCTTCAGGGCCATAGGCAAGCTTTGTCAAGATAGCTGTCTGATTGCCTAAATCAGTTGTGGTGAGATCTTGCTTGTACAAATAAAGCCTGTATGAAGGACAGAGAATAAAGCTTGCCTTAGTAAACTATGGAAGTCTGGAGGTCTGTACAGACAGACAGGAAGTGAGATAGCTTGGCAGAAACAGGATATAATCAAGATTAAAAAAAAAAAAAACAAGATATCACCACAATCAGTTGTGTCTTTTTTTTTAAGCTTCTTGTTCAGGACTTTAATAATTTAGGAGTTTTGCCGGGCGTTGGTGGCACACGCCTTTAATCCCAGCACTCGGGAGGCAGAGGCAGGCAGATCTCTGTGAGTTCGAGGCCAGGCTGGTTTACAGAGCATGAGCTCAGGTAGATTCTGTTCAGCAGATGTAGTCTGGGCATGTCCTGAGTGAGGTATGTGTAGACAGACCTACTTCTGCAGGATTCTACATTATGGATTAGATTTTTTTTTTTTGGTTTTTCGAGACAGGGTTTCTCTGTGGCTTTGGAGGCTGTCCTGGAACTCACTTTGTAGACCAGGCTGGCCTCGAACTCACAGAGATCCGCCTGCCTCTACCTCCCGAGTGCTGGGATTAAAGGTGTGCGCCACCAACGCCCGGTTTATGGATTAGATCTTTATGACCATTGATTCTTTAAGTCCCCAATTTTGTAATTGTCTGCCTAAAATAAATATCCCTCTCCCCGCTGAAATAGGATAACGAGGTCCTAAAGCAAGAGCACACGAGGGACCTTCTGCTACCACCTGTATCACAGCGTAGGCTGCATGAAGCCGGGTGTCCCGTGCCTTTTCAGGACAGCTTCTCTAGGGGTCCTGAAACCCAACCAGAGGTAACAGAGAGCACACCTGTGCAGCCTGTGCATGAGGTAGGTAGCAGCAACTGTATGGGACTGCCCAGCTGCAGCCCCATGTCCCCTCACATCTCTGAGCACCTCTGCATAAAGGGTGACCATCCAAAGCCAGGTAGCAGCATTGTGACCCAAGTATATATATTTATGTCATAATAGGGCAGTAGTACCTGCTCTCTGAGATCTTCCAAAGCTACTTTAGTGATTATTAAATCAGTTACAATATTAGATAATTTTCATCACTTTTTCACTTAGATGAAGGGTTTGGACTTTTTTGTTGGTTTTGTGTAGCTTTGGAACCTGTCCTGGAACTAGCTGTTGTAGACCATGCTGGTGTCGAACTCACAGAGATCTGCCTGCCTCTGCCTCCTGAATGCTGGGATTAAAAGGCATGTTTGGACTTTAAAGAGCAACTAGAAGAGATCAAAGATGACTTAGTAGTTGGGTGTGGTGGTATATGCCTTTAATCCCAGCATCCAGGAGACAGGCGGATCTCTTGGGTTCAAGACCACCCTGGTCTACCAAGTAAGTTCCAGGCCAGGGGATAAAGCATCATTTAGGCCTTATAGGCACACCCGTTCCGTTGATGAATGAAAAAAACAAAAACCAAAGCCCAACAAGCCAACAACCGTTATGTCCTCTTCCTCATTTACATCGGAGGAAAGCCCCCTTTGCTGCAGAAGCAAAAGCTGCTCCCTGGCAGAAACCGCTTGGAGAGCAAGCATAACTTTAGCAGGGTGATACATGCTATTTACACACATTCTCATTCCAAGGGACTGGTAGCACAGTGAATGTAATAGAGGCAATGGTGGGTGTTTGTGCTGCTGTAAAGGGGCAGTGAGAGAGTGGAAATGAATACTGCAGAACCACTGGTAGACAGTTTGTGCCACCTCAGTTGGGCAGTATAGAGATAGGGGTGGCCAGTGCTTGTGCCAATGTGGATGATACGATAAAGATACTGGTCTTCTGCAGTAGGAGTGTACTGCTCAGGCATAGAAGAGACTCCCTGCTTGCACATACATTCATAGTTCCAACACGTTTATAGCAGTAGGTTAGCTCCAAATTGTCACCAGGTTTCCGCATGTTAAGAGAGCTTCAGAAACTGTTGTTTTAATATCTCTTTGAGTTGATACAATCATGTCGTTTTTCTCTTTAACCTGTGGGCCGCACAGTGACATTTTCAGGCCTGGAGTCAGGCTCACACCCCAGGAGTGCACTCACCCCGCTCATGGTGCATGCCTCTCCGTGCAGGTGTTTTGTGAAGTTATCCATCTGTCTCCACCAGGGATAGTAGCCTTCTTTTGACCTCTTCCATTGCAGTTTTCCCTCCTTTTCTGTTTTCTGGAAGAGGTAGTCTACAACCGGTGGTATTGATTCTTAAATGTCAAATAGAATTTTTGCTTGTTTTATGTTTTGCTGTTTGTTTATGAGAAGGATCTTTCTATATAGTCCTGGCTATCCTGGAGCTCACTATTTAGATCAGGGTGGCCTTGAACTCACAGAGCTTTGCTCACCTCTGACTAGGATTAAAGATGTGTACCACCCTGCTCAACTGTGAAGTATAATTGTTTAGTGAAAGCTGCCTTTTTTCCATTTCCTCGCTAGTTACAGAGCAAGTAAAATTAATTTCCTATTGAGAAATTTAGAGCATTCTTCTTTGAGGGTTTGTTTTTTGTTTTGTTTTTGTTTTTGTTTTTTTTTTTTTTTGGTTTTTTGATTTCACTATGTCAACCATGCTGTGTCTCAAGTCCTAGAATTAGAGGCATGCGCCTACTACTTCCACTGGATTTTCTTTGTTTTCATTTGTATTATAGGCCTGGTTTATATTTGTCTCTGTGAAGTAGAGCTAGGGGAGACCATGTGTTGTTATTGGACCCTTGACATTTTGGAAGCAAAATATGAGAGACATTGTTTGGAAATTGTTAGAACGCAAATAGGTTAGCATTTTTCTGGTTTTGGTTGTTAATTTGATGGTATCTTCAGAGAGCGGAGTTGAGCCGTATATTGTCATGTGTGCCAATCCCAACACTTACTGGTGTTTTGGGTTTAAGAAGCTGTTTCATAGCTAAGTTACCGGGGACTCGGTTAAACAGCATAATGCGAGTGCTCTCTTTCATGCCTAGTGAAGGACATACAAGACGTGTGCTAGAGCCAGCTGCCATGTGTGCAGTGGTCACTCGGGCAGTTGGAGAGACAGCAGGTGTGGTTCATTCTGTTCATCAGTGCAAATCCTCTGACCTGTATTGTCACCTCAGTTGTTAGCGCGACACCAAAAGTCTAAATGCTGTTTCAGAAAGATCAAACATGTGAGTTGGTGGTTGGCAGAGTAAGGCATCTCATGAGTGTAGGCACAGAATAAAAGTCTCATAAAGGAGGCACAGAATAAAAGGCGATGACCATCCTTAGCGAAGAGAAACTAAAGTTAGAGATTCTGAGTTCAAACCACGAGCTTTCGGGTAGGGTACATGCTGAGGTACGCTGAGATTTGTGAGCACCCTTTCTCTGTACCTGAAGAGTGGGTGCCATGTGTTTGGATTTACAAAACCATCTGAGGATAGTGTTTATTCCTGTCTCTGTGCTGGGAGTCGGGGTGGGGGGTGTGGTGTCTCACAGGCTAATTCATTAGTGACTTCTTATGACATGTGCACCCTCTTTAGGTTGTACCCAGGAGAAACTCTGAGATTGAAGAGCTGAAAGCCATCATCGAAAATTTGCAGGAAAACCAGGAACAATTACAGAAGGATAAAGCAGAAGAAATTGAACAGCTCCATGAAGTCATTGAGAAGCTGCAGAGTGAGCTGATTCTCATGGGGCCCAAGTTGCATGAACTCAGTGATCATCAGGGTAGCAGTCTCCACACCGAGCTGTCCTGCCTCCATGCAGAAGGCCAGCATGGACAGGCACTACGGAATGAGCTGGAGGCGGCACAGGCAGCCAAGGAAGTCTTTGGCCAGCTTCTGGCAGAGCAGGCACACGGACACAGCCAAGCCCTGGAGGAATTGCAGCAGCGTCTGCAAGATGCAGAGGAGGTCGCTGCAAGACGCTTGGCAGAACTAGAACATTGTGTGGCCCTCAGAGAAGCTGAGGCTGAAGGCATGGCCTCCCGGATCCAAGAATTTGAAGCTCTCCTGAAGGCAAAGGAAGCAATCATTGTACAGAGAGATCTGGAAATTGATGCCATAAACAGGTGGAAAATGACCCATTCCCTTGAGCTGGAGACCATCCTTTTGGCTTTGACACACTTCCGTCATGCCCTGGAACAGCAGACCCTTGCCACCCCAGACGAGCCTCCTGAGCTACAGCAGCTGCGAACACAGTGCGCTCGCCTCAGCCAGCAGCTGCAGGTGCTGCACCAGCGTTTCCTGAGGTGCCAGATGGAGCCAGACCAGCAGCAGGCCCCCGTAGCTCCAGCTGACTGCTCGTACCTTTGTGCAGATGCACAGACTAAACGTGATGGTCAGTTGGCACAGGACAGTGTCAGCATGGAGCTGGCCTTGGCCCCCCACAGCTCGGCTCCACAGGTAAGCCATAGACCACTGGGGGAAAGGTAGCCTTCTGTTTCTAAGCAGGGGGGGTTGGGAGGAGTGGTGCCCTGGGGCCAGGCGAGCTGTCGTCACTGTCCCCCATTGCTTATGCCTTTTAACTTTAGTGGCTTCCTTTTATTCTGGACATTGGGCTGCTGCTGTCATTAGTGGCTCCTGACAGGGCAGAGATGAGAGCCTGGAGTTTGTGTCACCTGGGCCCATTGGTTCCTCTAGTGAGTCCTACTGGGGTCGTTATTTTGTAGAGCTTTAAAATCATTAGCATTTTAAGTCACTTAAGCGTTTTAAACCAGTTAAAACAGTTCTTTTAAAGTTCTGCATTAATTTCGTGGGGTTTGTTTTGTGTGTGTTCTCCAATCAAAATGTTTGTTTTTAATAATCCTACTCCATGGAGACCTTTTCCATTTTAAGCTCATCTCATTTTGGAACAGAAGGCCCTGCCCAAGCTGCCTTTTAGATAGTAGAGTACTCCATTAGTCCCAGCACTTGGGAGATACAGGCAGGTGGATCTCTGAGTTCCAGGCCAGTCTGGTCTACAGAGTGAGTTCCAGGACAGTCAGGATTACACAGAAAAAACACACACACACACATGGGCCAGGCCAGCCTGGTCTACAGAGTGAGTTCCAGGACAGCCAGTTACACAGAGAAAACACGCACGCACACACACACACACACACACACACACACACACACACACACACACACACACACACACACACACACACACGGGAGTGGGGGCGGGAGTTTGAGTGGAACTTAGGGATTAGCGGCCTGAGTACTTCCACTTGCTGCTTTCCCAGCTGTTCCTACCACAGGTGTCCCCCCCACCCACCTGAGTGTCAGAAACAGTTTGCCCCTGGTGCCTCTGCTTTGTCTCTAGTGCCCAGGTGGCCTGGGGGGGGGGGGTCAGGCAGGCCACACCCAAGTCCCTGACTAACCCAGCTCTAGCTTTAGAAGCTCTCTGTGTTTCCTCTGGTCAAGGACAATCTACAGTCTGCCAAAGTCCTTGTGACACCCAAGGATGCCAGCCTCTACAAGCCCGAAAGTGTGATGTCAGTGCTCGCGGTCTGCCAGAGGCAGCTGGAGACGGAGATGCTTTTAATGAAAAATGCAATGCACTTGAGCATGGAGGAGGACTGCGAGGTTCCCAAAGGGATGCAGGTGCGTGGGCTTGTTGGTGGTGTTGGTGACTGTTGGTTTGGGATAGGCTGCACTGGGCCGGCCTGTCCTCCACTGGGCGAGGCTCAGCACGTGGGGGTGTATCACGACAAGAGGGTTGCTTAGCCATATAGTAGAATCTCCTCTGAGTCCATATACCCTGTTAGAGTGATACTGTATTTAAAGATACACGTTTCCTGTAGTCTGAGTCGATATACCCTGTTAGAGTGATACTGTATTTAAAGACACACGTTTCCTGTAGTCTGAGTCCATATACCCTGTTAGAGTGATACTGTATTTAAAGATACACGTTTCCTGTAGTCTGAGTCCATATACCCTGTTAGAGTGATACTGTGTTTAAAGACATACGCTTCCTGTAGTCTGAGTCCATATACCCTGTTAGAGTGATACTGTATTTAAAGATACACTTTTCTTGTAGTCTGAGTAGAGATGCTTTGTTCAGGTGAAGACCAAATTGCCCCACCTTCCATCCTTGAGATTTTTACCATGATCCATTTCCATTGTCCCTGCCAGTGTTTCTCCAACTTTGAAAGTCTTGAGATTTGTTTTTTAGCCTTGTCCCCACAACCCCATCTTTTACTCTATGAAAGGTCAGTTTTTACTCTGGAAAAGAAGGGCCCTTAGGGGAAACGTGGATTGTCTTAGGGTCCAGAGTTACTGAGGAGGCAGGGGGTAGCGCCCCCCCGCAATGCTTTCCAGGCCCTGGGCATCCAGCAGCCCTCACCTTGGATCTGCTTTCAGGTAGAGGCGCTGCTCCCTGTCCTCGATGGGTAGCATGTGTCACACCACCAATGCCTCTGTTAGAAGAACTTCCTTCTGGTGAGGGAGTACCTGTGGCCTCCACACAGATGCTCACACAGCAGGCTGTGACTCCTTAGCCACTTGTAGGACTCCTAAGGCTGGTTGTTCCCAGTCCGTGTGTGGCACTGGAAGCCTTGAAGTCTGTGATGGCGCCTTTGACCTGAGTGCTGTGCGCATTGCTAGAAGGTGGAGGCCAGAGCTCTTACACCTCTCTGTGTCTCAGAACATGAAGGGTTTAGAGTTCTATATTGGCTGGATCCAGGCTAAGAGCAGGGCCTGGGCCTGGGCTAAGGATCAGAGAGAGGTTTGTATCCATCTCAAAAGTCCTTTGAGCCCTCAGGGGACACACTCTGTGCAGAAACTCTTGCCGGCTTGCTACAGCAGACTCCCTGGGTCTTCATCTGTGTGACTGCAAGAAGGTTCAGTTTTGTGGCACCACAGACAGAGCCTGGTGCATGCTGATGAGGAACTCCACAGTCATTGTAGCTGTTACATTTTTTTTGTTTTCTGGTGTTTTGATATAGACCCTTCTAGTTCCTTTTTTTTTTTTTCTCAAAACAAAAGAAAAAAGAAAGAAGCAAAAAACCTTGATCCTTAGTAAATTATCACAGTCCTTGATTACGATGCTTGTCACTTAGGAAAAATAAGTTTTAATTCTGACATTCTGTCCGGAGGATTCCTCACGGGTCCCACCTGCAGGTGCTCCTTGTCTGGAAATAGTTGGGGAACACCAGGGCGATAATGGCGTGGCATAAAGTCACCCAGCCACTTCACTTTGCGAGCTCTCTTTCCTCACAGGCTAAGGAGCAGCGACTGGAAGATTGTCAGCTGGGCAGTGGGAACCTCGTTGTCCAGGTGAAACAACTGCAGGAGAAACTGCACCGCTTGGTGCATTCCATGGCCTCGAGAGACACCAGCCTGGAAAACCCTAAATTACAGCGGCCAAGCCTGTCAGAAAACGGCTCAAGTCGTCATAATGATGAAGAAAGCAATGCGTCACCTCCCGTCGCTAAAACCACGTGGGATGTAATTGATGCTATTAAAAATCAGGATTTGTTGGCCCAAGTTGAAATGCCAAGTTTTCCCCCTCAGGAACTGTTAACACCACAAGGAGGACCTCTTGGTGTGCACAGTGACTCCCTCCACACTGAGGAGGCTGAGCCCCAGAAGGACCCCGTGAGGGCACTGGACCTGTCTTCCTGGAGCTCCCCTGAGGTCCTCCGGAAGGACTCAACCCTCGAGCCCCAGCACAGCTTCTCCCTGACACCCCGCACAGGTACAGTGAGCCTGCGCAGTGTGGACACCTCCTCCCAAGACTGGACAGACTCACTGCTGCCGGCCGATGCGGCAGGGCTGCTTTGTTACCCGGGCAAGTCAGCAACAGCACAGTCCCCGCTGTGGGTGGTGGCTCCTTCAGCTGAGGACCACCGTGTGGAGAGGCCAGCTACGGTAGGTGTCTCCCCACACTCCCTGCTGCAGCATTTGGGGGTGGTCAGTGTTTTCGTAGGGATGTATCACAGCCAGGCTATTATTGGCTCATCTGACTCTGGGTGTCTCATAGTTGCAGAGGAGCCTGGTCTCCCAGAAGAAATCAGTCCTACATCTGACTGTCTGTAGGGACGTTTAGATCATTTTAGTCATATCAGAAACATGAGGGTTAATTGTCATCCTCAGACATTTATGTGGCATGCCTTAACGCAGGCTGACTCTGAGTAGCACAGTCATAATTCTTGTGTAATTTACAATGTTTTAGATTTTGTGTGTATGCGTGCATGTGGAGGTCAGAGGTCAATGCCATGGTTTGCTTTCTACTTCATTTTGATATGGTGCCTCTTACAGAGCCAGAACTTCCTGTTTGGGCTACACTGGCTGGCCAGTAAGCCACAGGTCTCCTTCCAAGTGCTGTGATTTATAGCTCTATACCACCCCACTGGGTTTTCATTTCATATGGATGCTGGCGATGGGAATGCTCATACTGCCGACTAAGCCCTAGCCACAGCCACAGTCCTGGGGTTTTCTGGTTTTTTTTTTTTTTTTTTTTTTGAGACAGGGTTTCCTTGTGTAGCTTTGGAGCCTGTCCTGGCACTCGCTCTGTAGACCAGGCCGGCCTTGAACTCACAGAGATCCGCCTGCCTCTGCCTCCCAAGTGCCGGGATTAAAGGTGTGCACCATCAATGCCTGGCCAGCCCTGTATTTATTTGTAGTAATATTCCATATGTGCTTAATGCATGGTTATACATGTAATGCTGATTAATTTTAGGAACAATTCAATTTATTTAGTTTGACTACATTTTTCCATTTTGATATATTTTTATATGGAAATACTTTGGGAGATGCATATTATCTAAGATACCCATACACTATCATTTATATCTGAGGAACTTGCTAGAGGCTACTTATCTTTTAAGATTTATTTATTTATTTATTATGTATACAATGTTCTGTCTTCATGTCAGAAGAGGGCACCAATTCCCATTATAGATGGTTGTGAGCCACCATGTGGTTGCTGGGAATTGAACTCAGGAACCTCTGGAAGAGCCAGCGCTCTTAACCTCTGAGCCACTCTCCAGCCCATTGCTAGTAGTTATTTATAAAGGTTATTTTTTGAAGATTTTTTTAAAAATTACATTTTATGTAATGTGTGCCTCTGTGTGTTTGTGTGTCACATGAGTCTTGTGGGAAATGTTTTTCTTTTTTCACCACATGTGGGTCCTGTGGTTCGCTCTCAGGCTGTCAGTGCCTTCACTCACCGAGCCATCTCTCCATCTCTTACAAACACCCCCAGTGCTCCCTGGGCTGTGGGCAGCAGGGGTTTCCAGCATCCAACATACTTGTGCGCTCTGAGCGTTTTGAACTGGGCTCTCTGTGGGAAGCTGATATGTTCTGATTCAAGTATGTTTCCCTCTGTTATTTACTGTTTTGTGACCATCTTAAAAATCTGCCTGTCTGAATAGGAGAAGGATGTCAAAGACTTTATCGTAACATCTTTTGATTCTCAAGAACTGTTAACATCCCCTCATGAGTTAGCAAGAAGAAGTGATGGGAGCGGGAAAAGTGAGTCAGTCGTACTTTTCTTTTTTTATTGCGTGTGCGTGTGTGTGCGCGCGTGTGTGTGTGCGTGCGCGCGCGCGAGCGCGTGTGCACATGCGTTTAGAGTTCAAAAGAGTATAAAGGTTCCCCCATATCCTCCCTGCTGTCCAGATGCACCGTCACCTACTTATGCCCTGAGTATAAGTTGCCAATGTGCTGCTGTCTGTCTCCTAAGAATGTTACTATGTTTTTTGAAGTCAGGGTCCCGGCACAGTGCTTAGCACTTGTACTCTGTTGTGTCCTTGGATTCTAATCAGATTGTGCCCATTATGCCAATATTGTCCTTCACAGATAGACTGGAGAAAAAAACCCCAGTCTGCATGTGGAGTCATCCTTTTGTCCCTCTGGGCTTCAAACACCAACATTTGCAAAGAGCAGAAGTGGGAATTTTTCACAGGGTCTGGCTTGTTCTTGAGGTTGAGCATGGGCTGTGGCCCATGGGCCACAGTTGTGTCTACGAGGTCTTCTTTTGCAGAGGGTAGATGTCCCCGGAAGAGTCTTGGAGACATGTAGATATTGTTCGGTCTCTGATCTACTTACTGTCCTCCTCCTCTTCTCTCCAAGCTCTTGTACTAGCTTTCATTCTTTCGCTCTTCGTTGGGCCAAACTATGATCATGTAAATTCTTCATCTATCGTGTAATTGCCTGCTTTCTCCAAGTCAGTATATGTAGGGTGTTTCAAAGCATCTTTGACTCTTTCAAGAATGAGATCATCATGAAATGTAGTTCATTAGAAACTTAGTATTTGTAAAATGCTAGCCCAGGAAACTTTTTGAACTTCAGTTTCCATTTACTCAGTTGGAGCATATGGCTTAAGCGGTTGAGTAGTCAGGGTTGCACTCCTTGGGTGACTTCTGTCCAGGCCCCAACTTGGGTTCAGCGTTCCTGGGGACATGTGTGCTTTAGTGTTTCATTTATCTTCCCACCGCATTCGCTATCTAACACAGCATCTAACCAGGCCTGGCGGCACACACCTTTAATCCTAGTACTTGAGAAGCAGAGGCAGGCACATCTCCATGAGGTAGAGATCCCATCTCAAACAAAACAAAAATAAATAAATACAAGTAAAATAGCCTCTAAATGTAGCAGTGAATTCCCCTTGCTTCACTTCCGTTGTCCACCTTGGAATTTTTTATACTCGTATGCATCCATGTGAGTGTCAGCATGTTCAGGCTGTGACTTCTTGTCTGTTCACTCTGATTTTCCCACCTCATGCTTGAGAAAGTGTCTGGGCTTCCTCTGTACATACTAGCTATTTTTCCTAAGATTTCCTTTTGTTGCTGTACTCTTATTTCTCCCCAGTATATTTTGGTATTAATATTTCTATTGCATGTCTGAGAATGTAGACTGACCTTCCTTGAAGTGGAGATCTTCTGCTGCCTTTACTACCTGTGGGTCTGGAGCTGCTGAGTCCCTATTGGCTGAGTGCTGGTGGGAGAACCCTCCTCTTGGGCTCCAGACCCTTACTGTGTCTCCCTGGCCAGGATGTTCCTGGAGGCTTTCCTTGTTGGCTATAGGCCTGAAATCGAGCTTATATGCTCCCAAGAGCCTGTAAAGCCCTCGACTGTTAGGTGCCTGGAGCCGCAAGTTCTGGACTGTGTTCAGTGTTGTCCCTACCCCACCTCATGTCAAGCCAGACATAGTTCCCTTTCTAGACCAGAGACTACTGTCCATCCAGCTGCTCCCATCTCCGCTAGGCTTGGTGCCCTGTCCGTTGTATTCTTGGTCCCTGTGCTGGGTTGCTGTCTGAGAAGTACCTAGGCCCTAGGTATAGTCTGGCTGCTCCTCAGGGCTTTCTGGGATGTAGTTGTCAGTGAGGGTGAGCCCGTACACCCGTGTAAGGAGCTGAGATAAGCCTGAGCTGTCGTCTGTTTAAGTCCCAGACAACACATAGAACACGCAGCGTAAGCTCTCTTCACTTCCTCCTCCCCCTGCTCCTGCCCTATGGGATTGTTGGCCCCTTGGAGCGTGTGGATGTGTTGTGTGGTGTGAGTGGCTGTAGCTGTCTTTGGAAATGGCTGTTGTGGTTCAGCTCCTGACCCCGTGTGCTCCTAGGCGATGGCCCGAGCAGTGGTATGATGCCGACTTCGGGCTCAGGGGGATCCGAGACTCCCCCCACTGGCCCTGTGGCTGCTGCTGCTCTACCTTTCTCCAGAAGGTTTGTACAGTCCCCAGGAGCAATGAAGGAGAAGGAAATCCACGCAAAGCATATGAAGGTAAGGCCCAAAAGCACTTGTCCAAGAGCACCGACAGCCACGATGAGTGAAAAGCCTGTCCCTTCTTGGCTGGACTACACCTATGCCTGTCCAGATGGTCAGCCTCAGCCCATTGGTGGGCACGCTCCTCTTGAACCACACGGTGATGGAGTCCCACATGCAGGCCACCTTCTGTGGTGGAATGCCAGTCCCACAGGTGGTGGTATCCCCCTAGGTCAGGACCTTGGAGCGTCTTCCTTGAGGGTCTCAGAACTAGCTTGTTGAGTCTGTGCTCTGTGGAAGAGTACTGTTTCTTTAGAGAGAGAGAAAAGTTGCCATTGAATTTGTGTGCCATCTATGACAAAGACATTGATATTAACATGACTAGGTAACTGAATGGTATCATGACAGTATGACAGTATGGTATCTTACTCAAATAATAGAAGTATCCCAAACAAGGGTTTTGTTTTTGTTTGTTTGAGTTTTTTGTTTTGTTTCACTTTGTTTTTGTAACATGGTCTTGTTGTGTAACCCAGCCTGGCCTGTAACTCAGCCTGTCTAGTGCTAACATTGTAGGTTATTTTATTATTATTATTTTTGTGTGGTGGTTGTTTTGCATGCCAGAAGCGGGCATCATATCCTATTATAGATGGTTGTGAATTGCCTGTATGCTATTTGTATACCACGTGTGTGCCTCTTGTCCATGGTGGCCAAAAGAGGGTGTCAGATCCCCTGGAATTAAAACTGCAGATGGTTGTGAGGTGTGCGGGAAGTGAACTTGTGTCTTCTAGTAGACCAATTAGCACTCTTAATTGCTGAACCATCTCTCCAAGCCCACCAGTAAATACAACAATTTTAATGTTATTAAGAATTCTGAAATTATGTCGAAGTAAAACTTTATTGTTTTCAGAGTAGAATCCAAGGGACTGGACAGATTATTCAGAAATTCCACAATGGCATGAGGGTCTGAGGGTGATCCTAACACTCACATAAACCAGGGCAGGGTACCTTGTGACTGTCATCTCAGCAATGGGTAGTTAGTGACAGGAGTCCCTGGGGTTTGCTGGCCAGCCAATGTAGCTGAAGTTCCTGAAGTGAACTCCAGGTTCAGTTTTAAAAGTTCTGTTTTAAAACATAAGGTGAGGAGTGATTAAGGAACATACTTGTCATCAACCTCTGGTCTCCACATACACATATATGAAACACACACACACACACAGAGGAAATTGGAATAATTGATCTAAGCTTTATTTCTTTATGTTTGTCCAAATTATCTATGGTACAAAACATGGAAGAGAGGTTTTTAGTGTTTTCTGTTTAAGCAACCTAACAGTAAAATAATTTGTTATTTTAAGTTAATGAATTGAGGTGGTGGTAGTTCAGTGTGTGGATGATGGTTTGGGGCTGATATGTCCCCCTTCCTGATGTGTTTTTTCTGCTATAGGCTTTGCTGCAGATGGTATTTGATGAGAGCCACCAGATACTGGCCTTGTCAGAGAGCCATGACCTCCCTAATCCACTGAGCAAGGGTGAACCACGTGACCCCCTGGATGGCCTCGCAAGGGACAGGCAGGCCCTTTTGGAGGTGACAGCTGACAGAGGAGAGAAGGTAGGAAATTGCTGGTTCAGTGAGTGAGAAGGAGCTAAACACAGTGGTAGACCTACGTGCAGGCCTAGGCCCTGCTCGTGAGGTGCTCGAGCAGCCTTGTCTTTGATCAGCCATACCTGTCCCTGGCCACAGCCCCAGGCAGCACAAAACACCCAGCAGCACAGCTCCATATAGCTTTGGCTCTTTCCAGACAGGGCTCAGCAGATGCAGCAGCAGGAAGAGAAGGAAAGAAAGTTGCCCGTTTTATTAGCTATTTTCTTGTAGCTGTGGCCAAGTATGGCAACCAAAGCAACCTACAGAAGGAAGAGTTTAATTTGGCTCGTGTTTCCAGAGGGATGAGTACTTTATGGTGGGGAGGCATGGCAGGAAGCAGCAAAGCAGGAGCTTAGAGCTCATGTCTCACACAGGCATGAAGCACAGAGAGTAAACTGTAAATGGGTAAAGCTCTTTGCTCTCAAAGCCTGCTCCAGTGGCCTACTTTCTCCAGCAAGGCCAAACCTCCTGCACCTCCCCAGACAGCGCCACCAGCTGGGGACCTAGTGTACAAATGCCTTAGACCATGGAGGACACTTCTCATCAAACCACCACACCCAATACTCCTACCAATATTAAAACAAAACAAAAACCCAAAAATATTTACTGTGTGGGGAGGGGGTTCCACGTTGTGTGTCTGGAGGTCAGAGTGTAGGTGGAAGTTGGTTTTCTCCTTCTGCCATGTGTTTCCTGAGGATTGAACTCAGGTCAATCAGGGTTGGCCACAAGAGCTTTACCACGGAGCCCTCTTGCTTGCCCCTGCTTATCGGTATTTTTTTAGTTAATTTATTTTACCTGCCTGAGTATCTGCATGTACGTTTGTGCACCACATGCGTGCCTGCTGCTCACAGAGGCAGAAGAGATAGATGTTGGAGTCAGTGATGCTGGAGTCGCAGACAGTGTGAGCATCTGGTGCGGTGCACTCTACCGCTGAGCCATCTCTCCAGCCACCAACACTAGTGTTAAGACTGTATTGATGCTATTTGAGAAATTTATACTTGTTTTGATCATATTCACCCCACCCCTCTTTTTCAGATTCATCCTACCTTTCTTTCGTGTGTGTGTGTGTGTGTGTGTGTGTGTGTATCCTTTACCACAAATTTGTTCTGTCCAATATTCTTGGATGTGTTGTTATAGTCAGGGTTAGTATTGCTGTGAAGAGACGCCATGGCCAAGCAACTCTTTTTTTTTTTTTTTTTTTAAGATTTATTTATTTATTAGGTATACAGTTCTGTCTGCATGAAACCCTGCAGGCCAGAAGAGGGCACCAGATCTCATTACAGATGGTTGTGAGCCACCATGTGGTTGCTGAGAACCAAGCAACTCTTTTAAAGGAAAACATTTCACTGGGACTGACTGACAGTTCAGAGGTCAGTCCACCATCATCACGACAGGCAGACCTGGTGCTAGAGAAGCAGCCTAGAGTTTGGCATCTAGATCAGCAGGCAGGAAGAGAAAGCCAGTGGGCCTGACTTGGACATTTGAAACCTCAAAGCCAAGCCCCCACGTACTTCCTCCAACAAGGCCACATATCCTAATCCTCTCAAATAATGCCATTCCCTAAGAGCCTATGGCGGCTGTTTTCATATGAGTGACCACAGAGGACTTCTGCTGGTTGTCAGTTTACCAGGGGCTGCACTCTTAGGGAACTGGTATCAGTATTTTGAGGATAGCATTTGTCTCTCACACCCTGAGTCACGTGGGCAGTTTGATGCGGCCTCTTCAGTCAGACTGGTTTCTGCTACTCTCCATCTCCTCCGCTACCATGAGAAAACACCACAGACTAAACAGTTCTAACAAACAGGTGTTTGTTTCTGACCTGTGTGGAGTCTGAGTGTGTGAGGTCAGACTCCAGCCTGACTGGTTAGAGTTCAGTACTCGGTTTGCAGTTGCTTCCTCCTCCTACAGCAGAGAGAGGACTCATGTCTCTGCTTGTAAGAAGATAACTGCAGTGTTGTCAGAGGAAGTCTCCCTTTGTGATCGCAGTTGTGTATGGTTCCTCAGTGTGGGGATTAGGACTGAACATCTGAATCTGTGGGGCACGTTCAGCTGTTAGCCCTTGCGGTGCACACTGGTGAGAGCCCAGCGACTGTGTGTGTGTGTGTGTGTGTGTGTGTGTGTGGCGGGGTGAGAGTTTAAAGCAGGCACCTTGTACATGCCGGGTGAGCCTCTGGCAAAGACCCTGCACCCCAGCCCAGCCCTGAGTCTCCTGTGTCTCTTTTACAGGAGCCTTCGGAAGCACACCTTGCATGGAGTGTGGAGCTTCTGCGGGCCATACAGGAAGTGTTTACCAGGGAGCAGGAGAACACTGAGCTGCAGTCTAGATCCTACGGCTTGGACCTGGGAGATTATAATGCCCTGTTCAGGAGGCTGGAGAAGGTTATTCAAGAGCAGGTGAGTAACAGGCTTGAATCTGGGCTTTGCAGGGTGTAAAGGGACTCTGTCTTTTAGGAAAAGTTTTTTTAAACTTTGGAATGTGGTGACCACTGACTAAGGAAGCCTTGTGTAATACCATGCTTTCACTTGTAAGTTGTTCTTAACAAAATCTCACTCTTTCTTTTTTTTTTTTTTTTTACCAATAAAGACTCGGGAGCCGGGTGCTGGGGTGAGGTCCTGCTAGCTCAGAGAGGCAGGGAAAGCACCCAGCCCACCTTCCTCTGCTGCTGACGCCTCCACCTCAGTGCCCCTCCCTTCTACTTCCTGTGTGTGTTTCTCCCCATCCTCCTGATTCCCTCTTACTCGCTATTTTCTTTTTCTTGTTCACTTCCTGTCAACCGTTTGCTTGCTCCAAGTCCTGAGCTACAGTTGACTTTTTAAATTCTGTTGACAATATCAAGCAGAAAGCTCTTGGATTAAAGGTGTGTGCTGGGGCTGGGCCACACCACAGCAAGAAGCAGGCTTTTCCAGTAAATAACACAATTTTGTGGTTCACCGTGTGATCGAATATCCTGCAACAGTAAGCACTGGTATACTTGGGGGATTCTTCCCTTAGTCTTCCTCCCCTGGACATAACTGACACCTTAGCATGATAGGACACAGAAACCCTGTTTGTGTCACTGCCCACAGATGAGAAGTCTCCACTTAGGTGTTGCTACAGCACTACACCATGCCCAGAACTGTCAGGAAAGGGCTTGGAGGTGAGGCCCTGGGCTACTGTGCACCTGTTACGCCCTCACACGGCCGTCAAACTTGTTCCAACAGTGCTGGCAGCTTGGATTTGAAAGGATGTCGCTGTGCAGGACGAGACGTGCCTGTCCTCCTCCTCCTAGCCTGGGTGCTTGCCATCCAGCATTCACGCCTCATCCGTTCTTCCCCATCCTCCAGGGAGACCTGCAGAAGGTCCAGGGACACCTGTGTCTGCCCGAAAGGAGCAGCCTGCTATCCGAGATTCAAGCCCTGCGTGCCCAGCTCCGCATGACACACCTGCAGAACCAAGAGAAGCTGCAGCAGTTGTGTGCGGCCCTGACAAGCACGGAGTCCCGCGGGAGCCAGCGGGAGCACCAGCTCCGAAGGCAAGGTGGGTGCCGCTGCTCCCATCACGCCATGCGGTTCTCCCCACACCGCTCACTCTCCCTAGGGATGCGATAGGCAAGTGGGATGGCCAGGCCCTCAGACGCAAAGGCCCGGTGGCCCTGAGTCGGTGCAAGGATTTGAGACTCTTGCTATCTCAGTGGAATTCAGGATCTTGTTGTATGTAGGTTTTCACACTTAACGTATTTTCACATATGTTGTTAAAGGATTTTTTTATAGATAACATCTATGAACAAATGGAATCTCTCCTTCCTGGCCCTTGTATTGATCAGGCCTTGCCTGAAAACCTTCCTGCCATTCACTTGGTTTCCATTCTGTGTGGGTCAGTTATCTCTGTTTTTGTCTGCTCTCCGTCGAGTAATCATGCTTTGGCTGGTTCATGTGCATGTACATGCGTGCCGGCTGTACTCACTTTCTTGTTTGTTTACAAGAGTCCTGGGCTGCAATCTTGGACTCTATTTTTTAATCTCATGTCGGCAAAGTCCTGGCCTTGTAAGAACCAGTGTTCCCTTCCCCTGTATTTCAGAGGATTGTGTAGAACCGGGCTAGTTTCTTCTGGAGGTTCTGAGAGAATTTTTCAGTGAAGCCATGTGGGCTTTGACTTGTCTCTGTTGTAGGTATTTGTGTGTGGGGTTGTCTGGTGCCATAGGTTTCAGGGACATGTCCTGACTGGGAGATAGTACCTAAGAAGACAAAGGGACATGTCCCTGGATGGCTTTGGCTCCCATAGAGACAGTGACTTGCAGTTCACAGAAATACCATTTCTCCCTCTCCGGAACTCATCTTCACCATCTTCGCATCATGTATAATTTGACTTGGTTCGTGTGGTCCCCTGTGGACTTCTGGGTGATGCTGTCCCATGTTTTACTCTTTCTCAGTTGAACTGCTGGCATACAAAGTTGAGCAGGAGAAGTGCATAGCCAACGACTTACAGAAAACCCTGAACAAAGAACAGGAGAAGGCGAGTGACGCCCGGAAGCTCCTCATGGTGGAACAGAGTGCAGTACAGGATTTGAAGTCAGAGCTGCACGCGTGTAAGCAGGAGAACACACGGCTGTTGGAGTCCCTGGACAAGGTGCAGCAGGAAGTCCTGCGTCTCAGGTATGGCCACGGGGAGTGACTGTCGGCTCAGGCGGCCACTGCTGTGCGAGCCTTTGGGTTTAGATGAGAGAATGAAGAGCGGGATCCCTGCCGGGATGCTCCCCTTACTTCCCTTATGCAGTGCTCATTGCTGTTTCCTCCCAGAGCCATGCTCGACGGCAAGGAGAATGAACTGAAGGTGATACTGGAGGAGCTGGAGTGCGAGCGTGGAAAGGAGCGAGCCCTTCAGGCCCAGCAGGAGGAGCAGCACCTGCGGCACCTGCAGAGGGAAGGCCAGAGCTCCAGGGCCCTGGAGGTGACCGCCTTTCTTACTTACTTATGACAGCCCAATCAAAAGGAATCTAAGACAGAATAAGGCTACTCTTTTTATTTATTTTTTTTTTGAGATTATGATATAACTATGTCATTTCCTCTTTCCCTTCCCGTTTGAAAAAACCCTCTCACATACCCTGGTTTGCTCCATGGCCTGAATCCAGCCTGTTACACGGCCTTGTTGGTTATCCCCTACTGTGGTCTTTCAGTATTTTCACTTGCTTTTAAAGGTTTTATTTTATTTTATTTATTTATTTTTATTTTTTATTTTTTGGTTTTTACGAGAGACAGGGTTTCTCTGTATTGTTTTGGAGGCTGTCGGTCCAGCCCAGCCTCGAATTCACAGAGATCCGCCTGCCTCTGCCTCCCGAGTGCTGGGATTAAAGGCGTGCACCACCATCGCCTGGCTAAGTTTTTTTTTTAAACTTTTGGGAATTTCATACAATATATTTTGATTAGGTTTTTTTCTCCCTTACCCATCATCATGTTCTTTCTCTTACAACAAAACAAAAACACAAAATAACACAGAGTCCAGTTTGTTTTGGTCAACCGTTTCTGAGCATGATGTCAGCTCTGGTGTGTGGCCGATGTACCCAGTGTCACACAACCTCCTTGTGGCTATCTGGATGGATGGTGCACGGCATTTGAGGTCCTCATAGAGCGGTGGATAAGTGTTAAGCATGGGCTGTCTGAGTGCCGCATGTTCAGCAGGTGTCTCATAGCTCAGGTTTCTGTTAGAGTGTATGACTCTAAACAACGCATGTCAGGTGTGTCTTTGAGCACCCTGGTGTTTTGGGATTTCTAGGAAAGGGAGAAAGGAACCCTCCCCCCCACCCCCATTAAGATGTGTGCATGTGCTTCTTCAATACTACTCCCACACAGTAATTCATCCATGCAGGCCCGTGCGGTGTTTTACCTATAGGATAACTTTCAAAAATTATGATTTCTGAACGGGAGTATAAATAAGAAAACCATCTAGATCCTTTTCTTCCTCGTATTCATTGTCACCATCTTGTTTCCTCCTTCAACCCAGGAGTTAAAAATGACTTTGGAGAAGCAGCGTGCTCAAAATAACCAACTATGCATCGCTTTGAAACACGAGCGTGTGGCCAAGGACAACCTGCAGAAGGAGCTGCAGATCGAGTCCTCCCGCTGTGAAGCCTTGCTGGCGCAGGAGAAGGGCCAGCTTTCTGAACTGCAGAAGAGCCTAGAAGCCGAGAGGAGCCGCTCCCTCGAGCTCTCAGAGGCCCTACAGCACGAGCGGCTCCTGACCGAGCAGCTGAGCCGCAATGCGCAGGAAGCCTGTGCCCGCCAGGAGACGCAAGTGCAGCATGCCTTATTGCGGAAGCTGAAAGCAGAGAAGGCGCGTGCCTTGGAACTGGAGAGCATGCTCGAAAAGGTGCAGAAACAGGCTGCACACACACAGCAGCAACTGGAGTCTCAGGCTCAGGAGCGCTGTGTAGAGCTCAGGAAGGAGAAGGAGGTAAGTGGCAACCTGAGATCAGCCGTGGATGCCCTGCAGACCCACAAGCAGGAGCTGGAATGCTGGCTGGAGAGAGAGAGGGAGAAGGCAGCTTGGCTACAGGCAGAATTAGAACAGTTATCCACAAGAGTGAAAGAGCAAGAAGGCCGCAAGGATGCAAGGAGGATGGAGAGGAGGTCAAGCCGAGCAGACGTGGGAGCGCAGAAGTGGCAGACAGACAAGGAGAAGCTGGTGAGAGCAATCCTCCAGCAGACGTCCGTCCGCCCTTAGTGACCCGAGGTCACGACAGCTCACCTGCACTTATGCGCGCCTCCCTCCCGGTCCTCTTCATGCTGACACCACGCTGTGTGGCTCACTCTGGCTTTGTCACAGGCTTTGAAGTTAGCAGTGTGATGACTCTGTTGTTCTAAGTATGGCTTGGCTCTCTGGGTGCCCTGCAAGTCTTGACTTTGAAGATATTTTCTTCTTCAATTTTCATCAGATTTTTAGCCTATAAAATAATGAGTGACATCATGGTATCCCTCCCCCTTTTTTTTTTCTTTAGATTTTTAAATTTCATTTAACACTCCAACTATAGCACACACACCCCTCCTTTCACCCTCCCCTCCCCTCCTACCTAGCCCCTTCCCAGTCCACTCCTCCTCACAGGTAAGGGCTCCCATGAGGAGTCAGCATAGTCTGGCATAATAGGTTGGGGCAGGGCCTGGCCCCTCTCCTATGCGTTAAGATTGAGCATGGCATCCCACAGTAGGGAAGGGGCTCCAACAAGCTGGCTCATGTACCAGGATTTTATTGTGGTCCTACTGCCAGGGTCCCCTCTACAGTCCAAGTTTCACAATTGTCTCCCACATACAGAGGGCCTAGTTCGGTCCCCTGGGGTCTCCGCAGCTGTCAGTCTAGAGGTCATGAGTTTCCACGAGCTTGGTTCAGCTGTCTCTGTAGATTTCTCCATCATGGTCTTGACCTCCCTTGCTAATATGTTCCTTTTTCCCTCTCTTCGCCTGGATTCCCAGAGCTCAGCCTGGTTCTTGGTTCTGGATCTCTGTGTCTGGTTCCATCACTTACTGTGTGAAGGCTCTATGATGATAGTTGGGGTATTCATCAATCTGATTACAGGGGTAGGTCAGTTCAGGCATCCTTTCTACTATTGCTAGGAGTCTGAGTTGGCTTTTTCCTCGTGGATTCTTAGGAGTTAGTCTGGAATATTACAGTGATTGGTTTACACCTGATGACACAGATGTTCATTCCTGGAAGAGTTCCACCTGGGCATGGTGAACAGTTCTGTTTATCTGCTGTATTCATTTGGTTATTATCTTGTTAGAATTTTTGCATCTGTGTTCAGAAGGGATATTAGCCTGTTTGTTTTATGTTATCTTTGGGTTTAGATCAAAGTAACAATGCCTTTATGGGCTGGCCTGGGAAGTAGTCTTCCTTTTATTTATTTTCCCTGAAATAGGGTCTCTCTGTGTAGCCCTGGCTATCCTGGAACTTGCTGTTTAGACCAGGCTGCCATCAGACTCACAGAGATCTACCTGCTTCTGCCTCCCAGATGTCTAATTCCAGCACTCAGGAGCTGAGGTTAGTAGACCACAAGTTCAAAACTAGCTTAGGTGATGTATCAGGGCCCTCTTTTTGTTTGTTTTGTGGGGTCTTTCTGAGACAGGGTCTTATTATGTAACCTTGGCTGGCCTAGAACTCACTGTGTAGACTAGGCTGGCATTGAATTCACAGAGATGCTGGTCAGGCCCTTTTGGCTTTTGTTTGGTTTTGCTGTTGTTTCTTTTTTTCCTTTGGGGCCAAAGTGTAGAACCAGTCCTTAAGAAAGGCACCATTGTTTCTAAGAGCAAAGCTGTGCATTTCTAGATGTCGAGAAGAATACATCATTAGCTTCCTAAATGCCCATCAGGGATCGCTGAATATTCTACCAGAGGGTCCCCTAACCTAAATTAGGCCATCTGTGGTGTAGAGATGCACTCTGACAGAACAATTTAGGAAATTTATGAAAAATGATGACACGCCAGTTTATCACTTGAGAAGTCACTTGATTGTCCCCATGCCCAGCCCAGGGAGTTGCTGATCTCTCTTTTTCTATGAATTACTCTCTTTGAGACACTTTGTATAAGTGGAACCTCTTGTACACTCTGGTAACTGGCCTGTGTGTCCAGCTGACTTTGAGGTTTACATTGAACATGCACCATATTAAAGTCTTATTTTCTTGGTGTGTGTGTGTGTGTGTGTGTGTGTGTGTGTGTGTTAAGCACTTGTGGATTTGGTTCTTTCCTTCCACCTTTATGTGGGTTCCCAGGATTGAACTCAGGGTGTCAGGCTTTGTCCTGTGAGCCACTGGTTCTCACCCTTCCTAATGCTGCGACCCTTTAGTACACTTCTTCATGTTGTGGTGACCCCTAACCATAACATTATTTCACTGCTACTTCATAACTGTAATTTTGCTACTGTTATGAATCATAATATCTGATATTCAGCATATCTGATATGTGACCCCTATGAAAGGGTTGTTCACCCCCCCCAAAGGGTCTCAGCCCTCTGGTTGACAGCCACTGCTCTAAGACATTTCACTAGTCCTTTTTTTTTTTTTTGCTGCTTAAAAAAAAATCCTCCAGGTGCACACTTTAATGCTCACACTCAAAATTTGTATGAAAACTTTTCTTAATGAAGCTGAAAAGTCGAGCTTCAACAAAAACACCAGGGCAAGTAGTAGAAAACATGAATGGTCTTAGAAGTATAAGCAGGTGGCCCATTGTGCAGTGGTCAGGCCAGACTCAGAGGTGCCCTGAAGGGTGCAGCTTGTAGCCAGAGCCTTTCCCCTCCCCCTCCCCCACCCCCTTTCCCCAGTGAGCATCTCCAGCTGGTGTGGTTCTTAAAAGGTGTTTGCACTCAAGAACCAACCCCCAAGCCACTCTTATTTTCCAGCAAACCCTTTTTTTCATTTTGATTTTTTCCTGTGTGCATGAAAGATGTCTTGGTTGCTTGAAAGTAGTTAAATACAAAGAGGATGTTCCCTCATGTAGGGACAGTGTTTCCTGGCGGGACATCTTGACAAGGCGCCTCCTGCTGGAGGTCCCTACTTTGCAGAGGATCAGTGTGGTTGCATCTCAGACCTGACTGCCAGAGCCTGGCCTGGACATTACAGGCCAGAGTACTCCTTTGTAAACAATGTTGTCTTTGCTGTTCTCACCTGGGAGGTTAAGAATGATGGGCCTCTGCTTGCTAATGGGTCGGAAAGCTGGTGGGTGTGACGCTGCAGCCAGTCTCCCCGAAGCTTGTGTGGGCTCAGGTCTGACTCCGAACTCTCTCCAGCAAAGCAAGCTCATGTCCGTTTCTGTCTGCTCTTGACGTTCTTCTCAAACCTTTCGCACAAAAGGTCCTCTGGTACCACTGAGACTCCACCGTGCTGTGTGATATGTTAGAAAAATGCTTTACCTCCCTGGCTTTTCTGAGGCTTTCTTGGCCTTCCCTGAGGCATCTCTGTTATTTCACCTGGTGACTTGGGTCCACCTCCTTGTCAGGGGAGGGTTTGGTCCATTGGTTGCTTCTTGCCCTGTCCCCAGTCTGAGGACTAGCCCCTCTGCAGTACCACTCACTTCCATTCCTAAGGCTAGACTGGTGACCAGTTAAGGCAGGCTCGAGACCACAGGGCCGCCCACCCCTGGCAGGCATGGTTTGTCAAATGCATGTCGTTGTCACTCTGCTGACTTGTGTCTTGGGATGTGTAGAGACATAAGTGAAGTTCGGCCTCACAGGCACCTCTGCTGAGTACCCACGGGCTAGCCTTGGACTTGGCCAAAACCTAAGCCAAGACTGCAGTGTAGACTGTGCTGTCGGGGTTGCCTGACCATGTTGAAAAAGATGCTGTGTTTGGTCTGTGTTGGGTTTTCTCTATGAGGTGTTACATGCCATTGCTGGTCTTTGGCCAGGTAATTGTCAAGGACTTGTTTTGAGGTAAGGTCTTACTGTGCTCTGGTTGATCTTAGTTAGACCTACTGTGTACATCCGGGCTAGCCATCAACACACGATCTCCCTGCTTCTACCTCCCAAGTGCTGGCGGTAGGCATGCCCCGCTATGCCCAACATCAAACAGTTTCTTTTGGAAAACTTTAACGGTCTTTTCCTTTGTTCTTGTCATCGTGACAGCGGGAGTTAGAATTACAGCGCCAACGTGATGAGCATAAAATCGAGCAGCTTCAGCGGGTGGTGAGAGAGTTGAGGTGGAAAGAGAAGGTCCCTGGGGGAGATGGCCCTTGCCGGAGCTCCCCCCGCCTGAGCTCTCTGGAGCCGGACCGTGTCCAGGAACAGCAGCAGGAGCTGGAGAGGATACGGCAGCAGCTGCTGTGTGCAGCGGGGCTCCTCACAGGCTTCACCAACCACACTGTGGACAGGTATGCGTGCGCGTGATAGTCAGTGACCACCAGTACCCCACCCCCCATTCCATGGCTGTTTATAGTTAACAAAAAATCGGGAGTCTAGCTAATGGCATGTGCCTGTAATTCCCACACCAGGGAGGTAGAGACTGGAGGACCGCCACAAGACTGACCTAGTCTGCATCCACACTAACAAGTTGTATAGAAAAACTATTTCAGTGGAAGAAAATGAAGTATTTGGCAGCTCTGATTTCAGAACCAAGTCTTAATGGTCTCTCGCACAATTTCTCATTCCGTGAGTTTAGTTGAATCAGTGGGCAAGATCTTCTAAAGGATGCTGATAAAACCATATTTTTATATTCTAATGTTATGAAACATCTTGTTATTAGGGCTGGAGAGATGGCTCAGTGATTAGGAGCACTGATTGCTATTCCAGAAGTCCTGAGTTCAAATCCGAGCATCCACATGGTGGCTCACAACCATCCATAATGAGATCCCTCTTCTAGCCTGTAGGGAGAACACTGTATACATAATAAATAAATAAATCTTTTTTAAAAATCTTGTTATTCATAGTTTCAAGTTGTGCTGAGACTTTTTTCACAGGCACCCAGATGTGCGTTGTCCACGCCTGGATGCCCCCCTCGGCCTGTCCTCCGACGTTGTCCATGCCCACCACGGTGGGATGCTGTTATCAGCTGGGGCGTCTCCCTGTCCATACCTGGTTTTGATTCGTTGAACAGCATGATTTCCAGGCAGTTTCATTTAGACAGCACTTAAGTTTTTTACTATTCTATTTATTATTTTGTGCATGTGTGTTTGTGTAGATGAGCTCACAGGGGTCAAAGGACAGCTTGTTGAAGTCTTGTCTGTCTCCTTCCACCAAGTGGATGATCAAACTCAGTGTCAGGCTTGGCAGCAAGTGCCTTTATATGCGGAGACATCTTACTATCAAGGAAAACTGTCATTAGTTACCAAGCCAGCAGGAAGCTGTGGGATGTTGGGATGTGGGCAGTTGGCCACTGCTGCCAGCTCAAGTTTAAAGGTTTCTGCATTCCACGGATGTGTGTGTTTGCTGGAATAGTCAGTCTTCCTCCCCAGCACTCTGGTCAAAAGAGTGTTCCCTAGGCCAACCATTAGAGACAAAGATTCTGAGTGAAGTGACTCTCTGGCTTGACAAATCACCCATGCAGAAGTGCAACACTGGATTCCTGAGTTTCTCAGAGGAAATGCTGTACAAATGCATTGTCTGTGTTCCAGAAACAGAGAGTTCTTGAGCAGCTTAGGAGTGTAATCACTTGGGGGTATACATAAACCCCTCTAAACACCTGCTTGACTTTTTAGGACAATTAAAGATTGGACATCATCAAACGAGAAGGCGGTGTCATCCTTAATGCGTACTCTTGAGGAACTGAAGTCTGAACTAAGCATACCTACCTCCTCTAAGGTACAGTTGGGCTGCTCCATGCTGCACATTTGCTCTAGCTAGATGGTGGGCTAAAACTAAGCTCCCAGCCCATGGTGTCTTCCGGGAGTCGGTAGAGGATGTCATGGCTTCTTTGTAACTTGTTAACCAGTGGTGCCTTATTCCCTTGTCAGGGCAAGTGAGTGACCATCTGCCCCGTGTGTCCTTGTGGGCACACCGTGTACTGTATTCTATATCTTATCATCTGATTCTGACATCCTGGGGTCTCAGCAGTATCATTTGCTCACGCTGTGTGATTATCTGTACTTGGTGCTCACTGTACGTACGTGACCCGGGAACTCCCTGAGAGCTAGAGACTGCGGACATCGGGGTGCTGCTGCTGACGACAGATGCCTGGAAAGTGGGCCTACTCACAGTGCAGCCTGCCTCCTGTCTGCTTCTGCTTAGGGCTAGAGTGCCATTGCAGGTCTTCCTGGGAAGCTCTAAGCTCCTGGGAACAGCCTTTGAGGCTGCTCACAAGTCCTAGGTGTCCTAGATGTTGACATTGTTGCTGACCCATGACCTGTGACTGTTACGGATTATAGCATGTTACCAGATAGCAGAGAAGCTGTACCGCTTGCTGTTATCCACTCACCCCTCACCAAGTGTCGTGGGGAGATGTGATAAGTCCTGTGCCTCTCCTCTATGTGCAAGTTCTAAAATTTCTCCATATAGGACTAAAGCTCCTAACTGTGACGTGCACAGGCATATTCTACGTGATTACATGGGCGACCCCTCAGCATGAACAGCAGTAGTATTCCTTATTTTATTTGCCACCTAGGTACAGGACTCTTAGAATAATCAAATCAGGGTTACATCAGTAACAGGCCTGTATCAGTTTATATACCAGATATTTACAGTCAAGTTTGGTGGGGTCTATTTTATAAAGGATGGAAAAGAAGTGTGATCTGGTGACCTGTTATTTCCTTTTCCATATTGCTATGCCCTGGTATCCACAAGCCTGGTATCAAACTCTAAACTTAATATTAAGACACAAAATTCATATAAATTTGTTTGCTCCTTTTTCAGAAAAAGATGGCTGCAGAACTCCAGGTCCAGCTCATGAATGAACTGCTGAGAGACAACGATGCCCTTACAAAAGCTGTCAGCATGGCAACCCAGGAGAAGGCGGAGCTGTGCAGGACGGTGTCCCGGCTGGAGAAGACCCTGAAACACCACACACAGAAGGGCTGCCTGCTCAGTGTAAGGATTTGTGTCTCTTCCTGGCATAGTACCTGCCTGCTGTCTCTATACACAGTGCTGTGTCGGATCTGTCCATTCTATCCACTCAGGGAGCTGGCTTCTGCCTAGACCTGAGGCCTCTGTGCAGCTTTTTCTGGCCAGCCCTATGGGCTCCATCCCTTCTAGTGTACAGCCTGACTCAGGATTCCAGGATCTAGCTATGCTGTCCACGCTTGTTTCAAACTCCTGAGCTTAAGCATTCCTCCTGACTGTTTGATTTCTTCCTTCCTTCCTTCCTTCCTTCCTTCCTTCCTTCCTTCCTTCCTTCCTTCCTTCCTTCCTCCCTCCCTCCCTCCCTCCCTCCCTCCCTCCCTCCCTCCCTCCCTCCCTCCCTCCCTCCCTCCCTCCCCAGATAGGCTTCAGACTCCCAATGTATCTGCAGATGACCTTGAACTTCTGATCCGTCTGCCTGAACATTCCAATTGCCGGGGATGCAATCCTGTGCCATCATGCCCGGTGTTCAGTGTTTTGGGTATGCGTGCACACAAGCACACTGCTCTCATGCTTGTGCCACCAGTTCAGGTTGAGCCAGAGGTCAACATTAGGTGTATCATTTGCTCTCCCCCTTTTCTTTGGAAACAAAGTCTCTAATTGAATCTGTTGGCCACAGTTGCAGTTAGACTGACTGGCAGCAAGCCCCAGCTCTGGGATTACAGATGTGCAGTGCTGTGCTGGTGTTCCCCTCACTGCTGGGAATCCAAACTCAGGTCCTCATGTTTGTACGGTGAGCACTTTACTCAGCTGAGCCATCTTCTGGCAGAGGCAGGTGGATCTCTGAGTTCAAGGCCAGCCTGGTCTACAGAGCAAGTTCCTGCACAGCCAGTCAGAAAAAAACAAACCTGCCACACTGCTGTTGAGAGTAGCTGTACGAGTGTACACTCCACCACATTGTGTAAGGGTTGACATTTTCCTACATCCACCCCAATATTTGTTATTTTTTATATTCTTGATGATAGTCACTCAGATTGGGAATCTTAAAGTGATTTGAGTCTGCATTTCCCCGAGATGCAGTTTTAAAGTGTTCCCCAGTCATTTCTATTTCTTTTGAGAATTTTTTTGTTTAGTTCTTAGCCCATGTCTTGTTTTCTTGGTGTTTAGTGTTTTGGGTTCCTTGTCTGTTCTGGATGCTGATCTTGGATCTGTCGCTGGCAGAGATTCTTGTTTCTCTTCATTTGATTGACAGTTTCCATGGTAATACAGAAACTTCATGAGAATCCTCTCTGTCCATTGCTAGTTGTTATGATTGGTTTTTTTTTTTTTTTTTCCTGTGCTACAACGTTCTGGTCAGAACAGCATTACCTGTACCTGTGTTGAAGTGTTGGCGGACGTGAGGGACTAGGAAGGGCCTGGTTGCTGATGAGACCTCGGTCTCCAGCCCTCTCGCTTCTCAGAGCACGTGTTTTAAGGCTTCTTGTTTAGAGTGTCCCATTGAACTTTTCGTTTCTCCTAACAGTTACGTCTACTGGACAGTGGCGTAGTAGTCCTCGGCTAGCTATGGTAGAAATGAGGTTTCTTTTTCTTTTGGATTGACAGAGTAGCTGCTGTTGTCTCCTCCATTATTTTCTCTGGGTCTTTCTTAGGCTGTTATTTAAGAACAACTTGGCAGAGCATTAACAAAGTGCTGCTGTGCAAGCGTGGGATCCAGAGCTCTTTCCCAGCCAGGTGTGAGCTAGGCATGCTGGCACACCTTTGATCCTGGCATTCATGGGACAGAGGCAGGCAGTTTTGAGGCCAGCCGGGTCTGCGTACCATGTTCCGGCTAGCAAGAGCTGCACAGTGAGATAGTGTCTCAACCCAGCAAACCAGAAGACAGATTATAGTGGCCCGTGCACTTGTAATCCCTGTGCTGGGGAGACTGGAGGATCTCTGGGACTAACTGGCTAGCTAGCCTAGCCTAATTTGTAAACCCCAGGCCCCAGTGAGAGACCTGGTCCTTTAAAAACAGCTGATGGCTCCTGCGGAACAACACCTAAGGTTTATTTCTGACCTACACATACAGGTTCACACCTGCACCCCTTCCCCACCAAATAGAAAGCTCTATAGTTGCCAGCTGTGGGTTTTGTTTTTTTTTATTACAGAGGCAAAGCAAGTCTTCATGCAAGCAAGATGGGTCGGTTCTTCAGAGTCCTCTACGACACTCAGATCCAGAGTGGCACACCACGGCTACAAGTATGGAAGCAAATACCTGCAATACCAAGGTAAGCCATGCAGAGTAGAGTTCAGAGTGTCAGCCGTGTCTTAAACCAGGGCCAGTTAGCTGCAGGGAAAGGGTCTTCTTGACTCCGAGGTCGTTTGCTTGGTGTATCTGTTGACACATAGATGAAACATACTTCTTGACAGGAGAAGATCTGCAGCCCTAATGGCCAGATCACTATGAGAAAGGGAGTTAGCAAAATCTGGATCTAAAACTTGGTTTGCTTGTGTGAAGATACCATGTTTCTCTAATAAGGGAATGAGTGTGTAATGCTCAAGTCTTCAGGAGATAGTGTCTACAGGCTAAGAAAATCTTTCCTGCAATTTGCTCCTGAAGGAAAAGTGCTTCTCAGGGTTAGATCCAAGCTCTGTAGTTTCACAGCTTTCCATTTTATCTGTGGAACCCATCATGATATGCCTCTCCCCCCAACCCCCCCACAAAGCCAGTTTAGACCGTATTTGAGTGGAAATTCAGTGGTCTTCATGGAGGCTCACTTGAGGGTGTTGTGGGGAAGGTATTTTTTTTGTCAATTTTGTCTAATAGATCGGGGCCCTTCAAGCGGAGGATACGGACATACATGGGTGACTGGTCACATGTGAATTACAGTCCCGTTTGGTTTCTTTTTGTGATGAACAACTAACTGTTCCAGTACACTGAGCAGGCTCTTGTCAGATGGTGTCCACTGAGCAGGCATCTTCGTTTCCTGATCCTCACTGCCTTCCTTTTAGATGGAGAAACTGTACCTGCATTATCTGAGAGCAGAGAGCTTTAGAAAAGCTCTCATTTACCAAAAGAAGTATCTCCTGCTGCTGATTGGTGGATTCCAGGACTCTGAACAGGAAACGCTCTCCATGATTGCTCATCTGGGAGTATTTCCTTCCAAAGCAGACAAGAAAATGTCTACGTCGCGTCCTTTCACAAAGTTCCGCACCGCTGTGAGGGTCGTCATCGCCATACTGAGGTAAGTGCCCCGCCTCTAAGCCAGTTGGCCGTGCGTCTATGCTTGCTTCTGCAGCAGCTTTATTTCTTGAAACTACAGTGTTTTCACTTTCAAAATCAATGGCACTCACAGCCTTAGAGAAAATATGACGTTTGTCTTTATGAAGCCATGCTGTAGGGGCTGGAGAGATGGCTCCCAGAACCCACGTGGTCATCACAACCGTCTGTCACTCCGGTTCCTGGGGATTGAACCCAAGCTTGCTTCTGACCCCCATTCGTCAGGCATGCACATGTACACATGTACACATATGCATCCGGATAAGTAAGGGAACTCATGCTGTGCCTGGGTATGGTGCCATAGGGCTGTCCCAGCACCCAGGAGGCAAAAACAGGGTGGTCAAACATTCTAGGCTAGCCGGGACTAAATTTGAGATGCAGTATCAGGGCCTGGTGGTGTTTTTTGGAGTAATCTGTGGTTCGCCACACCACAAAGAGGAAAGTTACAGTCACGCCGCTTAGAGCCATGCTGAATGGAGTGTGAAGGTGACTAGTGCTGTCCCCCTGTCTGCACTGTCCTCACACTGTTAGTGTTGGCCCGGCTAGGCACAAGCCGTGTGTGCGTTCCTAGTTTCTGGTGATGCATACAGGCTTGAATTTTGTAGTCTGATGGACTGCAGGTAGCTGTGGTGGGGATGGCACACCCAGCTGGCTGTCAAGGGTGGGGGGGTGGGGGCGGGGCTTCTTTACATGGCGATGGAGCCCGGAATGTTCCTACTCGATATGAAAGTACAGCTGGCTGTCAGCTGACTCAGGCAGTTGTGGGGTCTGTCTCTCCTGTGGGCCGAGAGGGAAGCTCTGGCGGTTTGGTCACATCAGGAGTGTCACTGCTTCCTTCACTCCTGTTTCCCCTTGGTTTAAATGTGTTTTGTCGCCTTCCTGTATAGGTTGCGATTTCTGGTTAAGAAATGGCAAGAAGTGGATCGGAGAGGAGCGCTAATACATGGCAGAAGCACCCGCCAAGGTGGGCCTCAGGTGTCTCCGCTCTTCCTGCTGCTTGTGGCATTTCCTTGAGCGTTTTGGTTTGGGGGTGTAATAGAGCACAGGAAGACAGCGGGAAACACAGTCAGTGCCAGCACCAAGAGCAGCATGGCAGCATGGCGGACCCAGGTCGGTCCGCGAGCACCAGCTGAGCAGTGATTCTGGAGAGTAGTGAACTAACTGTTGCTCTCCAGAGTCTCCAGAGTTCTGCTTTACGCTGCTGTACCTACCTGTGTGAGCCCTCGGGCTTGTCTTAACTATCCCTGGAGCTGTCTGCTGCTGCCTCCTCATAGGTAGTGTGACAGTAGCTTCATGGACTCCTAAGGGGCCAAGGACAGTAAGATACTTTGCTGGGTCTTGTCTAGACTCTAGGGGTGGCAGATGTGAATGTCCTTCTTACTTAGAGGACACGGAGGGCCTAGACCTTCTACCCTCGGGGCCACTAAGCCACCACTGGCTGCCATCCTGCCTGTGCCTTCAGTTCAGGTCAGCAGGCAAGTGTGCCTCCCCCCTCCCCCCACGAGCTGTGGGATGCCCATGCAGTGCTGGCAGTCAGGGCCAGCGTTACCCAAGTCCGTGTAAAAGTTGTTTGTATAAGCGTAGGTTTTGAGGTCCTCCTAAAATGTGAATCTCTTTTCCTAACGGTTTCATGTTTGATCGTTCTTGGGAAGGACATCGAATGTCCCGGAGACAGCATTCTCCATCAGAAACCAGAGCGTCCCTGCCAACCAGAGAAGTTTCCTCGGGCCACATCAAGGACTCTAGACACAGCCTCAGATCCTCAGCAATAGTACCGCTGGGCAAGGCGGAAAGGTCAGTTGGGATGCTCCGGGTTTTGCCTGGAGACCATGCCCATGATATCCAGAACCCTGTGTGGCTGCCCAGAGAAATGTAGTTTGGAAGGACTGTCTTTGGCCTGACTCAGAGCAAGGCAGCAAACACAGCAGAGAGTCTTCAAGAGCCTGGGGATCTTGTTCTGTTCAGGAAGGGTTAAGATCGCATGTGTTCAGTAAGTGAGGCATGCTCTCCACCCTGGAGAGGTTTGGGAACTTGTCTCATAGAAAGGGAAAGGGACACAGTGTCCCTGGGGACAGTGGGACCTGGGAGGAAGGATAATCAGGATGGGAATTAGACAAGAGTGGGTTTTACTCAAGGCAGAGTAGGCAGTTAGGTAGACCATCCCGGTCACCGAGTGAAGGATGCTGAGGCATAACACATTTGGGGTAACAGGCAAAATCTCAAAATCCGGTGAATGAAATAATACATAATTGTTGCCATTTAGTCTGACTGCAAAGTGTGATATAGAAGTTGTTTTGTTTCATTTCATTTTTGGTGTTTGTTTTATTTTGAGACAGAATCTCATTATGTAACCCTAGCTGTCTTAAACTTACTGTGTAGACCAAGCTAGCCTTGAACTCACAGAGTCCTGCCCAAACCCTGGGATTACAGAGGTAAATCACTGTTCTAGGCCTTAAAAGTTGATTTTTTTTTTTTAAAAGAGTATTACACAGGCTAGAATAGAACTCAGTTAGTGCAGAACTTGCCTAGCATTCATGAGCCTCTGGATTCTAGGCAAATGAAAACATTTCCTTTGTGGTAAATATGGCGGTAAGATCCTGGATCTGGTCCGCTGGTCCTAGGCCCTGCCCTGCGTACTTTTGACTGTAACACCACCTGTCAATGTTTTTTTGTTCTATTTTTCCCTTTCTCTTCTCCTTGATGTGGTTCTTTGTTTGCAGATCAACTTCGTCACCAAATTCACGGCTAGAAAGATCCCTGAGTGCTTCTCAAGATCCAGAACATTCCTTGACAGAATATATTCATCATTTGGAAATGATCCAGCAGAGACTTGGGGGATTACCAGCAGGTAAAAAGGACTCGTTACAAAGTATAGTGCTGCACCTAAGAAACATAACAACATACAGAAAAACTGCTAGTAAATCGATGCAGGAGTTCGCATGAATAATCACGCACTAGATAGGCTTTGGCGGAGGGTTGCCCACAGCTTGAAACCAGACTGTTCTACACAGTGAGTACTAGGCTACCCAGGGCTACAGGGTAATGTGCTGCCTCAAAACAAAACAGGAATCTGTTAGTGTCAGCTTAGTAATTTTTAGTTTGAATGAATGTACTCAATACATAAACACATAGCAGTATGTGGTGGGGCGGTCTTGTTCAGTCACCTGTTGGGTCTTTCAGTCCTCTTACACTGATGGGAATGTAAAGACAATTGTATTTATTACCGTCGCATCACTGTGGTCAAGTGTTAGAAGGCCCAGTTGGCCGGGAAGACATGGCAGCGGAAAAGGCTCATGCACCTAATGGGGCTTCTTGTTCAGGTCCAGGAGGATCGGGAAGCAGGGCAAGGCCAGGCAGCTCATGGGCTGTGCAATCTCAAGGCCTGTCCAGTGGCCCACTTCCTTCAGCACAGCTCAACCTCTAGATTCCACAGACTCCCAAAACAGCACCACCAACGGAGAACCACACATTTAAACACGTGTTCCTGTGGGAGACATTTCATACTGAAACCATAACAAAACCATGACCTCATGGTCATCTCATAAGCAAAATGAAGTCCAACTTCAAAAGTCATCATTGTCCTAAGAGTTTCAAAAGTCCATAGTCTCCTCTTACTGGGTTTTGTCCGATAAGGTCTGCTTACAGCATTCTACTCTTCCAGATTGTTCAGACAAAGAATTTGGCCAAAGGCCTTACCAACAACATGGCCATGGTTATCACAGCAAGGGCCTCACTCTCTAGCACCAATTTCTGTGTTAGAAAATCGATCACTGACCAGATAATCTTGACAAGTGGCAACTCAATTTGTTTTGGCTCTCTGTTTGAGAAAACAGCCCATCATGGCAGGTGTGCCTGCTGCCTGGAGCAACTTGTGAGGGGAGCAGGAATGTGTGACTGCACACATACAGATTTGGAAGCAGAAAAGGGCCGGGAAGTGAAGACAGGCTGTAAAATCTCACTTCCTGCTTCTAGTAAACCACTTCCTTCAGCAAGGCTTCATATCCTAGATGGCACACAGCCTCCTAAAGGTGTCACTACCTGAAAACTGAGTGTTAAAACACATGGTCTTGTGAGGATTTTACATTGCAATCATTACCAATTACGATTTGGCCTGTATGTACATAATTTGTGTATAGTTTCTTAAACATAACCTTCTGTTTTCATTATAACTCGGTATTTTTAACCAAAGCTCTGAGGTGATAGTATTATTAAAAATTTTAAATTCTAGCAGAAGTTTTATAAAAATTTCTGTTCTGCTTTAATTTTAGATTCTACTCAGAAATCCTGCCACCAGAAGATTAAACAATGAATAAAGTCTTGTGGCTCTTACCCTGTGACAGTTGTATCTGAGGAGAGATGGTTTTCCTAAGGAAAGCTCATGGTATGGTCTGGGAGCCGCCGCGTGTTTTCACCTCAACACACTGCTAAGTGGAGCAGTTTTTGCTCCTTCCCTCCTCCCAGTGAGCAATGGCGGTGTTGTACTCTGTGCCTATTGATGGAGCCTCTGCCTCTTCCATGTCAGAAGTGGAGAGTAGTTCCAGTTGTTTATTTTCTTAACGCGTAAGGATGGAAAGTTCATTTGAAAATGAACACATAGGAAGGAAAGAATAAATTTTGGAAGGAAAGAATAAAGTTTAAGTACTATTGTTTTATGGATGGTCTTGTGTTGTTTTTTTGTTGTTGGTTTCTTTTTTTTTTTTTTAGTTCATTCAGTTATATAACTATTATATAACTCAATCATATATATACCACACAGTGATTCTGCTCAGGACCCTTCACCCAGAAATGGATATAAAGTCAGGTGTATGTTTTAAGTGTGTCACTTAAAACAGACATCCACATATACATGGGTTCAGTAAACATGGCAAAGTGGTTTTTTTTTTTGTTGTTGTTGTTGTTGTTTTTGTTTTTATGAGACAGGGTTTCTCTGTATTGTTTTGGAGGCTATCGGTCCAGCCCGGCCTCAAACTCACAGTGATCCGCCTGCCTCTGCCTTCCGAGTGCTGGGATTAAAGGCGTGCGCCACCACCGCCCGGCGGCAAAGTGTTCTTAAAACAGTAAATATCGTTATCAGGTATATTGTTTAAACTTTTTCATAAATGTATGAGGGGCAAAGTTCATCATGATCAATTCAAGTTTTCCCAGAAATACGTTAATCAAAAACATGATGTTTTATCAGTCAGAGCCCAAGCTAGACAACAGAGCAGTTGTGGTTTTCCAAGGGGGTTTCATGTAAGTGTTTGGTTACTCTGATGTGAGAGCAGCTGAGACAAATGGACAAACAAGGTAAAGCAACCCAGAAAGGAGCCACCATACTGGAACTTGAGGACTCTTAAGTTCCCTATGGTAAAAGACAAGTCCTGATGAGACATATCAGCTGTCAGAGACACACATGCACACATATGCACACCTGTGAGTAAAAGAACAGTTCTTTTCATCCAGTTCCTGTTCTCCAGTTGGGTGCCTGGGAAGATTCCTTGAATCACATTAGCACATACAGCCTACCCTCTGGCCACTCAGGATTTTTTTCACTTCCCTCCCTCATTTAATTGCTAAAATATAATTCAATGGAATTGCTTGATGTGAGATATTTTCCATTAGAAGATGCTTCATCTTCTGGGAGGTTGGTGAGGTCCATGTTCAATAGTCTAGGCTATCCAGGTGTTACACAGATCTCTTCAGGACTGGAGTCAGCTCCGAGATCTGGCAATGAATAGTTGTTGAGGCCAATGTGCTACCAACACATAAAACAGAAGAGGTGTAGGCAGTTTTTTGTTAGGACTGGGGGTCAGCTCTTTCCTGCCAGCTGCTCCCAAATAACCACACAGAGACTTATTAATTATAAATGCTTGCCGGATAGCTTAGGCTCCCAACTAATTAGCTCTTACATCATGAGTTTACCCATATTTCTTATCTAAACTCTACCCCATGGTGGTACCTTTTTTCAACAGAGCGTGTTCATCTTGCTCCTCTCTGCATTTCCTGGTAACTCTGCCTTTTTGTCTGCAAGTCCCGGCTAACTTTTTTCTGCCTAGCTATTGGCCAGCCAGCTCTTTATTAACCAATGAGAGTAATACACATTTACAGTGTGCCAATAGATTGTTCTAGAGCGAGGAGGTGAGCAGTGGGAAGCAAAGCTTTCCAGTGTTCTTCCTTTCTTTGATCTCCAGGGTTCGGGGTCTGTATTCCTGTGGGAGAAATGGCAGCATGAATTGGTCATTCAAAGCATATACTACCTGCCATTATTTCAGCATTCCACACTGACAGCACGCTGTCTTTACCCCTGCCTTTAAGCCACTCACAAGACAAAAGTGGCTACCACACCACCACAAGGCAGTCATGCTTGGCATTTTTACCAGTCATAAGTCTCTCGAGTAAAAATCCACCCTGTAAGGGGTTTTCTTCCACTATCAGGACGGACAGTAGCAGTACCATAAGACAATTGGATAGGCATGTTACATTCACTGAGTAAAAGAGAAATTGCTTCTCCATTGGGGCCTATGACCTCCTTTGTCACAGATTTCTGTCCAGCTTTAAGGTGCCAGATGTGAATTCCCTCCTTTGGAGAAGGCTTTAAATCCAATCAAAAGGTTGTTTGTTGTACCTCCAACTGTTGTGGCCTTTCTCCAACAGTCCAGTCTTACCTGGCATGTTGGTAGTGTAGTATGCAGTGTATACAACCCAGTAGTTATAAGCCTACTGTCAACCATTGTACCTCAGCTGCCTGTGTGCTTGTAATTGGCCCCCACAATCTCATAGGGAGTAGAACTGTAGAGGTGTGGCCTTGGTGGAGGAAGTGTGTCACTGTGGGGGCGGGCTTTGAGGTCTCCTATGCTCAAGAAACGGCCCAGTGTCACAGTCTACTTCCTTTTCCTGCATACATCAACATGTAGCAGCTCCTCCAGCACGATATCTGCCTACATTGCCACCACCATGATGATAAGGGATTAAACTCCTTAAATGTTTTCCATTAAAAGAGTTGCTGTGAGCCAGGCGTTAGTGGTGCATACCTTTAATCCCAGCACTTGGGAGGCAGAGGCAGGCAGATCTCTGTGAGTTCGAAGACAGCCTGATTTACAGAGTGAGTTCCAGGACAGGCTCCAAACCAATACAGAGAAACCCTGTCTTGAAACCACCCCCTTAAAAAAAAGTTGCTGTGGTCATGGTGTCTCTTCACAGGTTTTTTTTTGCTTTTGTTTTTTTGTTTTGTTTTTGTTTTTCGAGACAGGATTTCTCTGTGGCTTTGGAGGCTGTCCTGGAACCCACTCTGTAGACCAGGCTGGTCTCGACCTCACAGAGATCTGCCTGCCTCTGCCTCCCGAGTGCTGGGATTCACAGGGTTTTTAAGACAGACAGCCCTCACAGTATCTCAGCACCAAAATGCCAGTTGAGCATAGAGGGGCCTTCCAGTGCAGTCCTGGCTTGATTTCCCTATGAACTACAACCAAAGCATATGGTGTCTTCAGCGGTAGGGATTTACTAATCTAGTTCTGATATGTAGCCAGCTTCAGAGTTGTCACCCTCTATCCAGGGGCCTCCCCTGGGTATATCAATGGTTCATCACCAGCTACTGCCATTGTCATTTAACAGCCCTGTGGCTGCTGATAGAGTGTGGGTTCCATCTTCCAAATCCTCTAACTTACGTTTGTCTAGGTGCCTTTACAAATCTGTAAGACAGTCAGAAACCAGTGCTATGCCATCTAGGCATTGAAGAGCTGCTGCTATCAGTTCAGGCAAGTGCCAGGTGGATTCAGAAGTTGGCAGTTAAGAGGTTGCTGAATGAAACCGTGAACCAAGTCCAATACAGCATGAGCAGAGACCATTGCTTGTATCAGTGGTCTCAGAACAGTGGTAGGACAATGGCGTGTATCATCCATAGTTTCTATAAAACATTTTGCTTCTCATCCTGGGGCACTGCCATGAGCTACATTTCATCTCCCCACCCCCAGTGCAGCCAGCTGAAATTGCTTGGCAGTGGGAGGGTGCGGCTACGCCTACAGCTGAGGGATCTGACACTCTCTGGGCTGGCACAGCACCTGTAGCTGCTGCCTCCCTCCACCTAACTGCTGAGAGGGCCTCAAGCTAGTTAAGTAATGTCTACCCTCATTGTAATGCTTCCCCACTCCCAGCATGATCTGAGGATTATCGTCCTCAAGGGTGACTGGCCACCAATGAGACAGGCTTATTCTTTTCTTGTCATTTATGCCCTGAGAGGATAGCCGTGGCTCTTCATAATGCACCCTTTTTGTCATTTATACTGTTCGTGAATTGTTCTCACAGTGAAGCCTTATAGGCGCTGACTGGCATTTATATCTCTTCCCCCACCCCAAGAAATCCTGCTTGCTAGGCATGGCAACACACACCTTTAATCCCAGCACTCGGGGAGGCAGAGGCAGGCAGCTCTCTGTGAGTTCAAGATCTGCCTGGTCTACATAGTGAGTTCCAGAACTACATAGAGAGATCGTGTCTCAAAATCCAAACAAACAATTCCAGCTCAACATAAATCTTGCCATATTTGGGCCGGGTGGTGGTGGCGCACGCCTTTAATCCCAGCACTCGGGAGGCAGAGGCAGGCGGATCTCTATGAGTTCGAGGCCGGGCTAGACTGACAGCCTCCAAAACAATACAGAGAAACCCTGTCTCGTAAAAACCAAAAAAAAAAAAAAAAAAAAAAAAATCTTGCCATATTTGACTTTGCACAACCCGGATAAGCTCCCTTTCTGCTTCATCTGCTCATTGCTTAAGCACTCAGTCAGTTGGTCTCAGCCACTCAGATCCACTCAGCATCTCCTTCATATAGGGCATGTTCTACCCTGGGTGCTAAAAGGTCGTTAAGGTACCTGACCAGTCCAGGGGTGCCCACTGAATCAACTTCCTCCTCTCCTGTGAGGATAGTTCCTTCAGGTCCAGTGAGCTGGGTGTCAAACATCACACCTCCCATTCTCTATTCTCTTTGTTATGCTTGCCTCCTCTCTACTGTCTTCCAGTCCCTGGTGGTAGGCGGATTGTTCTTTGGGCCACCAGCTCACAAAAAAATGACACAGAGGCTTATTATTAATTATAAAAGCTTGACCTATAGCTTAGGCTTGTTCCGTTAGCTCTTGTAACTTAAATCATCCCATTTCTAATCATCTACATGTTGCCATGTGACTTGTGGCTTTTACCTCTCTTCCTGCATGTCTTGCTCCCTCTGTATCTGGCCTTTCTTCTTCCCAGAGTTCCCTCTGTCCACAATCCCTGCTATACCTCCTCCCTAGCTATTGGCCAAATAGCAATCTGTCTTTAGGGGGTTATGTAGTTACATTTTCTCATATATAATCTGTCTTTAGGGGGATCCTTAAGTTGCAGTACTTAATTCCTCTCCTTACACGTCACTCAGACAAATCCCATCTGCCCCTTGTATTACAAGCCGGCCTGTGAGAGGGTCTTTCAATTCCTGCTCAAAATGTCTCCCAACTCAGGCAGTTCAAATGCAGTCTACCCCAGTTCCAAACTCTGACCTCTGCCGGAAGAGTGGATTCTTCCTCTCTGTATTAAAGTTCAAACTTGAGGGGCATCTCATCGTGCCTTAGCCTCATTTTCCTTCCCTTCAATACATGGTTCCAAATGTTTGGACCCCAATAATAGCTCTCCAACACAGATATAACACATG